GAAGGAGACGTGGGGACCCACACCTTGATCCCCGGTCCCGCACTTGATTTGCTGGCCGGGTCTTTGTGAGAGCTCCCATTGGTTCACCGCTCAGATGAAAGGCTCCATTTGCCTCGGGCCAGCAACCGCTGAGCATCGTGACTGGACTTTGGAGATGCAGCTTTCGCAACCGCGCGACAAATCATCACCATGGATCGTACAGACACCCTCACTTAATTCCCGGTTGAAGTATTCCCATTACGGGCTCAAGGTGTTGTACGTCCCCTTTCATAAGGCAGAAATACCTCATTTCTACGAATGCATATCTCTATGAGGACACGCCAATGACCAGCTCTAATACCTTAATCAAGATTCGGCAATGGAGACGAGAGTTTGGATACGAATACTGCAATCTCTCTGCTTGATGCAGCATCCCGACACAAGAAGAACAAACTTTTTACTTCGGATGCAGTGGCAGCTCGGCGCCGGCTGGAGAATAGGTCCCAGGACTTTGGAGTCTAGGACCTCAAAGTGAGACACTTTTCCCACCATCAGACCCTCAGCCTGGCCCGCATTTGCCTGGAAGTGAACACCGTCAAAACTTTGACATGAAAGCCAACTTCAACCGGCCTCATCCACGATCCCATAGGTCCAGGTCGAGAAGGAACGAATTGACTGCACCCAAGGCAGCCTTGGTCAGAATGCACCGCTGCACCAAGATGTAAGCTTACCTTGGATGCGTCAGCATCAGGCACATCAAGTATTCCTCATTCGCGGGATGCCGAAACATTGCGCCTCGCAAGACACCACAGCCCTCGAATATCTGCCGTCAGCAGTCTGTCCGCCGTCTCTTACGCCGTCATCTTCTACGGCGTAAGCTACTTCTACCATCACTGGGCAGCACCACCTCCATCTGGTCACTGAACAGATAGGGCTGAAGGGCTTCTCAGCAACCATGAACTGTGAACATCTATCCAGACAATGTCCGCACATTTTCCCTTCCTCGGCCCGCCAGGCTCTCTCGAATCTTCGTCTGTGATGCCAAGGCCCAAGGAACTGCTGCTGCCGCCAAAGAGGCTAGCTTGCGTGTAGCCGACATCCCGAATCCATCTCGCTTAGGCACCTCAACCCCTCGAGCTGTCTTCAACGGCGTCTACGACTCCATCTTCATCAGGCCGTCTTGCCGTTGTCCTGCACTTTGCACCTGCATTTGGCTGGCAACTGCATCGGATCTAATCTTCTATATGCATGTTGTAATTGTAGAACCAAACCAAAGACGCGCTTATATGCTCTCCTTCTCTACCTTTACGTCTCTAATGCCGCAATAATCATTTCGCCAGTGCGGCCGGTGCTGTTCTTTCTTGCCATATGGCCCACTTCTTCTTGCCCCTGTCCTGAAGCCTTACTATGGACGAGGTGATCGTCCATGACCTTTTCCTGCAGCCAACCAGTCACATCTCTGCTGCAACGCGTACCGCCGCCGCCCAAATTGTGTCTTGCGGCGCGTATCGCGGACTCTCTGTCATCGCCTTCTGGCTCCAATGCTCTCTCTCTCTCTTCTGGTAGCAAACCCGCTCTCCGATCATGCTTTGGGGTCGATCTCGGGAAAGACGTGCTTTAGGAAGTTGGTCGAGAACCGCGTGCACTGCTCGTAGGCCGTTGCAAAGCCCTCGTCGCCTCCGTAGTATGGGTCGTTTACTACCTCTGATCTCGGTCCTCCGGAAAATTCGCCAAACAGCATCACCTGGGCCTTTGAATCGGTATGGCCTCGTTGTTGGAGGTTCTGCAGGTCTCGAAGGTTGGATCGATCCATGGCGAAGATGTAGTCGAATTTGTTAAAGTCAGAGGGCGACACCTGCAATTCGTGGAAGTACGGCGGTTAGCAAGTCTGTCCTCTCTTCGAACTCGCCGGGGCGCACCTAGAGAGAGGGGACATTATCTTACCTTGCGACCATCGTGGTAATAATCCGTTATGCCGTGGTCTTCCAGAGTCGCCATCGTCCTGTCATCTGGAGGGTCACCAACATGGTAGGCCGCTATCATTGCGCCAATATTCGCATCAGTTTGGCTCTGCGCACGAGAATTGGGAGAGAGGTTGGGTTCATCATGACGTATCCGCCAAATTCCATACCTGTGCCGCAAGAATCCACCTTTGAGATGAGGCCCTTGTATTGCGGCTTTTGCGCAAAGTTGCGAAACACGCCTTCTGCCATTGTCGAGCGGCAAATGTTGCCGAGGCAGACGAAGAGAACTGATATCGGTTGTTCCGTCATGATCTTTTTTGCAGCGTCTTTTGGAAAGTGGTGATGTGAAGGAGAGTGGAAGTTGTCGCGCCTCGCCAAGGTGGACTTTGTTCAGGTCCGACTGCCCCGCGGCCGCCAATCTTGGGATGGAGGGGCACTGGTGCACTGTGTCTGAGTAATCAGATCTCGCACGGGACGCACTGTAGGTGGGTCCGCCATTTCGTCACCGACTTCTCGCGGAGCCAGCGAGTCCGTCTTATCAACCGTCCACCACCTCTCCAATCCCAACACACATATATATATCGCTACCAGATTTCGCATGCTTCGCCGTGCGTCTCTAGCAAATCTAACTTCACACTTGTCTGCAAGAAAACCCCGAAAAAGTCTGGCAGCTCGCCGCCGACCAGCTTTATACTTTCATCACCTCAGTACGAGAGCATCCCGATGTTACCCACGCGAAGCTGGGCAAGCATCGTGGCACCATAGGGAGATGTTTTGTGCCATCACAGGATGAAGTGGCTCTATGCCTCGACCACTTTGCTGAAAAGAACTAAATCGAGATGCCATCAATTCGAGAGCCGAACCCTACGGACCAAGGTCGAAGCAGCACCAAGCCAGGCACTGCCGGGCGAAAGCTTCGGCCGTGCATTCATACCCATCAATGGTAGCGGCGCAGGCATCGAACTCCTAAGAGATACCAATGTCAGCAAGATGGTTTTTCGACGAGCACGAATGGTCATTTCAAGTGATGTGGCTCAATAGACAACGAGAGCGGAAGCCACCTTAAGTGGACGTCGTGAACAGCGGTAAATTTCACGACCGCTGTAGAGCCGACTCGCGAAGAACGAATCAACATGCCACGTGCTAACGGGCTCGGATTTGATTATCTTGCCGTCGATCTTCTGCCCGGCACTCCGTTTGCATTCCTGTGCTCTGCAATCGCTGAGCAACCCATCGGGCCCGGCACTTGCCAAGCCCACGACAGATTTCAGGCAGCGTGACAGCTAGGCCCTCAAACTCTCGCAAGCTGGGAACGGGAACGGGAGCGTATGGAGCAACGATCAGCTTGAGACTGTCGCTACGGTTTGACGCTTGTCAATCCTGCTGAGCACGAAAATTCTCAAGACCCAGGATGGCCAATTATCAAGCAACATATCTCCGGGTAACGGTTCCTACAACCGCGTGGCAACGGAAGAGAATCTGCATGGCGCCTCCAACTCATCACTTGGATTCAGCCTTTTCCCAGCCGGAGCTCAAACAGCATGCTATCAGGACTGAAATTATGGAAGAGACTTCTCAAGGCAGAAATCACTCGGGTAAAGACACCGAAGCTAGCAGCTTACAATGCGCCAATGCCTGCCAGATCCAGACGTTCCATGCCTAGGTGTGGTGGACAACAGTACAAGTATGCCCTCAAAGTTCGCGAGACTAACGAGAAGGATGAGGAAACCAATTTCGCATGATCAATAGACCCGGAACGCACGGTCTCGGCCATCCAGTTGATAGCTCCGCCTCCGAGAACACCACGCTTGTCGTTCTACACTTTCAGTTATGCTTGACTCGGGGTCCCTCAACTTCCGAGTCTGCGAACTACGCTCCAAGTTCTATTCCGTTCCTGTCCGCGAAGGTCCACTGCCACTACCGGTACAGCTGGGATTGAGAAAGAACGAGGTGACTTGATGTGATTGGCAAACACTCGTCCGATGTTCTGGTCGAGGCACGGGAGGGCACGGGTACACAGACCACACACCATGCGAGAAGCGTCGGACGGCTAATGCAGGTGTTCTCAGTGCGCTCCCTACATCGGAGGATGGAGCATTTCGATTGGCCAAGCGTCTGATCTTCTCTTGCCGACCTGCAGCTGACAGGGGCCCGCGGGAAGCTTAGTTGATGCCGGATGAGCTTATCCAAGTTCCCCTGAGCTTGCATTCCTCTCAGCGCAGACCCAGGCAACTGGTCGTCAACGTCATGTATCTGAGACTTTGAGGGCGCATTCATCGGGAAAGATGATCAGGAAAAGTCCAGACTACAGCGATTTCACAAGAGGGCATCACAGAGCCCAGGTTTGCCAGCTCCGCCAGGGTCCTTGCCTCCTCGGCTTCCGCGCGCAGACGTTTGCGGAAGATCGACTACAGCTCGGGACCGGAGGATGGAGAATGGATGCTACCAACTGACCCCAAATCTCCTCTAGCCGCCTTTGTTCACGGTCAGAGGAAGACTAGCACCTGCGCCACGACTACTAGACAGCACTGCAAAACCAGCCAGTCCGAGCGGTGCATTTCGTGAGAGCTCTCACGGCTTCACGCCAAGTGAGCTGTGGCGGTCGATCATCTCTAGACTGACAGTAGACATTCTGTCACAGAACGGGTGGCAATGCTCCAGTGAGCAGCTATTCGAGGGGATTTGGCCCGCTTGGTAGAATCCTTCACCAATAATCCCCATCAGCGTCTCATCCGTCTTCTTGCCTAATCCGGGGTGCGAGACAGCTACGGCGCGCCGGCGTCGACCGCGTCTTGGCTGCGTTTGGAGCCCTCGGCGGGTTGCCTCGATGAGCTTGTGCCATTCCGGCGACCGGTTGCTGTTGATGCCACAGTCTTGGCGTCTCATTCGATGCTCTTTATAAGGCCAGCTCGTCCTCTCTCGCAACCGGTCGGATGCCGTGTCCTGCTTTGCCTCTGCTCGTACACGCCCTATCAGCCACTTCACCACACAGATCTCGACAGCCAAAGCTTTCTTCGAACCAACCTCAGCTTCAGACCACCAGAGCAAACCGCCAAGATGAAGTACACCATCATCGCCTCCTTCCTCGCCGCCCTTGTGGCCGCCGAGACCATCGATCAGCTTGTTGCCGAGATTCCTACCTGCGCAGTCACTTGCATTCGTGATGGTGCTCAGTCAGTCAACTGCGATATCACCGACTTTGCCTGCTCTTGCGGAAAGGTTGAGCAGCTCACAGCCACGGTCGTGCCCTGCCTTGCCTCGTCTGGCTGCAGCTCCACCGATCAAGCCAGTATGTGGTCCTCCCAAAATGTGAAAAAGATCTTCAACCTCTGGACAATTGTGCTAACATATCTCCAGCGGTACTCCAGCTTGCATCTCAGATCTGCGCTCAGGTCGCCGCAGGAGGCACATCGTCCGGCACCGCCTCGGCCGGCTCCGTCACTGCTGCAGCGACCAGCGCTTCCGGCACTTCTACTTCCTCTCGCAGCGGCACCGCAACAGGGGCTGCTGTCACCACTACAACGTCACCAGCCGCCGCTGGCCGGGCCCAGGTCGCTGGCTGGGCTGGAGCCATCGCCGCTGCCGCCGCGTTCGCTCTCTAAAGTCTTCTCTTTTCTTCACCTGACTGACCATGGCTTTGATTTATCGACCTTTTCACTTCATCCCTTGTATTTGATATACCCAATGCAAGAGGAAAGATTGCGAACTGCGGAGTTTAGCGGGAAAAAGAGGAATAACCAGCGCACCTGACAATGGAAGTCTTGTTGTAGTTGCACGCGCATGCATATCTAGTTCTATCAACTGATTAATAGTGGCAATATAAACCCAAAGAAACATCTATATCCCAGGTTGAATGATCTCCTTCTCATCGTTCAATGTCAATGCCGTCTAAGTCTATTAGGTATCACGCATCCCTGCCATCTACACGTCTTATCCAAGCCCGAATTTGCCCAATGCACTTCCGTCACCACCGTCCGCACCATCGAGCCACCCGTGCAGGTCATCCATGGCAGCAAACTGCGCAGCATACCTCATCCCCTCGCGCCGCCTCTTCTCAACCATCTTCCAATCCCACGCACCATCATCCGCGACACCACTCAAATCAACACTCTCATCCCCGACACCGTTCTCGCCGCCCTGCCATCCGCCCTCAGTCGGCCTGTGCGGCAGCAACTCGCTCGCCTCAAGAGCAATGGCCGGGTGCACCGTCAACCGCCCAATCTTGAAGACGTACTTGCTCACGCCCGTGGCGTAAATCTTCTTCTCCCAGTCCGCGCTATTGCTGCTGGCATCCCCGCTGGTATTCCTCCGCACCCTCGCCGTGCCGAACTTTGGATCGAGCCATTCCGTAGGACGCGCGGTGCCCTTAGGGACAAAGTGCGTGATAATGTACAACCACTTGCGGTCCCACGAGAGGATGCGAGACCACATCTCGTAGGGGGCGTAGGCGGTGATCTCGCGGCGGAAGGAGCAGTGTACGGCGCCAAGCATGATGCCCAAGGCGCCGCGGGCGGGCTTTTCGGTTTTTGGGTCGAGGACGAGCTTTGTTGTTGCGTTGTGGGTGAGTTGGCGGAACCCAGGGCCGAGGAGGTAGGTGCAGAGGTGGGTGCGGGAGACGTCTAGGTCGGAGAAGTAGGTTGAGTTGGACTTGTGGATGTTGTAGTCGATCTCGGTGATGGGGGCGTGGGATTGGGAGATCATGGGGCGGAAGAGGGATCGCGGGCCGAGGCGGGGGGATTTGCGGATGAAGAGGTGGTAGATTATTGCGTGCCATACTCGGTACTAATCGCGACGATGTTAGTCTCGGGCCTCCTTCCGTGTATTCCTAAAGATGAAGGACGAAGGGATGGGAGGGGTGAGCAACATACAGTCCAGACAAAGGGCATATTCTTGAGGTTCAGCAGGGCAAAGATGAGCATGAGGATACGGCTGAATTTGCCCGGGCCGGTGAAGAAGCTGGCGAGGACGATGCGCCAGTGGATCTTGTAGGCGGCGTAGGCGAGGCCGCTGGCGCCGGCGAGGCGGATGAGGCGGACGACGCGGACGGGGACGCGATCCAAGTCGGCCTCGGTGCGCGAGGCCTTTGCGATTGCGGACGCCATCTTTGTGTGTATGTCTGTCTGTCTGTTTTGCTGGTGGTGTTTTCTTTCCGCGACGTGCGGTTGGACGGAAGATCCCTTCTTTACGAGACGGATGTCTTCTTATCCGTGACGCCCGGTGTTTGCCGTCGTCGGGTCGGAGAAGAAGACGGTGGAGATGGGAATATGCGCTGGCGGAGTGCGCCGAGGAGGAGGACGACGAGGACGAAGGTCCAGAGGGGGAGGGAACGGAGGTGGCACCAGAGGGTGTTTGAGCATTGGGCGAGGAGGGAGGTCGCCATGGGTGCTTGATGGGATTTAAATTTCGAAAAACGTATGGGTTGCGCGCTTGTCTACCGGGTCCACGGAGCTCTTTTGCGGGACCCCCCCGGTCGCTTTGGTTGGGATCGTTTGTTGGTGTTGTTGTTGAGGTCGGAGCGTAAGACTGGGCGAAATTTCGTCGCGATTGCGCACCTGGGCAGCGATAAGTGACGGAGGACCCCCACTCCCAAACGGGGTTCGGTGCTTTGTTAGTGACGGCGTGGGATGCGTGCTCAGTGCTGCACTGTCATGAAAGTCTGGGCGAAGCTGCTGGACCTCGGCTCAACCTTGATTAGGTTGTTTGTCACCCCTGAAAATTCGATTTCGTGAAATTTCTTCTAGAGCCAAGAGTGATTGATGCTAGACTGTACTTTGTGGTCGGCCTCGGTCAAATGAACAAGGTTTATGCCATCGGAGAGTCGGGATGAATTGGCATTTGATTCTTGACTCGGGGCCTTCGGGGGCTTACCTACTTACCTTACCTTCCAGTGTTCAATGAGAGGAGCTTGGCCGCTTCTTGCGGAATCGCGAATCGAACGAAATCTTGTCAGCCTCAATCAGTGATGGAAGCTCTAGATGCAGAATGGCCGCTGCTGCGGACGCTACTATACTCGATTCGACGAGTCATACAGCGGTGTGCGGTATCTTCTGTTCCTGTCTTGTTTTTAGAAAGAAGAAAAAAAAAACCCCTTTGTATTTTCAAGAAATACTAACAAGAATAGCAACACGTTTTGTGTTTTTCTTTTCATCTCTCCCTCAGACAACGGTAGCATAGGTACGGATAGGTACACTTGGTAACTGTCTATGGAGTCCCATCTGGCTTTCGACATTGCAGCATCACTCAGAGGCATTTGTGAGTGTATCGGAGCCGGACATCGAGGTCCGCTCCCCCTGGCCCCACCTTTCGACCGCAACTAACGGGACCTCCACCGCCATCGGAACCTGCAATTCCTCATGGTGCTGAACGAATTCCTCCTTGAGCACTATTGCTAACCCTGCCCACTTCCGCTAGCTAAGGCGCAAACGACGCTTGATGCGCACCCATGTAGATACCCGCACCGGCTCTGGATTCTTAGGACTTCTTCCAACGTCTCGTTGTTGCATTCGGATATGTGGCCCGCGGACGATGGGTTTGACGCCGCCAGGCGACTCCGTCTCTGAATCTCCCCCTTGTTCCCAAAACGACGAATAGCCAACGTCTGCGTTTTGGCGGATTCTTATGAGTTGAATACCGTCCAATCCAGAGTAGATAGTCTGCAGTAACGCACCCCTATCGCGACTGGCCCATTGCAACACAGTGATGCCACGCGAATTCTTCCATTGTATGTCTGCCCCGTACTGTAGCAAGGATCTCATGATGTGTTCTGTGATGTCCTCAGTGCCATCTTCATGAGGAAAGGCGGCATGTCGTGACGGACGGGCGACGACCCAGTGCAGTGGTGTCATCCGTCCACGCGATGATATCCCCAGAACATCATTGGATCCCAGTTCGAGAAGGCATTGAAACCTGTCAATATTTGTGGCATAAACTGCCTTTTTACGAGGTATTCAATCACTGGGCGCTGACAGAATACCTGAGATCTGAATGCCCAGTGCAATGGTGTGGAACCATAGTTGTCCTGTGCTCTAGCATCCATTCCATTCTCAATAATAAGATACTGGCAAATATTTACGATGGTTTTGGTAGGTTCCTTGGCTGACATGCTCTTGAACGCTTGGTCGTGGTCGTAGACAAACAAAGCATGAAGCGCACCTGTTCCAAAGTCGTCGCGGCCCTTGAAAATCGATCGATCTCTGGTAAGCTCGTTACGGCTGACCTCGTCTCCTGTCTTGAAAATGGCGATCAAGGCCTTCAAGAACTCCGGAATCTTCGTACGTCTTAATCTGAGGACTGTCTCAAGCGACCCTGGCCGCCCTGCCCATGTCGAGTCGGCAACCACATTTTTGAACTCATCTCTTTTGAGAGTCGAGATTCCGAATGCTGCACGCAATATGTCGAAGCAGCCCTAATGGCCTCCCTGCATGGCCAATCTAACTGCGTTATTCATTGTTCGCGTCGACCTCCAAATCTTCGGTGCAGGCTTCCTCTCGCAGAACGTGATACATGCTCGAAGCATGGCGTCAAGGCCGAACGCGCTTAGAGCCTCTAAAGGCGCCATGTGTCCATTCCAGTTCTGACAGTGCAGGGAGAAACCATGGGGTGAGATCATATCCGTCCGAGAGGGTTCAGGCCACGGACCAGATGGCGATAGCCTCAGATTTCTGTGCCATTGACGGCTTTGAATTCTGTACCGTCTTGATTTACTATCTGTGCTGAATGGGCCTTTTTGCCGAGGAGATACCTCACATCACTAACGGCTTTCTGTTCATAAAAATCCAGACTTGAGGATGTAGTCAGTTCATTAACGTAGTCGTTGTGGAAATTTGCTGCAAAAGTAATCGGACATATCAGTTGGCTATTGGGTTAGTTTCATATGACGATGAACGGTAATGATCTATACCTACTAGTACTACAGACGTACAAATTACACATCATGGCATCAGGGGCAGAATCTAGGAATCCTTGTCGTCCCTCACCAACAGGCGCCGATGTCCGAATATCAAATCCACCTGCATGGCAACCTGACTGCATATTCAACCTCACGAGAGGGGCTCTGAACAGAGCCTCAGAAGCCCGGCCACGAAGTCGTAGGAACTCCCGCAAGGCATGATCGCAGTCTCATGGAAGAATAGAGCGCGTGGCTTGGCTTGCATGGTAAGTGACTTCTCCTGATAATACTGAAACTTGTGGTCTAAAATTTAGTATATCGTCTGCTAACGTCTGGCTCCGCCAGGGCAAGTTCTCCGAAACACCGTTGTGGACGTTCTCAACGACATAGAGATGTATTATTGAGTAGGTGTTGCTAAGTTCATAAGCTGGGTTGGTGGCTGTAAGCGTACAGCCATCTGAACCGGAACCGTCTACCAGCAGCACTACTGTGAGACTTTTTAGGCAGAGGTGTGGCCACGGAATGTTTCCATTCTCTAAACTTTCACATGAACTCACTTGGGCACTGGCCGCTGCTAGATCGTGCAGAGAGGTGCAAGAAAATTCTCTGAAGCCCAAGAGGGAATTCGGTTGCATTAAAGACTAGCAGGAAGTATTCCCAAGACATCTCACAGGCTCATCTTGACAAGTCATATGCTCGACTGACCCATGGCCCACCTGCCAAAACAGTCTCCATCCTGTATCATCACATCATCGCCCTTCACTTAAGCAAAGCCAGTGGCAATAACCCAGCTCACATCCGCGTTAAACGAGGTAGCCGAGTCAAAAGTGTGAACACCCCCATTCCTCGCAGCGTATCCAAGGTTGTTGTAGTGACGGAAGTAGGTAGTGGGGTAGCTCCACGCACGGAAAGAGCTGCCAGTACCGCTGATACCAGACTGAGTGCAGAAGGTAGCGTCCTCCTTGAACTGCTTTGTTCCGTCATTGGCGTTGACGGCCAGCTCAAAGTTGTAGTGGCGGATAAAGTTGCCGGGCGTGTCCTTGGACTCGAACGAGTAGCAACCGCTGTTGCCGAGGCCGGTGCGGACGGTCCAGCTGGCCTGCTGCTTCAGCGTCGTGGCGCTGGATGAGGTGACGACCTGGGTGTTGACGGTGGCGCCAGTGTGCGCGAGGTAGCGGTCCGTGTAGCCGGAGGTTGTGGCACGCAGGGAGATGGAGTTGCCGACGGTGAGGGCGGTGCCGCTGTTCAGGGAAGTAGTGGCGTACTTTGCCGCGACAATATTGGCCTGGACAGAGTTCTCCGTCGCGTCGGAGGGGTATCCGGAGGTCATGACGCCCTCGTAAAAGGTGCCTTGGGCGCTGACGCTGTTGTCACCACCAATGCCGAGGATGATGGCGCCCTCCTTGCTCATGGGGTTGTAGCCCGACTTGTTGGGCCTCACGCCGCTGTAGTACGTGGTCAAGCCTCCCGAGGCGGCGTTGGCGCCGCGGAGGGCCCAGAGGTTAGGGCCGCCCTTGACGACGGCAGTGAAGAAGCGGTCCGTGATGGACGGGTCACCTGCGTTGTTGCCGGCGCTGACGCCGGAGAAGAGGCCGTTCTCGAGATCGGCCATCAACCAGGGTCCGCTGCCGGCACCTGTACCCCAGCCGGTGCTGTCGCCAAAGTAGATGGCCTCCATGTGGCCGTTGCCCGTGTCGGTGCTGCTGGTCTCGGCGTTGCCGTAGTCGAAGCAGCAGCCGCCGTTGTAGTGGGTTCCGTCGAGGACGGCGTACATGCCCTCGGATACGTCACCGATGGCGGTGCCGACGGCGGCGTTGTTGCGGTAGCCCGTGCCGGGGGAGACGAAGACGCCGTAGGCCTTTTGGCCGTTGAGGGTGACGGGGGCGCCGATGGCGCTGGCGAGGTTGTCGTTGCCGTTGACGTCGGGACCGCTGAAGGCGCCGCCGGGGGCTTGGGTCAGGTGGTTGCCCTTGCCAGACTGGTCGTAGATGACGGAGATGAGGCAGGTCGTTCCGGAGCAGAAAGTGTCCTGGGCAGCCGCATTGGCGACGCCGCCTGCAGAGAGGGGCGCGATGTTCGTCGTGGCACCGTCGGAGCCGCGCTTCACCTGGTAGAGGGAGCCGGTATAGGCGCTGTAGAGGGCGCGAGTGGTGCTGTGGGCGGCGATGCAGGGGTTGCCACCGGAGGCGTAGATGTCGCAGGGACCGGCGGAGACGAGGGAACCTGTGGCCACGAGGGCGAGGCCAAGAGCATAGCCGCGCTCGCGGATTGGCTTGGACAACATGGCGAAGGAAGAGGGACGGACGACCTTGGTTTGCTGGCGGAAAACGGGAGGGGAGTTGTCACTGACGAGGTTAATGCCTGTGAGATCCTGAAGAGACAACTCTCATGATCCGAGAACCCGGGGCCATCGATGGACTTTTAAACACCGCGAGTTGCTTTGCGATGGCACGTTCCTTACGATCCATCTTCATCTCATTTCGTTGACAATGTCCGTGATGCTGGATGAAGGGTCGCACGGGATCCCCAAGCGCCAAGAATTCCCTCCAATGAGCAGAGAGCGCATGTTGAATGCCGCGCTATTACGACCTGCCGAACTGGTGTTATACGTGCGCTTCGAGTCGTAGTGGGATTCGATGGCATGCGTCTGAGTCGTTTCTCCGATGAAGACTCTGCTGATGGCGGGCAGCGGGGAGGGTGGCCAGATTGGTTCTAGAGTGCGGGGGAAGAGTGCGGATGACCGGCACTGGAGAGTGGTAAGTCTGGAGATGAAGCGATGGACCGATGGAGAGGCATATGGTGCGGCTGTCCGGCAAAGGTCAGAGCGACATATCTTTTCCCGCGTATGTCCAAGGGGTTAGAGGTGATGGACTCGTGGTATAATCGGAGCTAGTGAACATAAGCGTTTGCCCAGTAGTCCAGTTGCGGGAAATCAACAACCTCCCGGAACGTCCGACCTGCTTTAGTCTCAGATCTTGGCTTTTGCTTGGCTCTTGCGTCCCGCTCCGCGTCCTCCACAGGCGCCTCGGCATCAGGCACCAAGCCCTCGACTGCCATTCATCTTTGCGGTAGTCGTATTGAAGGTCCAAACGTCATCCATGACCCTGGCCTCTCCATCGTGGTGCCAAGTTGATGCCAAGTGAGTAGGTCGATGTGCCCCAGAAACTTGTCAAGTCTTGGCTTGGGGAAACAAGAAAGGCCGCGTGGACTAACCGGACAAACCCCAGACCCCAGATGCGACCCCAGACTCGGAGACAGGGGTGAAAAAGACAAGACGAACCATTTTACCCCGCCGTCGGCCCGTATTCGGGGCCGGGGTTAGGTTCACGTGAGCTCCCTCCCTTGTATGTTTAGCTCACGCTATCTGACGTGTCTAACCTTGAAGCATCTGAAAGTTGGAGCGCTTATTCCACAAACCCAGAGACCCCTCGGCGTTTCTAGCATGTCGATAACGCACCGAAGAGGCTTATTGACAAGCGCTTCCTGGAGAAGCGTAACGGTTCCAAGCGAGCCAACGATTGCCAGTCTTTTATGACAAGGAGTGGCAGATCATGGAGCTATTGACCTCCTTTGCAGTAATGGCTTCTTCGATAGGATTGACGGATGGTTTCTAGTAGTAAAGAAGGATCATTTAGACTGATCCCCATGCCCACTTCCCGGCGCCATGGTGCGAATGCCGAGGGACCGTTACCCCGCGCCCGTTAAGCTGTCCAATAACCTCATCTCGCAACTCTCTTCACTAGCCGCTAATGTTCTCATGTCTCACCATTCAACAGTATCTTTGGGATTTCTCGGTGCCTAATGAACATAGGAAAGGTATTCCAAACGATTGACGTCAGGCATGGGATCGGCGAGAAAGGCGCGACGGAATAGCATGAGACGAGGCCAGTGAACGCGATCCCTGTGTCATGCGCCGAGCCATGCCTGCGCTGATCTCCCGTCTGATTGTTCTTGGCAGGAGCCGAGCCAATCATGGTCGCAGTGAGATGATCTCGACAGCTGAGCTCCAGCGAAGCTTTGGCGAGACCACCCTCTCGAAGAGTTTATTTGACTTGGGAAGGATCGGATGCGTTGGTTCGAATAAGCGCTCCTTCTGTAGCATCGCCTTCCGAAAGGTGTACAGGATGCGGGCGCCAGGCCACGCCACAGTATCATTGGACACGCAGTTACCAGGGTCAAGAAGCGGCTCAGTGACAGATTCTGTTTCCGCTCAGCAGACATTGAAGTCCCAAAACATTTCCTTCAATGATCTATGTTCTATCACATCTTCGGGCCAGAGCTCTCGCTGCCTTGGCCCTGGGGGTAAAGCTCCCCATACAGGCTGTTCTCGGGAACGGCACATGCCTTTCTTCGTCTCCATGGCTGCCCTCTATCGTTTTAAGGCTGTCCTCTAATATCCCTTGGCCTCATTCTCTCTACAATGTAGTCCAGCCCTGGGGTCTCTTTGCTCGCGCTTCCCCGTACCTCAACCAAATAGCTGCAGACTCTACTGAACACATCCAACACAAGGCAGTCAAAACTTGTTTCCTCCGCCCCGTCCTCCAGCTCTCACTCCTGAGGAGCCCGCGCTCGACCAAGCACCCCACACCTTGCACCATGAATACCCCCCACAGGCCCATAGCCTGTGTCCAGGCATACTCGTCCAGAGTCAGAACGACTCCGCACCAGGCGTGCCATACCCCACTGAGACTGAAAGCCGCGAGTACACCAGCGGCTTTTCCGGCATCTTGTCCAAATAGACGCGTGAAAAGGGCTCTGGCGGGAACGTATCCTAGATGTTGAAGAAATGGTTGTGCCCCGTGGTGCCAATGAATGGCCCAGAAGCTGGAAAAGCTCTCTGCTGCCCATGGCTGGAAGAAGAGCTCATTAGGGCAGCGGGGATGAAAGATGAAGTGGATGCCCTCTAGACCGTACTGGATCGCAAGTAGGCCACACATGACCTTGAGCTCCGTGACAGGAAATAGATATGTCAGAGGGATAACGAGTAGAGGACCATAACTCCAGGCCGCGCTCTTTGGAATACCCTTTCGCTTCGACTCGTCTACGGCAATGTCGAAAGAGGCATATCTAGTCTCCGAGGCAAGCCGCCAGACATAGGAAGCAACAGGTCTCCAGCTCGTCAGCCCATAAATCACCGCGTCTTTCCCATTCCGCGGAACAGGTGGCTTTCTCGCTCGCACGATTGTCAGGTCCCAGCACTTGCACGCATAGAAGAAGGTCGGTATGCGCAGGCAGACCTGTGCAATCACGTCGTCCGTCGGCATTAGCAGCGGGAGCGCCATGACGTAGGCGCCCGCCGCCAGGCCTGTCCCACGCGTTACGAAAATTGCATGCTCTTTGGGGAAAAACCGAAAGGGCTCGAGGCCGCGGCCCCTTTTTCGCTCCAGGCGAGCTTGGAGTCTCCAGTCTTCGATGGCGGTAAGGGAGAGGCAGGTGAGGGAAGTGAAGTAGAGGATGATGCTAGTTGTGAGGTGTACCAGGAACGATGCGGTCGGGTTGCTGATGAATTCGGAGTTGTAAACGGAGATGCTGGTCAATACAGCCGATCCTAGGAAAATGACGATATACCAAGCCAACATGTCCCCCATCTTGATATCGCGGGGAAAAGGAGCGATAGTGCAGTATGAAATTGAGGATTCCGTCGTTCAGGGCACATCAATGACGCGGGTCTCGTCAAGTAAATAACAGATGGCTAATTGCGCTGCTTTAGGCAGCCAAGCGTAAGCGCTAGTGACTACTATGATATCAGTACATGCGATAAACGGGTATCTGCTTTACAAGGATACACAGCAAGGATCATGGTGTCAATATCCAAAACGCGGCCAGGAGTGCCGTGGCATTGTAGCCGGCCGCCTGACAGAAATTAGGAAGTTCTGCTAGAGACAACTCGATTGTAAATTGGTTTGAACATTGTAGGTGAGGTCCGTAGAGGTAGTGTATTGTCCTCTCTTAAATGCAACGCGGTGTTCCCCTGAAATTGTCTGGAGCCTTTCCAATCATGAACATTAACCAAGGTAATGCATGGGAGTCAAATCAGAGACGAAATTGCAACTGTGATCTGAATCAAGATGAACGTCTTTGATACCATCATTCTTAGTACATCCCTAGAGCTGGGATCGTTGTGAATCAGCAGCCTCAAATTGTCAGCGGGTAGACAATTGTACACATCTCCGGTTTCGAGGTCTACATACCTAACTCTATACTAGATTACTGGCACAGGTTTTTCTGATTGCACATTTACGCAGGTGTCATTAGATTGCTTGAATGATTCAAATTGTAATCAGATGACAGGAAGTACTTCATTCTATATCATCATCCTTCGAAACATAGAACATGTCGCCAAAATATCAAAGGTTGAGGTTTCGCCACAACCGTGATTCCATGCTTCGGCTACGATATCATATGCACCCCATCGAGATTTTGAACTTCTAGGCTCCCAAGCCTCCAGTTGTAGGAAAAGGCTTCCGGTCGAGCTCAGGCTTTTGCTGGGCGAAGCATGTACCGAAATGTGTAAACTTCCCAGCCAAATTTATCGCCTGTCCCTTCTGGTACCCGTTCACCAAGATCATATTCACTCTTCCCAATCTCCTGGAAGCCAACCTTTTCATAGAGTCTGTAACTTGAGGGCGAGGCGTGGATCTAGCACACAAGATTCTGTGAATCAACATCTTCAACTCCTTGCTGACTCAATTTCGTTGTGATGCCCTGTCCCTGATGTGGAGGATCTATCGCCAAGGCTTGCAGGACTGCATATTTATTTCCCTCCAAATGCCGGGATTCCCACGAAGTCATGTCTTGGTGCATGGTTCCACCCAACACTCGAGCAGGATCTCGAGGCGTATCCTTCCCAGACTGTGTTTTCTCTTTGTCCGATTTTGAATCAGTGGATGCCCCAGAGGCCTGGCTCGCGTCCGGGTTCTTTGGCTCCAATTCCTTCACAACCCGACATGACCAGCCGAGGATCTTTCCTCCCCTGTCGACCGCTTTGAAAAGCTTTGTAGAAAAGCAACTTGATAGCCAGTGGAGAATCGACTTGTGCATGAGGTTTTGATGAGTGCCTTCCCCACGGTTGAGAAATATCAAATTTGAGAACTGATCGGTCTTGAAAGCGGCGATGTAGATAGCAACGAGATCATTGATGTCATTGGGTTTCACGACAAGGATTTAAACTTGACTATGGACGTTCTTGGCATATCCGACGCTCATTGCGGTAGGAAAAAACGTGAAATCAGTGGGAACGAACTCAGCGAGGGTAATGTCTCGTGTGCACATTCAAGTGTCAAGTTCAACGGAATGACTTTGGGCAAAAGAAGATCAAGAAGCGGGATACTTGTACGGCAGCTCAAGGCAAAAGACCCCGGTCAGATAAGCACTGACTTATCTATCACATAACTCAGGAACTGACGTACCTATTCATTGAAGGACTCAAAGCCGTTGCCGACGCACGTCGTTTGTCGAAGCCTACGAGATATTTAGCATGGACGGATATTGTAGAATGACAAAAGGTGCATTATTGGTTTGTTCATAGTTGACCCCTTTAACTGTCTATCCATTTCTCTTTTCGACATCAAGCTAAGGTACTTAATTATGACTGATTATGAGGGCCTTTGAAGTTGATGTAGATGACATATCTGTTGAGTAATTATGTCATGGCAACAATCCTGGCTCCCATACTCAATGGCAAAGGAGTGTTGCGCTAAATGTTCGACTCTATCGAAGACAGAAGCTCAGGGGCGTGATGAGGGCACTCCTCTTAGCGCTTTTTGGCAGCATCTGAGTTTGGGGAGAAAACACAGTAATCGGAGCGAGTAAACTGTAATGAGACGGAGCCACAGCTATTCTAGTGAATAGAAATATGAAAACCTATGAGACGTCACATAAGCCATGATTTTCCGTTTGCATCACCGCCAGTGGTATCCTGTCTGCAATTTGCAAACTTATGCAAGGTTTGGTGCTAAGTCTCCCCGCAGGCGTGACTACGAAGACCTCAAGCAGGTACGCCAGCAAAGATTTGTCACTGTCATAACCAAACCACCGGGATTGTCGTGCAGTTGTGACAGTGGTGGCAAGTTCCGCGGTCCAAGCATTCCGGGCTTTTCATGTCGAATCGACCTGACAGCTGCAATAGTCTGAAAGAGCACGCGCTGTGAAAACCTAATCTCGCGCGATATAGTGACAGAAACCCAGTGTGATGCTTCCGAGGCTAAGGACAGCCATCAATCGCCAACCCCGTCCGACCTAGAGAAAGGCATGGAGAGAAGTCATTCATCTAGATCATCACGTGCAGACTTACTCGCATGATTAGTCAACCGATGAGCCAACTGCTGCCATCGGAAAACATAATGGAGGTTTGGCGTTACCTAATGGAGGACTTGGTCTGCGAAAACAAAGGGGCTGGTGGGTCATCCAACATGCATGATGCAGAAGTCCGAAGCTTGAACTTGTTAATGTGCATTTGCCTCTGGACTACTGCAGGAACCAGTAGCGTAAATTGGTTCTCAAAAGATCTGGTGAAGCCTGGTCGGACCATACATTCATTGTTACACTGCACCGAAGAAAAGGAAAAACTAGCAATGATACCTGACCAGAATTGCCAAAAATATACATAGCGTGGTGGCTTGCCATGCAAGTCAGTGCAACTACGACGATCCTGGCCTAGCCTCGGTCACCATCAACAGAACTGGCCAAGCTACCTTACTCGATGTAAGAAGTCAGGGCTATTGTGGCAGCCTTCACAGACCATTGAATCCAAGTCGTCATCCCGATTTCCGAGGGCGTCTACAGCACGGTCGCTGACGCGTGGCCATCACTGGGACGACAACGGCCCGTCGAGCATCAAAGCCGCAAGAAGACCCCGACTCTTGGCTTCGCTGGGCGCCATCGGCAGCCAGCTCGCCATGCACATTGACATGCTTGGCACAGATGCCAATACCTCGGATTCTGCACAAATAATGTTTACATACTGTCACTTACACGCGGGAAAACAACGGACATTCAACTCGTGATCGCAAGCGCTCAACAACGTGCAGATACAGGTGCCCGCAAGGAACTACTTTGGGCACTCAAGTGTAGTTTATGACCTTGACCGGTCAGACTTACACGAAGTCTCGTCGCTGAGAAGTGGATGAGTGCATAATCGTATCTGCACCGTGTAGGTAGAGCGGGCGAGACTCACAAGTGACTCCACCCTTCCTTGCGGTTGATCTGATGATTCCCACCTTTGCATTCAGTTGGTCCATCTGGCCGCTCATAGGACCTCAGCTCACCTGAAAGATGCTAGTTGATGCAGCGTCTGTCTAACGGCTAGCTAATGGGGTCGTATCATGCTCGGGCGACCTAGACTAGGCCTAGCTTTCAGGAACAAGGATCAAAGCGTTACATGAGATCCCGAGTTACCCGCTCTGGTGTTTTCAAGACTAATTGGGACAAAGCCAGCCATTTTGAGCCGCTTCACTGTTAGTTCGATCAATGAATCAGGGTTAGAGCAAACAAAGGAAAAGTTTCCAAGTCCCAATAGAGCACCTCTTGAAACATTCCACTTTCTTTGTGGGATCGACATACCCGCTGCCCCAGACTGCCGTTACTCGCGAATCGCGAGAGCAGTAAGCGGGACGGCGCTTCAGGAGAATGACGATGTGGACCTCACTTACACTGGCCTTTCTCGACTCCGAACAAGTTGCCGACACTACGGAGAGGACAGCACGGAGATCGGTCTCACCGTTCACTAAGAGCTCTGACCTCTGGCTACCTGAACTACGGATACGATGGACCGCACTTCTAGGAGGTGCTCAGAGCTTGTACGAGGCGCCAGTCGGCCAACGGGTGCCGGAATACGCTCCAAAGAAGAAATGTCAGCTCAATGTAGTCTAAACCCGCGATGTCAAAATACGCCGTCACCTATGGCCATAACAACATTATATAACCAGCACTCATCGCCAGGTTGATTCAATTATCCTCTCTTCAACTCAGCAGCTTCGATCATTTCTCACCTTGAGTATTACATTCTCTTTTCAATCAGAGCATTTACTTCACCAACATTCTTTCAATCAACCTGCTTTCACTCAACACCAGCTCCAACTTGTCAACATGCGCTACTCCCTGAACCTCATTGCCCTCGCGGCTATCGCGTCGGCCGCGCCCACCACCGTCGCGCCCATGGACTTCGATGCCATTATGGGTGCCGCTGCACCAACCCTGACTGGACCTCCTGCACTTGCCACTGGCCAGACTGGCGTCTACAATGCTGCAGCTGCCTCTTCCTCTGCTGCCGCCGCTGTCACGGGCGTCGCCTCTGCCAGTGCCACTCAGTCCATCGCGGCTCGTGGCCTTGACAAGCGCACTTTCTGCTTCTTTGGCCTCTGCTGGGGATCCCCTTCCACCACTTCGTCTGCCAAGACTACTTCCATCTGCACGACGTCAACTACCCCCGCTGCCGTCACCTCTCCCAAGACTACAGCTGCTGTCACGACTCCGGCCGTGACCACCACGTCTGCCGCTACCATTACCACTGCTCCTACAGCTCCCTCGACCTGCACTCCGGTCAGCTGGACCAACACCAACGCGTTCACCACCGCTTCTGCTTGCTCTGCGCCTTTCGAGGTTGGCACTTACTGCGGTTTCATCAACCCTGAGGACCCTTGCGCTGTCCAGCCCGATGGATACGGCACCCAGGTTCAGCCCGATACCGTCGACGCTTTCCAGTCCTTCGCTCAATTCCACAAGGAGGCTCAGTCAGCCGCCAACCCTTCAGGATACGCCAACACCTTCAAGGATTTGAGCGCCGCTGTCAACGCCAACAGCTACCTCGGTCTCTACACTCTGAAGAGCTACGACGTCGCTGCCTGCGCCGCCAAGTGTGACGCCACCAACCTGTGCACGGGTATCAACATCTATGTCGAGCGTGATCCTTCTATCAACCCTTCCGGCTGCTCCTGCACCAACCCTGCTTCCATCACCAACTACAAGTGCACTTTATGGGGATCCGGCGTCGACAAGGCTGCTGCTACCAACACTGGCGGTACTCGTGACGGCTTCCAGGTCGTGATCACCGGTTCCAACGGCTACGAGAAGACCAACACCACCACTCCCACTAGCCCCTCCGGCTGGACCAACCCCCAGGGCTGCGGCGGTGTCGTCCACTCCCACCCAAGCACCTGCATGGGACAGAAGTTCTTCCCCGGTCCCTTCGATGCCAGCCTCTGCGCTACCTACGCTGCTGCCCAGAACGCCCAGAACTCCAAGTCCGTTGGCCTCAGCACCTGGGCCAGCTTCCTCGGCTACAGCCCTCTGAAGTGCAACTTCTTCAACGCCTTCATGGTCAAGCAGAACGGTGTTGCCAAGGGTACCTACTGCAGTCTATTCACCCAGAAGTACAACCCTTCCGCTGCTTCCTACACTCCTTCTTTCTCCGCTGGATTCTCGTGGAGCATTGAGAGCTCCTGGTCCTTCTGCTCCAAATAAGCGAAGTCTTCGATGATTTGATCGATCCATTTCTTCTTCACTCCTTTAATATCTAGAGCATGGTGTTTGTTGTAGGCTTTGCACAGGTCGACTTGTTGGTCACCTCATTTGTTGAAACTGTACACTTAAAGGTCATGGCAACTAGAGCGGAGGATTTCTACTACATATTTAATCTTATCCAATTTTTGTTTGCACATTCGGCCTCAATCTCCAATGTGTTATATACATATTCAAATTTGAACCTGTGTCAGAATTCGTTTGAGACTGGGCGTACGAGTTGATTACCCAGCAGAGGCTTGCGGACAGTCTGTCAGCACGGCTCTACATCGGTTAGGCGAAAGATGCAGTGGAAGCTGGCGATGGTAAAGGGAAAGTGAAGGCACCTACATGTAATAAAAGAATGTCTCTGGTGCCACATGACCTATGGTTCATTGAAGTTGATTGAGGAGCATCTTTCTAGTGTGACCGCCAACCCGCATGCAGTAGACACTTCCCTTAACATGTATTACAGAATCCGTCGCGTAACGAAAAGCCCGTGGCCTAAACTTCGTAATGATGCGCCATCCTCTCTGAGGGACTATGGAAGGTCTTTCAGTGTGACCAATCCTCATGTACTCGAAGTCCATAGAACAGATGAAAGTTTGACGGGTGCATCCAAGATCAGAATTTATTGCAAGACTACAAGTCTTAAAGCTCCAACATCTTCCTACAGTATTTGAGCTCCATTGTTGCCGTCAAGTCTCAGGGCTTTTGGTACAACTCAATACCAACCTTCTAATCCTGACTTGATGCCCGAGGTTGCCGTTGATGGCACTGCTGACGACATGGGTGAACGGCCACCTGAGATTCACACTCAATTCTGTCGGCACCTTTATGCCTGCAGCGTTCGTCATCATAGAAGCCATCACTGAGAAACCCATCGCGGAAACTTGGGTGACCGTAGTGACGGGAGCTGGAGGCGATCTCAAGGATGCTGGTGGCGTTTTCCCCGATGTTGCCATTTGGGACGATAATGACAAGAGAATCGGGCGATACCGCACCAAGCTAGGTGACAAGATAGCCCAGAGCAGTGAGCGGACCGTCAAGATACCGAACAATGAGAATGACGGAACCATATCTGATCCTCAATACATCATGTTGAGCCACGGTACCGATGCGACCTGCATCGCCATGGTCCAAGTTTCCAATGGCCGGCTTGGCGCGACGGTCTACGGCGATACTGGATACATATGCGGCCAAGCCTGGTACCACAGCCAGAAGAAGTTCAAAGGAGACAATCTCATGTCCAAGTGCGTTTGGTTGGACTAGGACCACTTCCACCCAAGCTTGGACGCCAGAGCCATGAATTTTCACCTCAGAGACATGCTGCCTTCGCCTGACAAGTTGAAGTAATACAACAGCGAGCTGGCCTACATGTGTAAAAGCGCACCTCGTTACTCGTTCTGGAAGCACCTCATCCTAGACGGAGTCGTACTATTCTTCTACCCAGTTTTGAAGTACAACAAGGACTCTCTCAACCCGAAACCTGAGGGCACGAATGAAGATCCTATCGACGCCCTCAATCGGTTCAAGTACAATGATGGCGTGTTCGTTCAGCAAGGCGAATCCGAAAAGGAGTATCGAAGGAGAAGGAGAGCTCGTTCGACGCGCCCAAGCAAGAGACAAGGCTCAAATATGGATCCTGATCACCTGGACTTGATCGAGATACCGGTTCAGACTGCCCGGGAGATTTGCGAACACCCCAACTCGGTCGGGTACGACATTGTCTCGTTTGTGAACGGGAAATGCTGCGATCTGACAAAGAGGAGACTCTACGATCTTTGTGCAGGAACCATCATGGTCAACTGTTTTGAATGTCAACAGCACGACTATCATTGGGGCTCAAGGTCTTGTAGGGAGAAGGCAAGGCTTCGCCTCTGGGGCAAGCGCAAAGTCTTACAAGAAGAGGGCTTACTGGAAATAAAATTCTGGAATCTCTGAGCTCTGGATTAGAATGTAGAAAATTAGAGACCATTGAGGAAAATATAAGAAAGTGTCCGGTTGATGATAACTTACTGACTCATTTCACCAAAAATGCGTTCTTTTCTAATTTAACAGTACCGCACCCAGCAAAACATTTTCATTTCATGAATACCGCAAATTATACTTTCAATTTTGCCGTTTATCACTGAGTGCCCAATCAAGGGAAACCCGAAAGGTGCAGACCAGACTTGCGTACATAGAATAGAAGTACACCTGCTCCACTATCAGCCAAGGACTCGGAGTAAATCTATACATCCGCTGCTCTGCCGTCCTTCTATTCCCACCTTCCTTAACCGGTAGTCAAGCCGGTGCAGAGACCGAGACGTCCGCGACTTTCCCCACCCCTCGGCCCTCTCCGACGCTCCGTGGTGGACAAGAAACCTAGAGGATTGCATGTGACAAGTGATGTAAACACCTGTTTGATATTACTTGGCCCGCATGAATTGCGAAATTTTGGCTTACACACATGTAGAAGAGGAAAACTGAGGTCACGAGTGCTCAAGGAGGACCAAAGAGGTGTCGTGAACTTATGGATAGCGACTTGCCCCATTCAGGAGGCAGGGTATTCTTCGAGCACGAGCGATTCGTCTAGCTTCATCATAGCTGTAGGAGCCAAAAGTTGATGATTGTGCATTATCTATATGCCGACTGTCATGAATGCAGCAACTTCCACATGGTCTAAAACAACGCAATCGGATTTGTTGAGTTTGCAGTTCGCTGCTGCGCTACGTCCCAATGTTCCATGACGCAAGTTCCGTTGAATCTGAAAACATCCACCACGGCGAACGGCTGTCCTCCGCCCACAAGATCCATCCGGTAGTGAATAAATGCAATATTGTCTTGGAAGTTCTTGTTCATGATGGTGTAGTTGACCGTGTTCGGGGAAATGAAGGGTTCGAGGACCGCAAGAGAGTTCGCGCGGCCGGAGAGGGCGCCAGGGTTGTGCTGGATGTAGTCTTCGGCGACGTGGTTCAAGAGGGCCTTGGTCGCGTTTCGTTCTTCGTAGAAGGCTTGCATAAACTCTGCGAGAATGACCTTTTGCTGTTCGGGTGTTGCTGGTCGAGGAGGGCAATACGGCGCGGAGCCTTGACGCGGAGCAAGGGCACTTGTTGTCCAGGCCAGGGCGCTGACGCCGAAGGCGAGTAATGAGGATGTTCGCATTGTCTTGTGCTGTTGTCTGTTGTGATGTTTGACGTGATTTGTATGTCCGTGAGATAGCCGTAGGGAGGAACGATTTTGAGGGTGTCGATCAGAATGATCTTATAGACGAAGCGGATTGCAGTGGAAAGAAATGCCGATAATCAGATAGATTGAGTGGCTCTTGGTAGGAGAAATAGCCCGTTGCAACACTGATAGGAGTTCATCCAAACTGCGCCATGTGCCTCAATGCTAAGAAACTCTATTACTATAGACCCTTGTTCATCCCTGCTCGATACCATTGGCAATGACCAGAACCGGGAAGTCGCAGTCGGATTAGGGAATGACCAATGGTTTAGTGAGCGTTTTACTCATAATGTTTTGCTTGTAAAGCCGGCGGGATTCCTTGAATGTCGGAAACTCAGACAAGTGCTAATGAGAGGCGGGAGCCTGGAAGAACCTCGACTTCCCAATCGTAAGGATTGCGTTGCACTAATGTCCCGATCCTATACTTCAATCCTGCAAGATTGACTATTCGAACGATCTGAGGTGCAACAGACGAAGCATCAGCTCCATTCTGGAAGCTCTTAAACAATGGGGTCCCCTGGTGACGATCCTCAGCCCATCGGCACAGTGCCGAGCAAGGCCCGCGGTAGCGCATGGTTCCCAGGTTTCGGGAGTGGATACCGAAGCAAGTGTTCCTGGACTAAGTCATCTATATCTTTCCTGACAGCTGTTGACTAATCTTGGGTGATGACAAAAAGTGCGGGAAACTGGCATCAAATTGATTCCGATAGGCGGTGCTCGCACCTATATCGTGACCGTAGAAGAATCTTGGCCCAAGGTAAACAAAGCTGCCTGCATATGACACCAATGCAACTCAACGAGGTCTATCTGCATGAAGACCATCAGCACCGCCGTATATCTACACTCATTGTCGAATGGTATATGGTAAAGCCTAGAAGTAGGTTCCTGGAATTACTCCATGTCATGTGGCAGTTACTGTCAGTGTATCGGATTGTTTCGAGATGCCCTTGAACCCAAGGTATGACAAGTGACATGGGAGCCAACGCGCCTTTGACCCCAATTCCTGTGGGAGCGCCCGAGGCAAATAGCAGAATGCACAGCGTTGCCACGAGATTGAGGAAACCGGCTACGACCCGTATTGTCGTGAGGAATCTCTCAACCACTCTGCCGTTGTGATACGGACCAGCTTCGGGCCACGAGAGTCCCCACTTTGATTCTCCAGTCAGCATCGGGGTTCGCAACGTTGAACGAGGCCTGAGCACACCCATCGCCCGCATCTTGAAAGAACGGATCAGATGGAGGAAAGCAGAGACTTGCTCGGTTGCCTCCGGGTGGTTTTTATTTTATTTTTATTTTGACTTGATATCGTATCACCCTTTTGGCCATAACACAGCCTCTGGCCAAGGTACCTTGATGCCGCCTGGATATGTAAGAAACTTATGTCAAGATGTATCAGCCTCTCGACGTGACGATGTGTTTCTTCTGAGCCTTTGAGAAAGCTCCAACTCGAGCACATCTAAGCAACATAACCTCCAATCATGGCTTAGTACATTTGACACCCTTACGTATTGAACCATACTCAAGTATGAATGTGGAAAGACCCACCATGTTCCTGTTGGTTGCCGCGTAGCTTGTCGAGCAGATCGGAGCGCCTCTTCATTGGCTCATTCCGGAACGAACCACTGTCCTCTAATGATCTAGTTTCACAACATCTGTAGGACGAAAGGGATGAAATGCGACCATTTTTCTGTAGGGGGTGACATGTTGTGGACCACGCATGCTCTTAGCATTCCAACCAGATACCTCCTGGGAAAGCTCAATAGTGAGCAATGTTTCTGTCGCTTTGCTCATCGGAATATGCCCCGAAGAGCTATCAGGCCCCGAATCCCACAGTGTCCGAGCGTTCTGATTTAGCTTCCGCTTTGTGCTAAACTATTGATATGACGGCGGTGGGATCTACGACAGTGACAACTGAGCTAACCTTCTATTCTCATTTAAGCAAACGCGATAGTAAGTCACCACCAGACGCGTCTTGTGTAGCCATGAAAGGGGTGGCCTGCAACCCTGAAGCGATGCTCTGGAACGCAGCGTTGGCACACAAGGGATCAACCCTCCTTCGTGGGAAAACCCTCAAAACCTCACTCAAGATCCTTCGCCTTTCCCCATGGGTATCCGTTCTAGAGGCAGCTCCAGTCGCAGTCCTACCCACAAAAACCACATCATGAGCATCATCGGAGGGTACCCAGCACGGCGCTTCAGCCGCGCCAGACGCTTAATCAATGCGGCTGGAGTGAGCGTCTTTTTCCTGTTCCTGTGGATCTTCCGTGAACAGCTGGGTCTCGACCGTGTTGGCATAGATTCGAGCCTTCCGTGGATTCCGCGATTATCTCATCAGGGCATCTTTGACTTCGAGCCGATCAATTCGGACGTCATTCGAGCGGTTTGCGACAAGACGGAGTGGGATACGGGAAAGGCAATGCAGGTTGTGTTTACATGCGACAACAATATCGGCGGGATTGGGAATATCCGCAACTCGATCTTGAACTGCGTACGATACACGATGCTGGCCGGGGGCTCGTTGGTCATGCCGCGCATCTTCAAGCGCAGCGACTCGGACATCTCCCACATCTGGACGGGGCGGAGACAGGAGATGGAGTACCTCTTTGACAGGCAACACTTCATCGACTCGCTGCACCTCTCATGCCCCCAGCTGCGGCTCTACAACGACACCGACGAGGTCTACGAATCCCTTGGACCAGCACGAACATGGTCCCTCGGCCTCTTCCCGGAATCCCTTGTCGATGAGGAGCAAATCGCCAGCACGGGCATTGAGCATCCGGAAAAGTGGCAATCGCAGCTCCACCAGTGGCTCGAAGACATCAACAACACCACCGACACCGCGCCGACCGGGCGTCCCACGGAGGGCCCGATGATGGTGGACCTCGGCCGGTCATACCTCACTTACCCGACCAACAGCGACGGCGAGGTCTTCGCGACGACCTTTGGCACCATTCTCGAGTTCCGCGCGGACGTCCAGCAGCTCGCGACCGCCACGATCCTCAGCATCAACCGGCACTTCTTCGGCGCGCACCTGTTCACCGAGAAGGACGCGCTCGACAGCTGGAATCCGGTGGATCCGATGCGCCAGTGGACCGATTATAGCAAGCAGACGGACGCGTTCTTTGACCAGGCGAGTCGATGGGGCTTGTCAGTCATGTACGTCGCGTCCGGGAACGAGACGCAGGTGGCGACGCTCGAGGCGGACGCGGTGCCGCGCGGGGTGCGGGTCGTGACGAAGCATGACCTGCTGACGGGAAAGAATCGCAAGAGGCTAGATGCGTTGACATGGGATCAGAAAGGCATAATTGACTTCCTCGTCATGTTGGGAGCGGCTCAGTTCGGAGGCGTGGGACCTTCGAGCTTTGCGTGGAACGTAGCGCTGAAGAGGCATCTCTTTACCAAGGAGATTTCCAAGGAGAAGGACGCGTTCTTGAAGGGGCCGCAAATGTTCAGTGATGATCTGAGTCAGATTTATGGCGTGCCGGGGAAGTATCCCGAGTACGCGGCGTGTTTGTGGCCATAATACCGTTGCTGGTAAGGTATTAGTTGAAAGAAAGATGCTTCTTCGCGCTTGAATGAAGGTGTACTCTCACATTACCTAAGCATCGGCTTGCCTGTAGACAGGAGGCCTGGAAGAGACATTTTGATACTCACCCTGGAGGCTTACTAAGCTACTGGATGCGCGGGGTTCCCTGAGTGAGCAGAGACTCTTGGTTCTCCCCATCAACCTTTTGCGTCGCCCATCATCGGATGCCAAGACCAATGCCAAGATGGAGACTGTTCCGGACCCCCAAGATCTCCCACCCGACCCACGACTTCCGGGCCAACAGCCTCGATTCTCCCGCGACAACATCATCGCCTCTCTCACATCTTTCTACCGGAGTCTGCCGCATATCGACCCCTCTCTAGTTCGTCACGCGCCGTCGGGGGGTTGGCCAGAAATCACCCCGGAGGCGCTCGCGGCCACTGGGATGCGAAATTGTCACCGACGAGTCGTGGAATTAATCAGGCATCTGCCGTACATTGACGGCATTCCCCTTTGGATCACTCCGGAAACATTCCCCATCAACTACCGTACCGCCGTATCTTTGATACCAGCCGTTGGAGTGTTTAAGCCCAAATGGCTGCATGCTCTATCTCATGACCTTCAGTCGTTTGAGGGCTTTCCGCCTTGGGTGATCCCTCTCACTATGAGTGTAAACAGAGACGGTGACATATGGCTACTGGACACGATGGACGGCACAGTGACGAAGTATATCATCACGGGACCTGTGTATCCCGAGCCGGTGGGGCGATATGAAGAGGGCGATCCTCGGATATGGAGAGAGACATTGTGTGACGACATCACTCTTCCCCTGAAGGCGTGGCTGGAGGGGATACTCGACAAGTTCAAGGCGTTTAAGTACTTTGGCCTTCCCCGTCACGACGACCCAGGCGTCCTGTCGAAAGATCATTGGAGTGAGGAAACAAAAGTAAGCAGTGTTGTGCCTAGTCTGACCGGGACTGACTGACTTTTCTTCAAGGAACTTAAAGAGATTCTTGTCCAGAACGGATGGCCAGAAGACTACAACAGTGAGGAGGGCCGCAAGAAACTAGTGGAATGGGTGAAAAAGGCAGACATCTAGTGGAAGGATCAATCAAGCGGCACATGCACATCACAAGTAGAGGTAAGAATATCATCAGAGTTTGTGAGTTGTATTTGAATATACTGTTAAGATATGACCATATCAAATACCAGTATACATAGGAATATCAGAGTCGAACGACCGTCCAGGTTGACTCGGAGGAAGGGCTTGAACGACGCTGTGTTCATGGACCGGTGTTGGCTCAGGGGCCGGCGCTTCAGCAGGCGAGTTGGCCACCATCTCGGCCGTGTCTCTGAACCTTCTGGCCACATCTTTCAGCTTCTCAATCTCTCGCGAGCAATTGCTATTCGTGCACTCATCGAAGCCGAGGTGATCGCGCAGCTCCTCTGGCGTTGCCACCCGTGTGGAGTTGACACCCTCCACCACCAAGCCTGCTGGCTCGACCCAACGCTTCTGCGCAGGACCATTGGGCCACGTGTCTCTCAGGTCTGCTTCCTCCTGGTGACTATCAAAGTAGACATCCTCATTGAGGAGAGCGTAGCCGGGGTGCTTTACTCCGTTGATCGTCGGTACACAGATATTGTCCGCGATACCGTAATCGTCAGAGTCATCAGGGAGGCCGTCAAAGTCGAGTTCCCAGACGAGACGTGAGAGTGCCACCTTGGTCAGATGCCACTCGATGGGGACTCGGGCATCTGGGTTGATGACGGTGACGGTAGTGTCTAAATCAGTGGCCACAGGTGGTTGTCGGCATTTGTCAAAGATCTTTCCGGCTTCCCGGTTGTCGACGAGGTCGAGATAACGAACCATCTGACCATCTACCGAAGGTGGCTTCGCACTAAGGAATCTCCGTACCTCCGTGTCACCATCCTTGATCATAGAAGTGAGTAAGCTGTACCCATCGTTCACAGGTGCCATGACCGCTGGCGGGTATTCGTCTGGAGAGCATCCGTTAGGCGCATTGATGACGGGATCCCAGAGTGCCGTCGACCGCTGTCGATTAAAGGTTCCCGTGATGGGGCGTTTCTTATCGTCGACCTTGCGGTAAGGGCAAGTGATGGTCTTGTACTTGGGGTAGTTATCCACGATGGACTTGTAGTTCTTACAAGCCTCCGGATAGACACCGTTACCACCGGCGCAAGGAATCTTGTAGCCGTTGCCTGGAAGCCTGCTGGTCGATACTACGATTTCACTAGTTCGATGCGAAGTCATGTAGCGCTTTTGTCTTTTGCAAGGTCTCCCGTCATCTGCTCGCTTGACGTTGGAAGGACATGAAGAGGTTTTTGCCGATGACTTGTGGATGTCAGCACTTGGCCAAGTGTAAAGCCCAGAAAAAGGTGGAAAAGAAACTTACATGGCTAGACTTTGGCGGCCGTGACACTGTCTTGGACGGCTTGTCGAACGAAACGGAGTGTTCCTTGCCGAAAACCTTGAACACAGCTTTGCCCTCTTTCTCGATGCCATCAGTGCAAAGTTGAATCAGGGCTGGCGTCGCAGCAATCTCAGCGATATCCAGGATTTCGCCTAAACTCATTAGCATAGAACATTCAAGAGCGATTTGAAGAAGTTATAGAAGTCGCTTAACGTACCAATAATCGGGATGGCGGCTTCGATCAACTCCAGGGGTGCCAAGAGAGCAGGAATGGCGAGTCGACAGAAAGCCTTGGCTGCAATGTCGAGAGCTGCTTGTTCAGCCGCCTCCTCGGCCAGCTCCTCGGCCTTTTCTTTAGCCTCCTCCTCTAGCTCTTCTTTCGTCGGAGCTGATTCGAAGCCCTTACAGCAGTAACTTTGGATACCCCCAGTGCATGTCTGGTCGCCGTTCTTGCTGTGGTTATTCGTATCCTGTAGGACCTCAGTCTCCTCGTCATCGCAGCCACTCATGCACGATAGACCTAGACCGCGGTAGCCACGCCACTTGCAAGTGCCCATCGTTGTGCCATCATCGCAGCAGAGGGTGCGATACTTGTTCTTATCGCAGCGATCACTGGTTGAGAGCATACCAGGCTGTCCATTCATCTGAGTGACTGGATTAGTGCCCTTCTTGCAGCTCGCTCCGCAATCTGTCGTGTAGCATGAGACTCCGGCTGCAAGTCCTTGAGCCATTTCTTGGGCATCCTCTTGCTGACCAGTCGTGACTCCGGATGCGGGAGCCAGGCCGTTGTCCTCTCCCTGGTCTCTTTGATCCATGGCCCAGACCTGAATCACTGAATCAGCTTGAAAACTATATGAGATAGACACAGAAGCTACACTCACCATCGTGCCTCCCAAGCAGTGGGAGTTGGCAAACTTGCGCTTCTGCTCAAAGGTGTCGTCGTCGTCGTACGAGACCCACTGGTTGTCATCCCAGGTAATCCACTTCACCATGGCGTCCTTGTCCCACACGGGCTTGACGCCGTTGTAGTCAATGACCGAGTTGATCTCTTGCAGAGTCAAGATGCCCGATGCGTTAGAACACTGCCCTGCCAAGGCACCGCCTGAAAATTGGCAAACGCCATTAGGTTTGTTGCAAGAGGGGTCAGAGAGTGTGAAGCTGCGTCCGTACCACCCAAGGCCCAGAATGACCTTGGCAGGCTTAACGCCAGCTCTCCACAAGAGATCGAGACCCATATCGATCTCAGTAACATTGGTATGGGGTGCAAGGTAAGGCCCGACAAACTTGGACGCAGCGTCCCAAGTTCCGTGCACTTCCAAGTGTTGTTAGTCTAGGGGTTCGTGGTGTTGTAATGGTACTTGGGCGAGACTCACAGTCGTAGGCCATGAAGTTGAACCAATCGATATCTGCCGCAATCGATGCAAGATCAAAATGCTGAAGATACCAATATGACGTCGGCAGCGTCATTGAAATTCCGTAGCGGGAGCCTGGCGCGGGTTAATCAAGCCGAATTATCATGAGATAATATGAAAAGAACTTACCAAAAGCAGCCCTGAGCTCCTTGGTAAGCAGAGCATAGTTCTTCTTGTCTGCTGTGACGCCGCCTCTGTCGTCGGCTTGAGGGTACTCCCAATCAAGATCAACGCCGTCGAAGCCATACTATAAGTCGATCATTGTTAGCTTAAGGCAAGAAATAAGGATTGCTGAAGGTATACTTACGTGCTCCATGAAGTCAATCAGACCAGAAATGAACTTTTGCCTGTTTCCAGACGTGCTCGTCATGTCGCTGAAGGCTGTCCTAGTAGCTCCTGGATCAGTGAAAGACCAGCCGCCAACGGAGATCCAGGCTTCTAGCCCGGCGTTGTTCTTCTTGAGTGCTGTGAAGCGGCTGTAAAGTTTCCCAGTCTCGGTGTCCATGGGAGCAATCTGGAAAGTCTGCGGGTCGAAGAATGCAAAAGCAAAGTTGATGTGAGAAAATCCGTTCAGGTTGAGATCCTCCGGCGACACTGCTTGGCAAGTGCGGGTGTTTGACCATCCTTCGTAGTAACCAATTGTGCGCTTGGAGACAGAATTGCCTGAACAGGATGGTCTTGTCACATTGCCGCAACCGCCAAAATCTTTTTGGCAGCCTTTACCGCAGAAATCACTTGTGGAACCGCAGAACCTGGTGCATATTTGATCAGCAAATGCATGACTGACATGGAGTAGTGAAGATTCATCAACTCTACCACTCACCCGAACTCAGAACAGCAGACACTCAAAGGGCATTCCTGAGCGCCTACTTTGCCGTACTGGCCACATTGAGCTTTGGCATCACAGTTCGACGTGCAGTTGCCCTTGCCGCACTCTGTTGGAGAGTAGCCGCAAAGCCCATTGGTACCACAGCAAGCCGCATTCTCACATGGAGTGTCTGCGTTGCATGTGCCAGTCGGAAGGGCTCGTCCGGTAAGAAGGTGGTCAAGAGAAGGAATGACAAAAGGAGTGATAGGCGCGACGTGGTTGCTAGAGTCTAAAGGAACGGCTGAGATGAGGAAAGGAATGGCTGCCACGAAGGCGTAAAGAAGAATGAGTGGAAACATCCCCGTGGCCTTGGACGACTCTTTGGAGTCTAAAATGATGCGTAACTCAGTAGCGAAAGAGTTTCAAGAGCAAAACGGCAGCCCCCCAGACACAAATATGGCAATTGCATCAAATGCAGTACCCAGCTCTTCAAGATCGAGAACCGGCGTGTGGCTCACCAACAGGCAAGGAAAGCGTGCTCGCTTGCTCACTCCTGATCCAGCCAGGACTGCAGGGGTTGTGGTTGCATTTCGACTCGGGTCATTTGATGCAGAGTGAGATTGAGCTGATGCTATGGATACATGTAGCGTCGGATGTAGCCTTGTCCAGATGGACGTACCCAGAGCAGACTATAGATTATCAAACAAGTCACCCTTGAACACCCTCAACATGTGGATCGAGACTTTGATGATTAGACGGTCTCGGCGGCTTTGACTGGTTTGGCAGAAGTTCCTCGTCAGCCTGACCTGTATTGATATAAAATGACCCTCTTTTGACTAAATCAGCATCTCACTTGCTTCCGAAGCCATCCCAAATTCAATAACAACGGCCGCAGGGAGTAAGCAGGTCGGTTGCATAGAGCTGGCGATGTGACCCTTCAAAGCCTTGTTGGGCGGAGAATCTCATCTAACCCCCGGCCCCTGTCACAAAAAAGCTTACCTGGACTTGGCTACTCTTGGCCATTCTTGGCTCGCCTCGGCACGAAATTGCCGCTGACATGAACCACTTTTTGAGTCCAGATGACTGCTGTGCCGCAGGCTACAGCACGGCTTCGGCCCGTCGTGCTTACTTGGAGGCAAGACAGATTGAGACAACTCCTTTTCCTTGCAGTCTGAACTAGCAACCAGACCTATCAAACGGCGCCGCAGCTCGCGTAAAGGAAGAAAGATGCGATTACCGACTCATTTGCGGGAAACCCGACTCCGGCAAGGATTTCAACCCTGCAGAAAGCACTTCCGTCGCGTGCACTTCTTCAATCCCCTCGGCTTCGATATCATATGGCTAGGGTAAAGCGTTCCTTGCAGGCCCCATACTTCGAAGCTGCAGCCTAATGCAACTTCACTTAGAGGTTTGGGATCATTGTTGTCAGACCAATTTCCGCTCCATTAGTGCCGATTCTGATGCCGACAACATCGAAGAGAGAACAGAGCCAGATAATCATCTATCAATGTCTTTCTCTCCCGGTAAATGAGTTCAAGGTCCATATACCCAAGGCTTCGCTCATGAGATGAGCCGCAGTACCAATCCTGTGCCTGTCCATTCCTTACCAGCATAGAGCCCGCCGCTCTAGGCAATTTTTATCGTCATGGAGAGTCACTCATTCTGGGTTCTGTTCGTTGCGCTTAGTTTTCTTCAAACATGTCACTCATTCAATCTTTACCCAGCCATCAATGGTGATAAGCTCGCCAAGTCACTGAACGTCACATCAGACTGCATTGCAGCATTGTCAGCGCCTTAGCCTCAAAATATCGTTTGGGTTACCTGTGCTGATCAATGAGATAGAAACCAAACTATTCCAGAATGTGACCAGACGTTACTGCAGATGACGATGAACCTGGAGAACTACTGGTGGACCGATGACAACCTCACGGCTGTCTGCGACTCAGGCTGTGCCGAAGCCGTTGGATCGTGGAACTACAATGTCTCTGACCCCTGCTTTGAGCAGACTTTCACAGCATATGGAAAGCTTGTACCCATTTGGACGGTCACTGAGCGTGTTGTTGACAATCTCATCTTCGCCTGTTTGCCATCTCGGTTCGTATCATTGCCCGGGGCTATCTCTACGGAATCATGCTAATATTTCATAGATCCGACAACTACACGTACTGCCTCACAGAATCTCAGGAGTGGATCGGGGCCGATGTGCTGCGGGTTGACTGTGATGCCAATCCCTCAGATCCCACTTGCGGCGGCAACTCCACGGACATCCCCGAGGCAAACGTTCGTCTAGCCAACCTTTATGAAGACGATATTGTGAGTTGGTCTCTAGGTCTATCGATTACACCGCACTAACACGTCACTCAGTTGTGCAATGATTGCTTCATCAATCAGCTTTACACTCGCCTCTCGTCCATCTTCCTGCCGGACACCGACTACTCGGAGTATCTCGCAGACCAAATTTATGATATCCAAGATGTCTGCAACAAAACTATTCCCGACTTTACTATTGCACTCCCTTGGGATTATGAGACTGCAGCGCCCCTATCTTCCGTAAACGTGGGATCTTCGACGACTGCCGTGGTCACTGCCACCAGTTCCACGGCCGCTGCCACGACGACGTGCGCAGGTCAGACGCTTGGTTCTGCTGCGTCAAAGAGGGATAATGCGTTGGACTGGGTCAAAAGATCTACATCCGGGGTGGAGCCTAGGGCATTGTCATGCGATGACTTGTCCTCTCAGTACGGCGTGAACACCGGCACACTTCAGTGGCTCACCAACAGTGATACATGTGCTGTCTCTGGCTCGGTTTGTCTGCCTCAGCGATGCACACTGCAGAAGGTTGGAAGCAATGAGACTTGGTGAGTATTGTAAACCAATCTTTGTTATTTCCGTCCTGTTGATGCTGACGGACGTCCTTCAAGTGCGAGCATTGCAGCATCCATCGGCGGTAACACTACTATTGTCCAGTTCAAGAAGTGGAACACCTACATCCTCGGACTTTGTGACAGTCTTACTGAGGGCCAGTGGGTATGCATAAGGTAAGAATGACTTTGATCAACTATGCTAAGTGTGAAGTGGGCTGACCGATATTGCTGGATAGTTCTCCCGGCGTCAATGCTACATACACTTTGCCAGCACCACCCTTAGGCACAGAGGCCAATGCCGGGAATCAACAGCGAGGAGGTGCTGGGGGCATCGTATCGGCCACGACGACCGCAACAGACATTGTCAACCCTGTTTCAGGAGGAACAGCCCCTAGCCCAACTCAAGATGGGCTTGTCACCAACGTAAGACGAACCCTTGACAATGAATCAATAACCAAGACACACGACTAACTCTGTTGATTTGCAGTGTAACAACTACGCCAGTGCTACCGCCGGAGACGGCTGTGAAGCGTTTGCCACCCGAAATTCAATTGTACCAACACAGCTTTATGCATGGAACCCTGTCCTTGGCACTGCTGGTTCTGAATGCTCAACCGCCCTATGGGCTAGTGAGTACTACTGTATCGGCACGTGGAAGCCAACCCAGACTTCTGCCGTGACTGCACCGGGCCCAACCCAGACTGGGATTACGTCCAGTTGCAACAAGTACGCAGAGGCGATCTCTGGTGACGTCTGCAGCGTCTTTGCCTCTCGCAACAACATCACAACCGCTCAGCTCTATGCTTGGAATAGCGTGCTGGGATCCAGTGGAGAGAATTGCGCGGGTTCCATGTGGGCGGATGAGTACTACTGCGTCGGTGTTTCTGGATCATCGTCCGCAGCAACAACGACACAAGCTACTACAGCCACGGCTGCGGTCTCGACAACTGCGACTCAGGTAACAGCTCCAGGCCCAACCCAGACCGGCATCGTATCGAGCTGCTCCAAGTTTGCCAAGGCGCCCTCTGGAGTTGTCTGCGGCGACTTTTCAAGCAGCAATAGCATTTCGACTGATCAGCTGTACGCCTGGAACACAGTTCTTGGCATCAATGGAGAGAACTGCGCGTCTTCGATGTGGGCGAATGAGTATTACTGCGTCGGCATCACTGTAGCTGCCCCGGGCCCGACGCAAGATGGCATCAACTCTAACTGTGCTCGGTACGCTGAAGCACCTTCAGGAGCGACCTGCACCACTTTTTCAAGCGCTAATGGAGTAACGCTGGCTCAATTGTATTCTTGGAATCCGGTTTTGGGGACGAATGGGGAGAATTGCGCGTCAAAAATGTGGGCATTGGAATACTACTGTATCAGCATCACCAAGTAGATTTAGAATGCCCCCTTTTTCGCTACAAGAAGATCGATACCCCAAGTCCAATGATTGCTATGAGGTGACATGTATACACATACGAAGAAGCTCTTATAGGTCCCGAGATTCCAACTCCCGTCACCACAAACAGCAGGCGCCCATCTAGGTCGGCGGGTCAGGTCAAATTGTGATGAGTATTGAAGTGGTTTGTGGTCAGTATTCAACATGCTAACAAGCCTGATAGACGATAGGCTACGGGTTAGAGTTCTATTCCCATCCCCTGCACCAAGGGATGCAGCCTCCAATTCAGCACCGGGTGGTGGAACTGTTATTTTGCCCGTCTATGTTTCCGATCCCCCTAGAGGACTGTTTCTACGATCTATGCCCTACACCTCGGCTGTCAATGGTTTGTTCTCTTTTATACGGTCAGCTTATAACACATTTAACTATATACCTGGCATGAAAGAGATTATCGACATGATTATAATGGATGCCTATTTCTTCAAGAAGTGCTATCTAATTCTACTGCTCAAAGAACGATTGATGACACCATGCATGCCCTCTGTAGTCCGCAGCTAGACATCTCCGCTCACAAATGCAGAAATATATGCCTGATATGCATAGTGGGCTGATGGTCGTTTCTAGACTTGGCAGCATAAGTACTGACATGCCTTAGAAATATAGTCGTTGTGGGCCGAGCTCATCAACGTAGACCAACGAGCAACCAAATCGATCAAATGTCAAAGCCGCCAAAATTGGACCCGCATGAACGAAGCTGCGCGAATAATGACATGGCATGCACTGGAGCCTAATGAGCCAGAATGTAGTCCTGAAACTGCACAATTTCGTTTGCCGCTTGTCGGTGCCTTAGACATGTGTTGGGACGGTCGCTGCAGGAGGCCGACCACCAACAAAAACATGCAGCTGGGCATCCAACCAGCTTCGATCGATATTTCTGGGCACCATATTGTATATGTAGGTGGCCCAATCCCCCATCGACGGCTTCTTCTGCTGGCATCGAAACTTTCCCACCTTCCCCACAAACTTTACGATGAGCTACAATAAAGCAGACCTTGAGCGAGTGTACAGCACCTGCAGAGCAATCTTTAGCGGCGTCGATGCCCAGTTGCGCAAAAAGAAGAAGGTCAAAGAGGTTTTGATCAAGAATAGGGTCGCTGTTCGATCGCTGTTCCTCAATTATGGCGAGGAGAAGACCACCCTCATGGCGCAGCAACTGTTGGAAACCCGGGTATTCGAGTCGGATCTCCGCGCCAAGGTCATGTTTCCGAATCTGTTCCAGAGCACCCCGCAGCAGGACGCTGAGCGAGAGGCTTCTGAGGCCGATGCAGTGAGGTCGGTTGCAAACGCTTTGGACTATATGAGTCAGTCTGAAGGCGAGGGTGATGATGAGTTCGATCAGATTCCCGAAGTATCTCTTGAGGAAGCATGTCCCACTCCCTTAGCAGAGGAAGTTTCAGAAGAAGCACCTTCTGCCGATGAACTTCCTGTCTCAATTGAGACTACGGCACCTCCACAAACTCCCACAGATATCTGCGATGTTGACTCGGGTAGGTCATATTTTGTTCTGCAGTTACGCAACTTCACTAACAAGGCTCAAGGGACCACCCTGACATATCCACGGCCGCACACCAATCTCCCCTCTTTGTATCCCGCGCGCCTCCCTTACAATACCCAACATAACATTCTCACCACCGTCCAGAGAATTCTGGAGGACTGCTGCTTTGACTTTGCAACTAAATGGATACCGCACGTTCTTCAGGGTCAAGGCTGGGACTGTTCTTCGGCGGTCGAGTTGACGAAGTGGACTAGTGTCTTCAGCACAACTGGCCTGAAGTTGCCTGCGCACGCTACCACGCCGGCAGGCACCTCCATTAAGGAAATTCTTTTCCATACACATCAACTAAGGCACACAGCCGTGCATAGACTGCCCACAACTGCCCGTGGAGTCAATCAGCACTTGCGGGCCGCACTGAGAGTGGCCGAAGCTCTCCAAGACGTTTCCCGCGCGGCCCAGCTAGAAGACTTGGTGTCCGAGGTCGATGAGAAAATCAAGGCCATGGTGCTTACGAAGAACGTTTTGGAGAACCGCACTCTTTTCAGTCTTGACGACATCCGCCGTCAACGCGAGGAACTCGATCGTCAGGAGAAAGAAGTGATTGAGAGCATGGTGAAAGAGGATAGTGACCACAAAGCGCTCATCGGTCGCTTGCTTGAAGCTGCCGTCGATGACATCTTCGAGAAGAAGTTGGCTAGGGGTCAGATATTGGAGGAAGCTGAGAATGATGCTGCAGATATCTATTACGAAGTCAGCGAAGAAATTGTGAATGGGGCTACTGAGGATTCCGACATGAGCAAGGGCAAGAGAACCCCCAGAGAGGACGGGAAAGAGAGCCAAGATCTCTCCTTCTGGATGAGAAAATTGGTTGTCTGACTTGGGTCAACTCTTGATGCCTTAGAGATTTCCAGTCATGGATAGGCGCAAAGAATCAACATATTTCGGCTTCTAGTAGGAACTCGTGCAATCGTTTCAATCTTAGGCTGGCCAGGATTTGGCTGTGTTGTTATGAGGTAATCTGCCTCGAAACGAGAATGCAATGCGATGATAGGGTTGTTAATCCATGTTGCGTCGCTTTTCCACATCAGTCTAGCTCTTGGATTGAAACTGGTTAATGGTAACAACAAGGCACAGTCTTTGAAGATGTCGTTCGCGCCTTACGTGGGTGGGTGGGTGCCTTCGAACCTCGCGCTCACCGAGACCGCCGGCCGGCCGCAGGAAGAGACTCGGAAGGCCGACCCCGCACTAGGCCGAATCAGGAGTAGAGTGGGGATATCAATGACCAATCAACAGAGTCAATCTCAAGATCGAAAGGTTAATGTCCGTGCTTCCTCAGATCGACCTGTTGGACCCCTCATTGATGTTGTGTTCCCCGGTTGCGGAATGCGAAAGATAAAGACAAGATCAATATCGATACCTAGATGGAACCAACCATGGCTTGACACTGCAAATTCTGCGATATCAGAGGTACCCGGATGCCACAGCCGGTCGCACATAAGCGGATGTCACGTGTGACGGACGGCAAGCGGCGGCCCCGCCGTCGCCACCTTCCCGACCCCCCCCCGGCCGTTCAAATTTTCGTCCGGGCCAGAAGGAAAAAAAAAAAAGATGGCCAAGGGCGTGGGGCAATCACGCAAAGGGCGCTTGCCATGCCGCTTTGTTAGCCGGTTCCTACTGCCTTACCTTAGTCGAGTGGTCCCTTCACCCTGCCGCCGCTCGTAGTCATTGCCTTGACCTTTTCTTTGACTGAACATACCTTATTTCTGTTCCTAATACTATTCTGTCATTGGAATCCCCGGTCGACAACATGACAACTATGGACGAGGAGCAGCCTCTGCTGGTTGAGGACCCCATCTGCGAGGAAGATATCTCGAAGCACTTGCTCGACTTTGACCCCAATGGCGACCCTGAAAACCCCAGGGAATGGCCTGCATCCTTCAAGTGGACTCTGGTCGCATTGCTGGCTCTCACCGCGTTCACCGTGTATGACAATCATCAAACCTGATGTGCATTGCATCAAAGATCTCATGGCCACGTTCGAGCTGACATCTTTCCCAGCACCTTCACCTGCATCTCAGTCGTTCCTGTAGCCGCCCACATCATCGAAGACCTAGACCAGAATGAAGGCACAAACTCACCAGCGGCCGCACTGCTCGTCACAATCTGGGAGCTCGGTGAAGCCGCCGGCCCCCTCCTCATCGCGCCCCTTTCCGAGATCTATGGACGCTACCCCGTTATGAACGCCGCCAACATTCTCTTCATCATCGCTACGGTCCTAGCCGCCATTAGCACGAGCACCCCGCTCCTCATCGGCGCCCGCTGTCTCACCGGTCTCGCCGTCGCTTCCAACGTGCTTAACCCGGCCATCATCGGCGACATGTTCGTCCCGGACAACCGCGGCTCGGCTATGAGCATAGTGTCTCTCGCCCCGCTCATCGGCGGTGCGGTCGGTCCGATGATTAGCGGCGCCATTGCGCAGACCCTCGGCTGGAGACAGGTACTCTGGATGAGCGCTGGTCTGGCAACGGTCTGTGAGATTTTATTCCTCACCTGCTTCCGGGAGACATATAAGATGACCATCTTGCGACGCCGTGCCGCGAAGCATGCTGATGAGCATGGGGCACCGCTTCACCCTGCCGGAGTTGATGACCACAAGAGCTTGATTAAGCTATGGGAGTCGATCAAGCGGCCTTTCTATGTTTTGCTCAGGTCAAATGTTCTGATGGGATTGTCGTTCTTTGGGTGCATAACATTCGCCTACTTTTACGTCATGTCCATCAGCTTGCCTGTCATCCTCCAGGACGTGTATGGCTTCTCGCCTGCCCTGACTGGTCTTTCATTCATGTCCTTCAGTGAGTCTTTCCCGAAACTCCGCCCGTCATCAATGCACTCTAACAAACTCAGGTGTCGGATCATTCATCAGTGTCCTTGTCAGCAACTTTAGTCTCGATAGGATCTATGTGAAGCTTCGCGGCAACGACCCCGTAGGACGACCCGAGTACCGCCTCCCGCTGGTCATCATCGGCGCATTCACCCTGCCCCTCTCCATCACCGCATACGGCTGGATCGCAGAGCTACACCTCCCCGTCGGCCTTCTTCTCCTCTCCGTCGCGATGCTCGGCTTCACTCTTCTAATGGCCTCCCTCCCGCTCTCAGCCTACGTCGTCGACGCCACAGGCTTGTACTCTGCCTCTGCCATGACTGGCGTCATCGTGACGAGATGCCTGGCGGGCACCTTCCTACCCCTTGCGAGCGGGCCCATGGTGCAGACCTTTGGTTATGGTTGGGGTTTCACGATGCTGGGTGCTTTTAGCATTTGTCTTGCGCCAATCCCGGTGATTGTCATGAGATACGGCCACATTTGGCGCCAAAAGTCCGAGTACACGAGAGATGCCTGAAACGTCATGAGTTACGATGCCACTGTCATTAAAGCATATTACTGGGAACGGAAAAGTGATTTACGATGCGCTATTGCTACATTTGGCTCGGGAGGTTCCTTCTACTTAACTTAGATTCGGCGTTATTGAGAGGCATACTTCAACAGCTTTGTGAATAGAATCCATTGATAGTCATTCATCGCCGACAAATCACGTCAAGTCTTCTTTTGCTCCCACTCTTCGAATGCCTCGGTAGCTTCCGCAACGGAATCCCGCGCCATCAATTCCATCCGATAATCCTCATCCATCAACCGCCACCCCGTCGGCGCCAGCTCATCATTCAGCGGTACGCCTGTCATCTCCGCATCGCGAGCCTCCTGCTCCGGCCCATCACGAACATGATACCACTTCCGATTCGAGGTCGCGCCCTGCACGCTCACCGTCGTCCGGTCTTTTCGAAGTGTCTCGTACAGCTTTAAGATCTCGGGGATCTTTGGTACCATGTTTTCTCCCCCCAAGGAGGTCTTCAAGAGGCCAAGGAGCTTACCGATCACAGCGCCATCTTCGACGGCCATGGCTGCGCCTTGGGCTTGGTAGGGTAGACTCGGATGGCATGAGTCGCCCAGAAGAGCGAAGCAGCCCTTGGTCCACGTCTTCAATTCGGGGTGCGTGCATAGCTTCCATTTTTGCACTCTCGGTATCAACGAGATGAGCTTTGTCAACCTAGACAATGATTAGTAACCACGGGCGATGCATCAAATCTCACCTGACAGTATTTCAAGCAGCCGGAAACTTACGTCTCGTCCCATCCATAATAACTTTCTCTCATTTCTTCTATGTCGCCCTGGACGCGCTTCTCCCCCGGTTCCATGTTATCCGGCCTGATGAGCACAAGGTTGAATTCCCGACCTCCTCTGACGGGATAGAAGACGGTGTGCCTGTCGGGCCCCATCCACACCGTGACCTGTTTCCTCGCGCAGAGATCATCTACACGGGGATCCTTGAGAGCTTTGAGGTAGTCGAAAGGGAACGTAGCGCGGTATGCCAAATCACCCGTCTCAACCGGTGGCGAAGGAGATCCAAGAAGCTGGTCCCGACAAATGGACCATAGCCCTGGCATCCAACATCAGCAAAAACCAACTCCTCGTCTGTTCAAACTACCTAGGTCAAGTACTCACCGTCAGCACCGATAATTACATCCCCACCAATATCATCCCCATCTTCAAGATACACCACCTTCTCCTCGAAATCAATCCTTTCAACATCCATATCAAGACACAAATCCACACCGATCTCCTTGCACGTCTGCCACAGGACATAGTGCAAATCAGCCCGGTGTACAACCATCCAGAGATCGCCGTACCGGGCCTGCGCGTCCTTGGCTGAGAGTGTGTGCAGGTGCTTGCCGTCGGCGTACCTGCAAAACTCCATCCCGTCAATGACGACCCCGCATTGGAGGATTTTATCGAGGTAGCCTAGTTGTCTTGCGATTCTGGTTCCGTTTGGTGGTAGTTGTAAACCTGCTCCGATCTAAAGATATCATTAGACAACGGTTCCATTGAAGAGGAAAATGTCGCGTGGACGGCGTTGGGTGTCGGCCTACCGGTACCAGTCTGTTCGCCCTCTCAAGAACAACCACCTCGAACCCCTCTCTTCGACACGCTATCGCGCAAGCGAGGCCGCCGAGACCTGCGCCAATGATGAGGACTCTCATGTTGGCATTTGGCTTGGGTGAGAAACTGTGGTCTAGCAGACCGGCGATGATGAGTTTGTCATTATCTACATTCGAATCACAATCTGTCCAGTCTTTCACGGTAGCTGCCCCGCTACTTTAAAGGGTCTCCGGCCTGAACCTACATCATGCAGGAAACCCCGCGCCGGATCTGCCTTCCCGTCCCCCACCACCGAACCGCTGCGTCTCATCGCGCCAAACTACCTTATGAGGGGCACACCGAAAACCACTTTCTAGAGAGTGAATGTCTGCTAGATCCGGTAGGTTTTCAAAGGCTGGTGACATAATACCGGTAGACATCGCTGTGTGTGTATTGTTATTGGATAAAGAGATCTTCAACGGCCTCGTCAGCCCTTACTTGCGGCCCGAGTTGGTTCGACCTAGCGACCGACTGCATTCTTCTTGGTCGTTGTATAAATATGTTGAACTCCCCTATGTCCCCGTCGTCCTGCGGCTCAAAACTGCAATTGAAACCTTCAAGCTTGATCTACGGACTCGGAAAAGCCGAATCTCGCTTTCGGGGCGGCATTCCCCAAAGAAAGGCCCTCTCACGTCGGAATAAGAAACAACGGCAAATCCCACCTTATGCCATCATCCTTTTGTCGGCTCAAACATCGGCGTCCTCGATTACTCATTCCACCTAGGTATTCCACCCGGACTTTTCCTCTCTATTCTCTCGGTGATCACTAGATACGCATTTTTCCGTGTCCGCCACCTCCATGGGGATGTGGCAAAAGTCATCCGAACATGCACGCGTAGGTTCCAACCCCGCGATATCCGCCGCGTCTTCCCCCCCAACGGTTAGAAATCACTGCATCTTCCAACCTCCAAAGAAATTTATTTCCCCGAAATCGCCGAACAGCGCGAACAGCGGGCCAGGCGGCGTTTACTTTTTCGTCTCAACATTCATATGCAGCTTCGGCGCCCAGCCGCGCGCTGCCGTGCATGCACGGGTCCAGGCCAGTGAACATCATGGTACAAATTGCTAGAGAGGTCACGAGGCCCGTGATAGACCGACCCTATCTTCGCCCGACTCTCCCGGCGGCATCTTCGGTCGCCAGGGGGGGGAAGAGAATAATCTTTTGCTGCGATTCAAGATGCGTCAAAGACGAGCCATCCCCAATTCTCGTGCTGGATCCATGTTTATAAGCGTGCTTTCGCGACTGTTTTTGGAGAAAAGGCAGTGTTTTGGCGTTTCTTGAGTTCGTTAGGGGATAATGCCAAGTTTGCGACGATGGAAATCCAAGCCCTCGTGAGATATGAATACCAAGGAACCATATTTCACGGCAATCTAGTACGAACTAGTGATTCTGGCTATCTTGTCGAGCGACTCCACGGAAACCTAGATGTCGGACTAGAGAGGACAGATATCAGAGACACGGTGATCAATGTGAGTATCAGAGATCTTATGAGCCGACTACTTTGAGAACTCCTCCAAGCGGCGCAAGAAGCAGTGCTGAGTTGACCTACCACGAAATGCAGCTCCTTTGCCCGTTGGAAAAGACCCCCATCATCATGTGCTTGGGGTTAAATTATGCCCAATACGCCATAAAATTAAGTGTCAGTAAACGTGTCCATTTGAATCCTTCTGGCGGTGTTCCCCCTAACCAACGATTCGTAGCTTCCCGTATGTGCATTTCCGATCATCTTCACCAAACCGCCAGACGCCCTCGCAGGCCCTCATGATCCCATAATCGTACACCACGATGCGCAAGACAAGCTGGACTACGAGGGCGAGCTCTGCGTCATCATCGCCCGGGACGTAAAAAACGCGACTCTCTCCAACGCAATGGACCATGTCCTCGGATACGCCGCGGGGAATGACGTGACCGCTCGCAACTTCCAGCTTCCCGGAGCCTCAGGCGGCCAGTACTCCTACTCCAAGTCTTTTGACGGGTTTGCCCCCATCGGACCAGCCATCTGGTCGCCGAATGTCGTCCCGGATCCGCATGAGCTACGATTTCGCACCAAGGTCAACGGCAAGGTCGTGCAGGAGACGGAGACATCTGATATGATTTGGTCGGTGGCGCAGGTTATCGTGCATCTCTCGCGGGGAACGACGCTGAGGAAGGGGACTGTGGTCATGATGGGCACGCCCGGGGGCGTTGGATACTCGCGCGGTGTCTTTCTGAAACATGGAGATGTTGTGACAGTCGAGGTTGATGGCCTTGGGAAAATCCAGAACGAAGTTGTTTTCGAGGGAAGTCGTGCAGAGTTCATATAGCAAATAGCCAAGATAGTGATTTTTGATCAGGTGTGAGCTGGTGTTGGGTTTCGAAGCTTTCATTCAAGACCGACTCCCTTTTTGAATTCGGCCAGCCATTCGGGAATGTCTGCAGCCGTTTGATTCCACGGATCGTCGCTGGCAAAGGCAAGTCAGCTGATGAGATTCTATGATGATAGCTTGGCCGAGCACAACCGTGCGACAGTACTTACTCATCAAAAATGACCCATCTGGCATGGTATCTGAGCTCGTCATCTGAAGGGATATGCATGTTTGGGTTTTGAGGTGAAATAGTAGTCGCAACGAACCGCGATAGCTCCCCTTTCAAACGAGCATATCTATTGGGGTCGTTAAGAAAGAAAGGCATATCAGTGCCTCTCGAACGCTCAGACTGTCTCAACGAGTGCCCGGATCCCTCAAATATTGACTTGGCAGTCTGCAACCGCGTGTAAAGGTCGCTAGGCTTCGTTGGCATGGTATCGAACGTGAAGCAAGGCGAGTCGTAATCTTGATCTTCGACAGGGTCGCAATAGCTTGAGGATTTCTGCGCGAAATCTGGCCCAAATTGAGAGGCTGATCGTAATTCGCCGCCCGTCGTCGGTATAAGCCTTTCTGCCGCTCCTGTCAACTGATCTAGTTCAGCTAGTTCTGTAAAGAAGCCATCGAGTTCAGCACTAGAAGTGTTCGCCACGGGATCTAAACTTGGCATTAGGTTTTGATATGAGTCCCATGCAAAGGCATCTGTTCTGTGACGCAATGGAGCTAGCCATGAGGTCGACTTCCATATGAGGCGTACTAGAAATCCTGCAAATCTCCTGGAAGGATTGGATGATGCCGATTCTACTCTGTTCAGAATGACACAGGCTGCTTGCTGAAGATCATGGTCCGAGGGCGTAAGACCTAGAATGATGTGTTCTCTAAGATGTCTGCAGAGCTGAACTTCTAGTTCGCAAGCCTCAAAAATATCCGCCTTGCCGATAATCTGGAGATGACTCGCGCGAAGTTTGGCTAGTTGATAGCATTGATTCATTGGACGCAGACGTGCCTTTTCAGACAGCTCTGTAGAACTCATCAACAAGTCTCGAAGCCAGGATGACACGTTTGAGGTGCCGCTGGGCCTGAAAAACTCAGAGGCATACATGATCGTACAAGCCTCGTAGATAAGTTCGTCGTCCGAGGGCAGGCGCTCGTTTTGCTCAAAGTAATTACGGACAAAATACTCTACCTCGAGCTTGAGGAGTTCATATGCACTTGGTGCAGAACCAGCCGGGGAGACACTTGCACAGAAGGGGACAGGTGCGCTTTGCTCAAACTGGATCACGCCTTAGAAATCGGTTAGTATGTAGAAGTCCTTAATATCGGCCAGAGTTGACTTACAAGGAGGGACCGCGTTATCGACCTTTGCGAGTATTTGGGACTCAAACCCCCAGTCCCCTTTCCAATCCGACATGGTGTTCCCGTCCTCTCGATAGTGGTCCGCAATATGATCCCCGCGCGTCGCCCACGACTCAAGAGTGATTCCACAGAAGCCACATCTTGATCGAATCTTGTCCGTGGTGACCTTCCAAGTCTCAGCAGTTTTCGACATCTGAGTTGTCTTGTGTACAAGTTTCAAATGTTGCCGGAGATGATCTTTCCGGTAGTAGGTACGCTCTTCGGCCGGTCTTTCTGAGCAGGCGGCTTGGTGATGGTCGTCAAGGTGCTGTTGAGTCGGATTGGCCTCGTCGCAGAAGACACATATGAGACCTTTTTTGGGGTGCTTTATCGTCGAACCATACGGAGAACATACCCATTCCTCGAGTGACAGGTGCAGCGACTTTTCGTGTCTTTGCCAGTCGTACTTCGTCTTGAAAGTTTCAGCGCAAAAGGTGCATTGGTATGTATTGATTTGTCGAAGGCTCAACCGGTTTCCTCTCCGTTCCTTGACCATGGCCCGTCTTCTCCGACGATTTGGGTCCCTTCGAAGAGCCTCCATGGGGGTCGGAGATTTGCTAGAGCCATGCGAGTATGCCGAAGCATTGGACCTCGACCTCCCACTGGACTGAGATGTGCCAACACTGCTGATACTCGAGGCGTTTTCCCAAGATCCCGCCGAAGATCGAGAGCGACCTAAGAGTCCTGGACGCCTAGATGATGCAGCGACTGCGCGAGAGATATCGGCAGCTGAAGCAGGCTCGCTATCTGGCGGCGAGTGCTCCCATCGTTGCATCGGGTTCATTTGATCGAATGCCATCGGTGTCGGTCGTCGAACTGGCACGTCTATGGGACTTGAGCCAGCCTCGGTTCGGGCGGGCGTGGAGGTCCCGCCTGGGCGGATCCTCCTGCGCCGCCGAGTATTGGCGAACCAATTTGTCAGTTGCTGCTTGCTCAATCCTGTCTGCTTTAAGAGCCGTTCGGCCTGATCCGCGGTTGGATACGGATGCCGCTCGTGATTTTCGAACCATGTCTTGAGGACTCTGATGTTTGCCGACGTGAAGCGACTGCCCACTTTCGTTCCACTAGCCGTAGCATTGGGGACGTCTTGTGTTGGCTCGTTTCCATTACGCTCTTCGAAGAGCGGGACGCCCCCAGACACGCTTGAAGAGGCAGATATTCGTTCGTCATCGGAATGGATTCTATCCACTGCATCGTCGTGATCCCTCGAAATTCTGGGAAATACATCTGAGAACGCTTCGTCGGAGAGGAACAGACCAAGGTCGAAATCGCAGTCCGCCTCATCGGATCGCGTGTTCGTTAGGCCATTGTCGGCTATTGAAATTGACCTCGCCATCCTTTATTCGCGTTCGATGACTTGAAAAAGTCGCAATGAGCGCAGATTCCGAACTCTCTAGTACTGTATTCAATTCTTCAACGTGATGCAGTGACGTTGGCGGTTTTTGCTGGACGGTGGGGGTTTGAAATGATTGGGGAGCGCATTGATCACAGTGAGGTGGGGAGGTTGTCAAAGAAGGGCGGTGCCATGGGGCGTTAATCCCATAGGTAAGATCCCAGTGCCACTGAGTTGCCGCTTTACTCATCTCGGACTTTGCTGACCAAATCCTGCTATGGCAGCCCCGATCGTAATCGTGATGCTTCAATTGAGTTGAAAGGATGATGGATTATGGCGATTACATGGCATAAGATAATCAGGAAAGTCACGAGCAACGGGATCTGCAGAGACGTCAATCGATGTTTCAAGTTTCGCATCGTCAATGATTCTAAGAAGGAAGAAGTAGCACTTCCCAAAGTCTGCAGGTACCTTAGGTGCTCACTAAATCGAGGTACGAATGATACTTGATCACTCATCTTTCTTCAACGAATCGCCAATTAATAGACACTCCACAAGGCGTAGGCATGGAAAATACCACGGAACATAAGTTGATAATTATTGGGGGCATCGAAAAGAAGACCCTGCAATGCTAATCAAAGCGAGAGATAGGCCCCATCGAAGCAGAGGCAGATCTTTTGCTTCTAGAAACATCGCTTACATGTCAATGCAATGTGGTTTCCCTGTGGGTTTCCGGGCCTTATTCATGCTTGTTCCCTACCCCGCCTCGAGTGTAGTCCCACCCCTTAGCGTGAGAGTGAGGGTATCGTGACCCTTGCTCGCGATGGAACCTCATTATTGCCGCAACCATAACAATCCACCCGTCTTGAATTGAATAATGCCTCAGAGCCTCCTGCTTCACACCCAAGCAGTCAGGGATTAGCAGCGTCGATGGTTTAGTGGTAAAATTCTCCGTTGCCATCCAGCAGCGTCGGGGAGCCGGGGGTTCGATTCCCCCTCGACGCAATCTTTTGCTGGATACCGTCACGAAGAGCAGTGTAAGTGTAAAGGCAACGTTTCAAAACTTTTCTTTTGCCTCGTGGGCATGTGACCTAGTGATGGCCGTTGCTCTATGAGCGTGGGTAGACTAGGGTAAGCAATGATAGACTTGACGATGGAGATATTAAGGAGTGGGATAGTGTCTCATCTTTTCGATCGGCTTGGTAACTGCATGCTGCTGGCGGTGCTAGCTTTGTTTACATTCTGTATCCCGAACATGTGGCCATCGTTGCTCGCCATAGCTGCGAATTGACAGAAGTGTAAGGATCAACCGCGTCGTAATATCTCTTTCATAAATGCCTCAAACGAACTAGCTAAGACTGCGTCATTATCAGCAAACGCATCTCGAATGCTGCAGTGACAAGGGAGGTACTTGTGGATTGATATACCTATCGAGCCGCTCTCAAGGCGCGATGCGGCGATGGCTTCTGAACATGAGAGCTCTCAAAGCCGCACCTCGTTCTGGATTATTTAGAACGGTCTCCCTCCTTCTTGTTTTCTTTATGCTCGGAAATACTCCCCGAGCATGGCATTTGAGTTAAAGGAGACTCAATATCTGTAGCAAAATAACTTTGACGCTGTTGAACTTTGACAATCGTTGTGGCCAAGGGGTTCATCTTATCTTCCTTGGGCAACCCATGTCATGGCGCTATGGCGATCCTATCACGCCCACTGTCACCTGCCGGTTTTGGTACCTTTGCCCCACCGGACGTGCATCCCGCCGGTTGCCGGACTCCCGCTCTCCCATTACGCTCTCTTAAACCACGCCCGTCCCACCTCCTGGACGCGTTGTCGCCAACTCTTTGCTCAGTTTGTCCCTGTGACAAGGCATCGAAGGTGTCTGCTTGGCCAGCAAGTAGTCAAGTAGTATTATTGTCGAAGCAATGAACACCGTGAGCGACCAGTCCAGCGGAGGGCGGGGCTTGCTCAAGGGACTCTTCCTCCTCTGGTCCTTCGCAACCCTGGCTTGCGGAGAGCAGTTCCACGTTCAGCGCGCGGCGCAATACCAAGAGCTGGATTTGCGGAGCCCCAGAATCGGACATGTCTTGGCTCACATGGATCGCATCGCGTACGACGCAGACGTTACGCCTAGCGCGACCGCGCCTCCAACAGCTACAAGAACACCACTGCTGGACACCTTTCAAGTGGCTGAACCCGTCCTGGAGCCTACGGGTCAAGCGACTGAGGTCACGTTGATGGAGCATCAGTTTGCAAACAGCTACGGCACACCTTTTGTTGGAGACTACTCGCCCCCAGACTTTGATTTTGATCACGTTGTGCTCAACTTCACTGTGGAGGTTAGGGGAAGACAATTCGATCGCTGGGGCTCCGTGTACCTGGGCGATGTCAACATTTTTGCGACCTCCACCGCCGAGCCTACGTCTTACGGTATCACTTGGACCTGGCTAAAGGACTCCACGCCGTATCTGTCACTCTGGAAAGAGCCGCAGACTCTCATCTTCCAACTCGACAACGTTATCACGGACGTCTACACGGGCCTGCTCAACTCCACTCTCACGGCTACCTTTTTCAAGAGCCCAGTTCAGAGTGGTGGACAAGCGCCAGCAGACCTCATTCTGCCAGTTTCTGCCAACAAGAGCCCAGTCACAGCCAGCTTCTGGACTTACCCCGAAGAGAATGCCACTGCTTCTGTCCAATTCCCTCGCAACGTGAACCGGGCTGTTTTCTCCACGTCTGTCAAGGGACAAGGAAACGAGGAATTCTGGTGGAGCAATGTTCCGCAGTCAGCCGTCGATGCCTTTGAGCCGGACGTAGGTAGTTATCCGGGATACTCGCCCTTCCGAGAGGTCCAAGTCCTCATCGACGGGCAGTTGGCGGGTGTGCACTGGCCGTTCCCGGACATCTTCACAGGGGGTGTTGTGCCGCAGCTTCATCGCCCGATTGTGGGCATCAACGCGTTTGATTTGCGAGACCACGAGATTGACATCACCCCGTGGCTGCCTCTTCTTTGCGACGGAGAGAGCCACACCATTGGCATCAAGGTGGTCGGGCTAGTTGATGATGGCAAGTCAATCGCAAGCCTCACAAACACCACGGGCAGCAGCTGGTACCTTGTAGGCAAGGTCTTCCTATGGCTTGATGACGAAGGCAGTATCACGACGGGTGTCATCTCCAAGAAGACAAATACCGAACCCTCAATTGCTTTCTCACAGACGCTTAAGCAAAATGCAACTGGGTTCAACTCGACCCTGGACTATTCCCTATCAGTGCAACGCGACTTCACTATTACCTCGTTCCTCACCACACAGAAGGGCAATGGCACAGCATCATGGAAACAGAGCCTCTCATACTCCAACGTCGGAGGTCTGTACGCCAACGGATACGGTGGAATCAACACGTTTTCGACCATTGGCGAGGAGACGTCAAAGGTTCCCGGGTGGGACTACAAGACGACGTTCTCGTACCCACTCTACTGCAATACCACCACCTCGTATCTCCCGGCGGGAAATTTGACTTTATGGGCACAGCTAGACCAAGGCCTCAAGCTTCATGTCCAGGGAAATACCGTCTATCCGACCGGTCTCGAAGCTTTTGAGGGTGAAGGATCGAAATGGGTCGGTAGCGTCATCGCCACTGACAGGAACGGCACTGCGAACTATTCCCGATACACAGACAATACCGTCACTTCGGGAGCCGGGCGTACACACCAGATTTTCCGTCTCAGGGGACTGACTAGTGACGGTACTTACGACACGCCTGGAACGGAGCTCTACTTCCGGGATGTTACTGCGTACAACAACTCTGTGATAGCCGACAAAGAAATCATTGCAGGCAAAGTTGTGACGGGACGTCTGTAGAACTTCTTGGTTCTTAGTTGATATGATGTTGAAATTCGAATAACTGTAATAATTAGAACAATAGTTCTGGAAATAGGCTTGAATGCATGATCGACAACTTACAAGAATGGATCAAATCAAGTACCGATAACAGATGGAGCCTAAGATCACGATGCTCTGCTCCAGGTGTTGAAGGTACATGTATTTATGATATAGTCGTTGTTTATGACGTTCTAGAAGTCGTTTATTGGAGCCCATTCAATAGTTCGGCGTCATACACGGCAGCCGCGTGAGGATTATATGCCACGGCTGTTACTATCCGGAGTCTTGGCACGCTTTATTGTAGTCGAGACATATTTAGCAAGAGTTGAGCTTGAAAAACACTCGCCAACTATGGACTAATATTCTACGCTTTCCGGAGGTCCGACATAACATCCTGCGTCGTGACGAGAGTCTATACAAAAAGGCAGAGCTATGCCGAGACTTGGGGGGATTCCAATTGGTCACCGAGGAGCGAGGCGGATTGATCGTGTGGAGAGACTCGTGGGATCAGCAGGGTTGGGAAGTCACTGAAGTCTTTGCCACATAGTGGCCAAGTCAGAGGGTGCTGTGAGTTGTCAACTTCTACAAGATACGAGAGCGCAAGCACGAGGCGAGTCACGTTGAAATGCCAATGGAAACAGTGGGAAAGTCCAACGTTGGCACACCGATCCCATCATGCTGAAAGTCGAAGTGTCTTTCAACCTCATTGGGCCGAGAAGAAACGCCTGCTGCATCAAGGGTACCGTAAACATCATGCTCTCTTTGGTGGTAGGAGTAGGATACAGACTCTAACATGTCGCAGCCAATCTTCAAAACAGGGCAATCTCAACATTTCGCTGCCTTGCTTGCTCATCAATATCATACACATCGTCTCCCAAATCCCAGGCTTCATCCAGCATCTCAGTAATGTTACACGCATTCGCTGTCTTGCCGTATGGCTGATACTTTTCTGCTACTCGCCGAAGTGAGTCCATCCAGGTGGGCTGGCGACGCAAGACAGCCACTTCAAGCCGTGCAGCTACGTAGGGATAGAGCAGTGAGTTTGTCGTCAGCAGCTGTGAGTATTCGGGCCGGCTGGTCGCGTCGCAGAGCGCATCGATGGAAGCGACTAAGCGGCCTAATAATACCTCGGCGGAAGGAGAGGCAGGGTATTGTATTGACGCATTCGCCGTCGTGCCTGTATTTCCACGGTTGCGTAGTCGTCGGCCAGTTAGAATACCTGCTAGACGGTATGCCTCCCACAGGTGAATCTGCGGTATCTCTCCCGGTTCTCCAAACCATTGCAAGAACTCTGTGTCGGAGTTTTCGTCGTGAATATTCGCAAAAATGTCCAGTAAGGATCTTGGGAGACTTGAGACAGATTGATAGCCTCCCCTTTTTATACCCATTGATCCTTGTGCAAGCCGCAGTCTCTTCCAGATTCCCAACGATAATGTTGAGCGACCGCGAACGAAAGTTGGCATGTCCATGAGACCCATTAGCTCTAAAGCAAAACGTGCTTCAGGTTCAGATAAGACGGGTGAGTTGCGGAGGTCACCATTAAGACCGTAGACTGTTGTCATGAGCTCGAGGTGGATAGACCAAGGCGCACCTTGAAATAACTGTTGCCATTAGAATCAGTATGCAGCAAGTAAGCATGGTGATAGCAAGAGACCTCTCTGCCACACTGATAATAGCGCAGGAAGCTCCGGAGAGAAGACAATAGGTCACATGCACCCAGTTACTTGGGTGCATGTGGACATCTTGCAAAATAGGTAACTCACGTTTAGGGTACAAATGAAAAGCCCAGCGTACATTGCTCCAAGATCAACTTTTCCGTGGAATGAATCCAACTGATTGCGAAAAAGTGAGAGGCCTCGAAGGTAGTACTCTTCGAAAAGTTGTGAAGGATCAGCTGGGTTAGAAACATAGAGGTGCGTGGCTAGCAAAATAGGTCTGAGTGCTTCAGATCTCTCCGCTAGCTGGCGAAGCTTCGATCTGAACAAGCCGTCCCGACGACTCGAGTAAAGCATATACACAGTGGTCTCATTGACTAAAGCAGGATAGGACACCTTGTCAGTCGATGGCACAGCGTGTGAGTTTCGAAGTTTGAAGCAGGGGGCATCCATTGGATTTGGCACGTCACCAGAACCATGTATGATTTATATCAGAGTAATCAGGCCCACCAATGATCACTCAACTCACATTCTTCCAAAAGACGCCTATCCTGCTCGGTTTGGCCCGGCCAGGTTGTCTCGGACGAGCCTGAGCCGGCCGCGGCCATGAGTTCCTCAAATGGACCAGTAACGGCGTTCGAACCAAGCTTTTTAAGAGTCTCAGATGAGCTTTCTTCAGCAGGGCTGTCGCCTTCCCGCGTTTTCTCGCCTTGCTTAGATCGCTTCTTGCGCTTGGGGGGTGGAGGCGCGTCAACCTCAATAGGCACAAGCGCGCCAGCGAAGCGGCCACGGGAAGCAATACCTGAACCCCATCGAAGGACAGTCTGGTATCCTTCGCATTCGACACCTTGACCTATGCATTGTAAACATTCGGGTCGGCTCTCGTCGCATTTGCGATGGCGACGTTTGCAGTTCGAACAGCCACTCCGCGTTCTCGACATGGCCTGTGCGGTTGAGCTGCCATCGATGTTGTTTCGATTCTGAGCTGGTATTCGAAATGTGCTTTCGGCAAAGCGGAAGGCCCAACTTAGTCGAGACTCAAACAGTCAGCGGTCTCGGAATGACTTCATGGATGAACGAACGATGCTCTCAATCGATACTCTTGCCGCCCGGGGCTTCGGTATATGAAGAGATAAAAATACTTCCACTACCGAAAGTCAGCATACGTCGGCTGGGAGTCAACCCACTCTAGTGGCTATGCTTACTCAGTGAGGCCTGTTCATCCCGTCGGCTGTGGCACGGTCGTCCGAATTCGGGCATTATTGACGCCCGATTAGCGCTCGCCGCAGCAGCCCTAAATGCAAGCCTGACGCCAGGGATCTTTCGGGTGTCGTTCCGGCTCCGGAAAAGGGGGCTGGAAGGACGAAACCACACCTTCTGGGACGTCAACGAAGTCTCGCCGTCTCCAACGAACGGAAGAGTTCATCAAGCATGTTCAAATATGCTCTATGTGGGGAAATTTGATCCGGGATCGCAGATGATATGCTGCGATAATTGATTACTCGTCATTGCTGGCCACCCTAAACTATGGCGACAGTGTTTCCACGATCCCGAAATACAGACACCCTAAGTAGGTTTGTACCGTGTCGTCAGCGCCGGACGCCATGATCTCGACGATTTCGGGTTTTCGGAGAAATATTTCACATGGCTTTGGGGGTGGAAGAATGAGAATATTTGATATCAGAAAAAAGTTCAGAAGGTAGATTGTGAAATAAACCGAGAAAGTCAGCGGAACAGCCAGCCCAAATAATCGTCAACACCCCAAGCCAGTGCAATCGCACATAAAGGAGCAAAAATCAAGGACAATGGACTTTATGATTTTGGACCACTAGTATTTTGAATCCTGAATCTTGAATCTTGTAATATCATATCACCTTCTCTAATCCATTGGGACCATTTGAAACCTTATGCGAGCATACATGTAGTCCCTTTCCAGTCGCGAGACAATCCGCCGGTGAGATTTGATGATTGCACTGTTTACACGAAGGTTTCAATATTTTATTTTCATTTTGTCTATCCGTTTTAAATGCTCCATGATTAAACCAGTAGCTTCTGTATCTGTCTATCCAATTTTTTCCGATGTGACTCCCCTACAGGGCTCGGCACGTCTGCCAAAATATTTTTGATCCTTTCCATCAGAAAACCCCTGGGATTACACTCGCTGTGATCTACACCGCCTTTATCCGACGGCCGCCCGATGTCATGGATCACTAAGTTCATCAATGTCGAGTATAGTGTCAAAACGCTTTCGTCAATGTCGTCAGCCTCTGGAATTGGCCATAGACTTGCCCTCATGAGACAAAAGGTCATGCTGCCGAGGATCATGCTCTCGCACCGGTGCGGCCCCATGTATGACGCGTGTCTGCACCACCGGGGCCCTTCATCTACGCTGACGAGCTTCTCTGCCAAAGTGCTGAAGACGTCCATGATGGACTGAATTGTCTGCTTCCTGATGGCCGCGATTCGTTCTTTTAAATGAGCGTCAGTCAAGAGGTCCTTATCAAAACGCGAGAACGCAAGGGAAAAAATGCAATGTAATTTGCTAGTCGGAGGAAAGACTCACCGATGACATCCGGCGGCATACTCAACTCGCCAAGACCGCTCTCGTCACCGAACAAATTCCCACTACTTTCCATCACCATTCGCCGCGCTGTCGACTCAAAGAGCTGCTTATGGCCCAGCTCCCACGAAATCCACAGCAGCTTAGGCATCAAAAGCTCTCCCTCAGGCCCAGCGATGCTACTGCTCGTCGTCTCTGGTGATTCTGCGATGCCCGAAACCCAAGTTTGCAACCAAGGCGACAGCAAAGGTGTCGCGTCATAGTAGTGCGTCAACACCGTCAACTCGTAGAGCTTGTCAATCGACAAGGCCCGTGGGATCCGCTGGAATTGGCTGTGGGCGATGCTCGCGAGAAGGTCAAACGACTCGGGCCTGTCGTCGCGGAGGTGGACGATCCATTCTTTCGCCAGCGATGTCGTCGTTCCGTTGGTTCCGGGTGATGACAGACCGATGAGGTCGGAGCTCGGTGGTGTCGGTTTAGACTCGGCAAAGTTGCCGTGTAGCATGCGGTCAAAGACGGGGGAGATGCGTGCCATTGTCCGGGAACAGACGCGGAAGCTTCGGGCAGGGGTGTTATCAACCGCCGTCCCGACGACGAAGACAACGTCTCCCCTCTGATCCATTTCTGTGAGAGCGGGAATGCTGGGTTCTTGGATAGGAGACATGGTTTTGCGGACTGAGTTGTCGGGGGTGGAGAGAGAGGAATAATGAAAGAGTGGCTTCTCTGCCCGTTGACGAGTCATACTCTAAAGATACTGGACCGTTGGAAACAAACACCTCGTTCGACGTTATATCTGTTGAGGCTCTGAAGAAAACCTGGCCTGGCTACTGGGACCACATCTCGTATCTTCTCAGCCTTATTGCTATTTCAAGCCCTCCGGTCCGTATGCATTGAACAGAAATTGATCTTGCCCCGTGGCGCAGGGCTCTGTCCAGAGCAATTGCGCCACTCTTGGCCAAGAGCTCAAGCTAGAGGGGGCTCATCCATTCTTTATTCTGGTGGACCCGATCGGACGGGTTAGTCAATCGGAGATGTCACCGGGATTGTTACAAGGGGCTACTCGGAGGGCGCGGGCGCCGAGCTTTCGGCGGCAGCCCGGGGATTTCCAAGAACCGATCACTTCTGCCCTGGAACCCGCTTGAAGCACGCGGCTTTTTGGTCCTTTACTCGGACTCGCCACTTGAGACCATCAATTTTCTCAGCTATCTGCCCATGCAATTACAGCGGGAGAAGCAAAATATCTCACCAGGAAGCTTAGTACGGGAGGACAAGAAGTCTGTCTGTGGAGATGATAATGCATCGCAGCTTACTCATGGAGAAGATTTGCAAGCCCCTTGAGTAGCACATCAATCAGTCGGTTATAAAAAATCCTTAGTTTCGACTATCGCAGTTCTATAAAAGAAGACGATTGACTGTGATTCTTTGAACTCAAATTCGCCCCTAAAGCTATGACTCCAAGATGCACCACAATGTGCAGGGCCCATTTAAGTTCCTGCAAAAACTAAGGTCGTGCCTCCATTTTGTTGATCTTTCGCGTAGACAGCTTGATAGTATCCCTCATCTTCTTATCTCACCCGCATCACTTGATTCGCCCTGAATTCTCTCTTCTAACACTTGTATGTCCGAATGTTTTGGGATCTTGGCTAGATCCCCCTTGCCTGGTATAGAGCGTTTTGGAAGACTGCACGCCCTTTCCAGCTTCTTTGTCTCAGGCATGGTTGTTTTCCTGGCCTAGCGTTCGACCTGGGTACGTGAGGTAGGCTCGCTAGCGCGTCCTTGAGGTTTGACGTCTATTCTTGCTCGGTCTTCCGCAACCTTTCAGCGAGCTTTCGTACTAGGGAGCGAAGCCAGTCGTTCGTCACGAGATTGAAGATACTTATCGTCACGATGGGGGTGAATGTTTTATGTAATCCGTGCAATCGCTCTCGCCCTTTAGATTTTCCGATCCCTCAACGCGGAGGGCCATGTCGTCAGGAAGCGGAAATCCCTCAAGATAGTAGTCGGCGTCTTAGAAATGGTTTCCTTGCCAGCAGGGGCGCTCTGGTGGTATCGTCCGGACAGTGGATGATCTAAATGAGCAATTGTTAGAGATATCGGACAAAGCAATCTAGTGTACTTGGGAGTTTATCCAGGTTTCCTATGTAGTGAGCATCAAAATCGATGGCGCAAGACATCATCATCCTAAAAACCCCGGATCAAGGAGTGCGTCTGACGACTGGAGTCATAATCCATAATCTGAACTACGGGCGAGCCCAGTTTACTGTAATGGAACTGTGACGGTACCATGGGAGGAGGTCGATGACTCCCTTGATACCAACGCGCTCCAGCATGACTTACAACGCCCGATTCTTCCAGCGAAGACAAGCGACTCGTTTTCGTATGCGTCCCGCTAATACACTCCTGAAATGACCTGCCTATCAACCGCAGCACCAAGTCATTCCCACGTTAAGACGTCACGGCTTTCACCAAAGATCAGCTTATGGTATGTAAAGAGTTACTGGAGCTGTGGAATATATAGCATACTTGGGTAGTTTAGGTTCTCATTTTCTTTTCTTTTGGATTATAGCCGAGTTGAACAGCAGTATGGACATAATCAAGGGCATGGGCCCCAATGGCAGGCCATAGATACTTTGTCAGGATAGGTCCAAAAGAAAGGCCCTCCATTGCTACACGTAGCAGGTGTGTAATCTTTCTTTTACGCGATGTGATAATACTACCTAGTTTATGTCTACCCCCTTGCTCGCCGGGCCCGACTTCAACAGACCACCTGCTTTCAGTGACCACCACAACGCAAGTTCTTTTCCAGGCGTACGATCCCGGTGCCGAAATGTCCTCCCTCCAGCTTGCTGGGCCACGAATTCAAGTCTTTTGCCCTTCGAAAACAGCCCGATGTGTTCCACGCACCGGTCTATCGACTTCTCAAGACACTTGGTGTACAGCGTATCCTCGTTATCATCGGGGTCAATCTTGGGAAACACCCTGTCGAGCACATCACCCCCATCAAGCTCCGGCGTTAACTGATGCAGCGTCGACGCAACCCTATCCACAGCCCCATCATACAATGCAAAAAAGATGCAGTGGTTGCCCTTGTACTCCGGCAAGTGACCAGTGTGCATATTAATCATCAGCCCTGCCCGTGCCATCAACTTCTTGCCAATGTACTTGGTCCCCGAGACAATAGTCAGCTCCGGCTGCCACTTCTCGGTGGCATCCCACACTGCTCGGCAGTTGACACTATCAACCACCAGATCTGGCGCGGGCGAGACGTGGCCCTGTGGTACGAGCTTGTCAAAGTGTGCCGCGCGACGGACATCGTGGCCGAAAAAGCCGCGTCTGAGGCCGTGATACTGCTGCCAGCATGCGTCAACAACACGGCCCTTGTTCATCAGCTGGCGTACTTGACCGTCGCTTGTCTCTTGAACGCAACGGTATCCGGGGAATTCCTGATCTAGGCGGTAGCGCAGGTAGCGATGCTGCGGACCATCGGAGCAAACGAGGAGGAGTCTCAACGAAGTCTTCTGTGTATCGGGACTTGCCAAAGTCGGTCCCGGGCTAGGGGTACGGGACCGATAGTTGACAGCAGGAGGCAATTTGCCGCGATCAGGGTGGAAGAGAATGTGAACGGGATCATTTTCGCCCAAGAGTGACCGTAAAATCGCGCGGGCCATGCCAGGCGCCTGAGCGAAGCCACCCGTGTTGTTTCCACCGGTGATAATGAGCTGGCCGCCGCCTACAGTGGGGATTCTCTCGAATACTCCAAGACCCGTAGGTGTGAATGGCCGGACGCAGTACTTGCGATGTCCGCCGGGGTACATAGCGTCAGGGCCACGGCTCTTCGCGGCTGCGTAACCTTCTGGGAAATAAATGCGCGCGACCTCCTCCAGCTCGTCGTAGAGTGCCTTCATCTCGGGAGAGTCTGGGTCTGGACGGCCCAGGCCGACGTAGCCGTATGCTCCACCAAAGACAAGGATGTCTTCCCCAGTCTCGCGGTCCTTTGCCACAGTGACGTTGATGTCTTCGACTTTGTGTCCTCGTCTGTGGATTTTCATCGAATTGCGCATCTTTGGATTCAGGTTGGGAATCTGCAACCAGATACCTAAAACGCCCTGGATGAGGTTCTCGCTGGCCGTCCCATGGAGTAATACGCTGCCCGTTGTGCCAGGACTCAAGATGAAGTGGTCGGCTTTTAAATCTCCCTTCTTTGATTTCAAACCAATCACTTCGCCTGCAGAGTTTCGCTGAATAGCCTGGACCTCGCAATCCCAGATGAACTCGGCCCCGAGATCGGATATATGATTGATCAACTTGTTCATGAACAAGTGAATATTCACCGTGAAACCGTCCACGATGATACCTCCAGCAAGATGGTCTCTTTCGGCAGCCGGGCGAAAGACAGGATACGTTTCCAAGAACTCTTTAGTAGAGGGTGCCTCTAACAGAGCCCCGAGGTTCTGGTTAAGACTAACCGAGGCTTCCAAAGCCACGTCCTCGACGTACAGACGTATAATATCTTCATGAAGCCCTACTTCCTCAAAGAGGTGAGGTTCCTTCTTCATTAGCTCCCTCCAGAGCTTGCCGGACTCAACGTTGACCTCATGAATATTCTTCTTGAAGTACGCTGCCATCCAGCCTGGAACACGCTCGAAAGCGCTGACCCAATCATTCTCAGCAGTGTTAAAATCCTCAGGAGACTTGACACTCCATCCACCTCCACGGACAGTCTTGCGGAAAATGGACTGCATGTCTTGGTAAATCTCACTGTCCTGTTCGTTGTAGTTGTCTGCCTCGGTGTTTGTGAACATGCGAGCATTGTGGCCGCCGCTCGTGACACCGAGCGCAGTCCAGTCTTTGAGCTGGCAAGCCCGCGGGTCGGGACCTTGGTCCACGACGCAAATCTTGTAACCGCGTCTGGCAAGGAGTTGGGCGGCCACAAGGTTCATGATACCGGCGCCGATGAGCAGGACGTTTGTTTGACTAGGTGAAGAGCCCTCAGCTTCGATGCTAGCGTGTATGCGCTGGGTATCAGCGTCGGCACGGGCTTTGGCGTAAAGCATCTCTGCTTCACGAAGGACGGCTTCTTCCCACTCCTTCTTTGAGAGGCCTTCCATGTGCTCAGGAAAAGCGGCGATTTGAAGCAGGCGACCCCTAGCATGCTCTCTTAATCGAGGGATAGTTTTGGCATCTTGCACGAGCATGGACTTGGGGTTATGGCTGTCATGATCAACCCACTGGTCCATCAGGTCACTAGTGACTTCTGAGCCGTCGCAGATCCATACATCCACCTCATCATCGCTGGAGAAAGGGGCTGATAGATCTGAATGGGGATCGTGTTGGCTGATGTAAGTGGACTTTTTCGTCCCACCGCGAATGGAAAGAACGGTCGTGGTAACAAGAAACCGCATGATGATTTTTGTCTACTCTCCAAGGAGAATACTCGGAGAGAGGGGTCAAAGAAATGAAGGAGAAGAAGTCGTGCTCGACTGATTTGCTTGATTTAACAGAACGCAAGCATTGGCATCCGCACCTACCTTTTATAGAAGCTCATAGAGCAACTGTTGCAAGGAGTCTTGTTACAAACCATCGCCGAAAGAACTCCAGGATGCTTCCCAGCGCTTCTCGGATCACGACTCGGGTGCCTAAGGCGAGATGAGGCTATAGGTGCATGGCGTGGGGGACAAGTCGTCTCGTCAATTTTCCATATCACCCTTGAGATGACTGCAGCACCGCAGTTGAACCACATGCAGAAGTACAGTGCCACCCTGAACACGCGGCTTGAAATCCCAAGACATGTCGTGAGATGTTCATATAGCCCCTTCCAGATGCTGTGTCCTGCGGCGGATTTCCACCGCCTTGCCGCTTAGCCTGGCGAATCATGTCTTAGTACTCGGACGAGTGCGGTACGATCAATTCTTGCAGAGTCAGATTTGGCTGGAAGAATCCAACTGTACTGTCCGAAGTGACCTATCAGCCCTCGCTCAGCAACCCGATGAGCCGTCTCGCCGTCTCGCCGTCTCGCCATAGCTGATTCTTGCTTGACTGCTTAAGGCTGAAATCTGAAGCCCTACTGAGATTTGATTCGCGTGTAACATCACCATATCTTACCTATAGAGGCTGCGAAATCGTTCGGGGCAATTCGATGCTGTGTCGGAGTCTAGCCTCAGGACTCGACATAAACCCTCCGAACAACTGACAAGGGCTCCTGTATAGACTGCCTGTTGCTGCCTAGACGATGTCGAAATAGGTATAGCGGATCAAGGCGAATAAGAACATTTCCCTCATTTGTAATTTGCCATGCTGCGGCAGAATTTTCAAGATGTCCGTAGGGCAGAAACACAACATGGATGCAACAAACACAAGACGCGCATTTCGTAAGGTTGGCGAACCAAAGACCCACGAACAAAGCTCAAGATCTCGGTGGCTTCCCCGGTGGCGCTCGGGGGATCCAGCTGCAAGAGGGAGGTGGGAAGTCGCCATGCCCGCTCGGAAGACGGGGCCGGTGTTCATCAAGGGTCCTTTGCCAAGTATTTTCAGTGGGGCGTTTGCGAACAGGGATTCAGCTTACTATGCAAGCGAAGTTCGACAGAAACTGAGAAACATGCAGACATTGAGGTTCAGAAGGGTTCAACAAGGTTGACAAGGTGTTCTACTGTAGGTATGTCATTACGTACAAGAAATCTGGTTGCTTACTGGCTTCGCCGCTTCACGTGGGGAATTCCATTGGCCGCGTTGCGAATTGACGCCGCATAAGGCATTCTGGATGGATCTCGTGAGATTGCGCCTTATATCTGACAGGATACGCGACCTAGGCTGGCCGACGAGCTAATGCACACCGTTAGTGACGTGACGGGCCGACCCCTACTTCGCAGACCTTGCGACTTCGCGGGGGCTGGGCTCCTCCTTTTGCTTACTTCTTGTGTCAAATCCTGGTGTCCTACCTTCCAAGGGCGATTCTTGTTGACTCTCTCTCATTGGTGTAGTTGGTTTGGGGGAGGTTATCGTCAGAGTCAGGGGCCTTTTTTCTTCCTCGCGTCGACGTGAAAATTCTGCTAAATTCTCTTCTGAGCTACCACTGAACCAAGCGAAGTCTTTGCAGCCATTGAAAGCGCCTTTGACAAGCATATCTTCTTCCCCTCTTTTATCGGTCTATAGCACCTCTTCAAAGAACTTGAGTCCGAGGCCCCGGATCGCCAACTCCTTGTTAAGTATTCAGTCTGGCCCGGATAAGAATCGCCCATTTGCCTGCTCCCTGGCAGCATGGCAAACCCGCAACAGGAAGCTGACCCGCCCGACTGGAGGGGACAAGATGATCCGGACTGCCCTTACAACTGGCCATTGTGGAAGCGCATCTACAGCACCAGTATTCCGGCTTTTCTTTGCGTCAATGTGTAAGAGCAATAATCTCTTGAGTCAACTTGAAGGCTCTTAGTCCTTACTGATTCCTACTCGCCCAGGTCTTTCGCCTCTTCCGTCTACACCTCTGGCGCCAACGACGTGTCAGAAAAGTTTGGCGTTTCACACACGGCATCCCTCCTCGGCCTTTCCCTCTTTCTCTGGGCTCTCGGCCTCGGTGCCATCATAGCCGCACCCGTTAGCGAATACTATGGCCGCAGGATCGTCTACCTCAGCACCGTCCCGGTCTTTGGACTCTTCATCCTGGGCTCGGGACTAGCGCAGAATTTTACGACACTGATTGTCTGTCGTTTTTTCGCCGGCTTCTTTGGGAGTGCCGTCGTTTCCGTCGGTGGCGGAACCAACGCTGACCTATGGCCACCTGCACTGGCGGGATTCGTCTACCCTTTCTATTTCGTGTCTCCATTTCTCGGGCCAGCTTTTGGTAAGGACTGCCCCCATTATACCTATATTCAAATGATCCTAACTATGAGTTTGAGGGCCTGTTATTGGCGGCTTTTTGGCTGAGGAGAAAGACTTCAGATGGCTTGAATGGGTTGTCCTCTTCATGGTAGCCTTCAACTACCTTTATGCCCTTCCACAATTCGAGACATACAAGAAGACCATCCTCCAGAGACGTATGCGTGCCGAGAAGCAGTCAGATGCGCCTCAAGCCCATATGCCCAAGGTTGCCCTCCCCTCGAGCGCAATCATCCAACGTATCGTTCTCAAGCCTTTCAAAATGCTCTTTGTCGAGTCAATTGTGCTCTTCATGACCATTTACATGGCCTTCAACTTCGCCGTCTTTTACAGCTTTTTCGCAGCCTTCCCTTACGTCTTTGGGGGCCATTATGGCTTCACCCCGGGCCAGCAGGGTCTCACTTTCATCTCCATCGCGCTGGGCTGCGTTATTGGCTTCCTGGCTGTAGTCTACATTGATCGCAAGACTTACCCAGCGCTAGAGGCAAAGTATGGCGTCGGCGCGGTGCCCCCAGAGTATCGTCTTTACGGCGCTATGGTCGGTTGCGCACTCAATCCGGCCAGCCTGTTCTGGTTCGGATGGACAGCCGACAAGGGTGTCTATTGGCTCAGCCCAGTTATTGCCTCTGTACCATTCGCCGTGGGCAACATCATGGTTTATAGTAGCGGCGCGCTGTACATCATGAACTCTTATGGTTCTTTGCACGGCGCGAGTGCTCTGAGCGCCAATAGCCTCCTGAGATATGCGGGCGGGGGGGCGTTTCCGCTATTTACGGTTCAAATGTTCTCCTCCATGGGGATTGGATGGGCGAGTAGTCTGCTTGGGTTTGTCTCGGTCGTGCTGGTGCCAGTTCCATGGGTATTGTATAAGTACGGGAGAAGAATCCGGGCACATAGTCAGTATATCACGATCAAGGAGCCGGTATCCGGCAACCAGACATCTTTGGAGATGACGGCTGAGGACACGGAGAGCCAGTAGCCCGGTTACGAACGGATGGAAAGAATCATCAGAGACGCATAAAGTAGACATACAAAAAAGTGACCGGAATGTCCAGGCAGTTTCTAGCTGCCACGATGCATGCTTGAGAATTAGAGGGGCCACTTCAGTCAGCAAAGGCCACATGCTTGGCTTCCAAGGAGCTACGGAGCCACTTGAATAAGATAGGACAAGGCACATGTCCGTCGATGCATCCATGCGAGCAAACACATTTAATTCGCGCCCCCACGCTCAAGGCGATGTGATGTTCCCTACTTTGTCAGCCGTAGGCATAATCATGGCCTACGGCTATCCTTTCCAGTCACCTCAGGGGGTGCTCGTAACTCACCTCGTCGCGCGGATTTATAAGTCAGTGGCGATTCTCACATGAGTTACCCCTAGTGAAATACCACATCATACTTCTTACCGCTTCAGTTTGTTCACAAAGACGAGTCATTTCCTCCAAACCGGCGTAAGCACTGCATGTGATGGGCTCCATACCACTCCCTGGCCCCGTCCGACTGGCCATCCTCGTCGCAGATGAGCCACTGCCTAGCGTATCGACCAAGCTAGGCCGCTTCGACACCATCTTCACGACACTTCTGAGAAACGCATGCGAAAGCCTTGATCCACCACAGAGGCTCGAATCTCAGCTCGCGCTGACTTCGTACAACGTGGTGGCTGAAGACGGTGTAGATGCCGCTTACCCCGAGCTTGGGAGTATTGATGCCGTGCTCATCACAGGATCTCGGTATTCGGCTTATGCGGATGATGAATGGATTGTCAGGCTGACAGCTTTCACGCGGAGACTTTTGGATGAGGGCCGTGTTCGCGTCATTGGCGTTTGCTTCGGGCATCAGATCGTTGCTCGCGCTTTTGGTGGGCAGGTTGCTCGATCTCCCGGAGGATGGGAGCTTTCTGTCACAAAGTTGGAGCTGACGGATGAGGGCCAGAATGTATTTGGATCTGAGAGTCTGGTTGGTCCTTCCCTCCCGCATATGGGCTTGTGGGCGAGATTCCTCGCGTCCCCAGGCCGAAGAGTATACTGACCACGATGCATTGCAATCTCAGAGCATCTATCAAACACACCGCGATGCAGTCCTCAACCTGCCTTCTGGCGTCGTCTTGCTAGCTCATAGCAGGCAATGCCCGATTCAAGCCATGCATGTTCCTCGGAGATTCATCACAGTGCAAGGTCACCCCGAATTCTCGCCATTCATGATGAGCGAAATGCTGCAGATCCGCCACAAGGCTGGCATCATTCCTAGTGAACCTTTCAAAGACGCCATGGCGAGGGTGTCGGATGCGCACGATGGTGTTCTGATTGGGCGAAGCTTTCTTCGCTTTTTGAGGGAGTGACTGGAAGTCTCAACTGTCTCATATCAAGCCGGTTGAAAGCCGGTTGTAATTGTATCCGAGACTACAGAGTTATATTAGGACGGGAATTATGGGAATAGTTCACAGGATTAACACAGAAATATCGCTGGGCGAGTAACATTCGTAAAGTAGACTTGCTAAATCATCACCTAGCCTTTCATGATTCATCCTACAAGCATGGCTAAGCCCACCAATCGTTTCATGACTTTCTACAAATCATCGTATTGTATCTCCATTCGCTGTAAAGAAGCCCCTCACGCTACTGTTTACAGGCACTGGGAATAATACTGATTCGAAACGGTGCAGATGTACGGTGACACACACTGCGTAGGCCCGGTCCAGCCTTGTCCTCCACACTGTCCGTACTGCGGAGCCAAGTTCGTCGCCGTGGCCGCAGGCGCAGAGCTAGTCGAAGTTCGGACCGTTGTAGAAGTCGTCAGGGTAGAAGACCTAGCAGAGGAAGTCGAAGAGGTCACTGCGGCCGTGGAGCTCGAAGCTCTGCTAGTCGAAGTCTGCGCGGCAGAGGTCGATCCACCGCCGGAGGATGCAATGGCACCAGAAGCGTAAAAGGCACCGCGTCCGTTGGCGCCGACGTAGACCAAGTTCTCCTCGTTCCCTGAGCCGGCGAGCTTGGCGCTGTCAATGGCGCCGAAGCTCTGGGTGCCCTGGAGATCCGTCCAGGAGGCGCCGAGGTCGGCGCTGCCGTAGAGTCTGCGGCCTGCGGAGCCGGTGCCGAAAGCGTAGAGGTTCCAGTTGGTGCCAGATCCCTTTCCGAGTGCGATCTTGTTTGTGTTGGTGAGGACTGTGGAGACTTGGGTGAAGGTGACGCCGTAGTCGGTGCTGTGGAAGATTCCAACGTTGGTCGAGACCCAGACGTCGCCTGCCTTGGCTGGGTGAGCTTCGACATGGCGGATCTCAGAGGCAGAGCCAAAAGAGCCAGAGGTGGCGAATGTTGCGCCGAGGTTGGTAGAGCGGTAGAAGCTGGATCCGGAGGCGCCGTAGAAGACGGTGTTGTTCTTCTTGTCACTGGCGATGATGGCGCCAGCCGGAATGCTCGAGACGACGGCAAGAGAGCCTTGGTTCTGGCTCCTCTGGACCCCGAGTGTTGCGGTCGACCAGAGAATGGTGTCAGCGTCGGCAGAGTATGCGACTGTACCGCCGTACTGCGTCGTGCCAGCTGCGTAGTTGATGTTCCAGGTAGCTCCGCCGTCAGAGCTCACAGCCAGTTGCTGAGTGCCTGCGGTGTTGCCGACGCGAACGACGTTGGCCACCTTGTTACCGGCGTAGTCAACGCCGACGGAGCTTGCCCACATCGGATTTGTCCAGGTGGTCTGGGGCGATGTGTCAAGGTTGCTCTTGGCCTTGAATGTGAACCCGTTATTGTCGTAGTTGGCAACCAATAGTTCTGAGCCCCCGGGGGCGCTGGCGAGTTCCTGGATAGACATCTCCTCAATTCCATCTGCAAGTGACTGGATGTTCACCTTGGCACCTGTATCCCAGTTGGTAAGGTCATGGCCACCAAAGATGGTCAGACCAGTTCCCCAGAGCCAGTGGTTAGAGTCTAGGGGGTCGATCTCAAGGGACTCAATCATCCAGCCCAAATCTTTGGTGTCGACGTCGAGGAAGTTGGTCTTAATCCAAGGGGCCTAGTCTCAGTCAGCACATGAACTGGCATCTTCAAGGGTCGACTCAAGTAAAGTCTATCTTACCTTGGGGCTGGTTTGAACATAACTGAAGTTTTGATTGCCGTCGGTACCCCACGTCCAAATCTTCTTCCATGTCGCCCCAGAATCAGTTGATCTGAACAGTTGCGCATCCGGCCACCAGCTATTGAGAGTAGCAACGACCAGGGTACCGGGCTTTTGCATATCAAGACCCAGTCCACCTTGACAAAGTCAGCATGAAAGCTCTCGCAGTCTGTCATGATGATGAAGTCGACGAATCAGGGCAAAACGAAGACTGGCAGCTTACCGAAACCAAAGTACAAGTCGGATCCGGGAGCAACAGGGGTGATGTCCTTCCACGTGTTGGCAGTAAGGTCGTATCTCCACACGGAACCCGATGTACCGTCATAGGGGCCAGTGCCGTCCGAGTAAGTGAGGTAGAGCGCCTGTTCATTTTATTACTTGGATGCTAGGCGTTTGGAAAGTTCTCATCACATACCTTCTCTGTGGGCTGAATCCTTCCCTTGTGGGGGAAATACTTGCCAGGCTGGCCAGCAACTGCCGACCAAGTTGAACCAGCATCATTGGAGACATAGACGGATGAGGTAGTGTTCTCAGCAACACCAACGAATATGCGAGAGGTAGCTCCGCTAAGAGCGGCTGAAGTTGAGTCAAAAGTCACAAAGTTGATTCCCTGGATGTCGCCGCTGTACTCGTTGTCGGCTGGTCCGGCACGGAAAGTTCCGACTGCGGTGAAGGAGGAGACCTTGGAGAAGCTCGTGCCTGAAAGTGAGACGCATATCAATTATATGCGCAGCGAACTAGATGTTTTTGTATGGACTTACCTCCGTTGGTACTCTTGTAAAGTCCATTACCACTGCGGGCACCGAAGTAGATGATGTTAGAGTTCTTGGGGTCTACTGCAAGACGCTCGCCATTTCCTCTTCCTGGCATGTTTCCTCCGACCTGGATGAATGTTAGTTTTGAGAGGGATGAAAGAGGGAAGCAGATCTCACCTTGAAAGGCAGGTCAGTGAATGACCAGGTCGCGCCCTTATCGGAGCTACGGGCAATTTGTCCATTATTTGGGTCCCTAGGATCTCCGTCAACACTACCAAGCACTTGAGAACGGATCTTTGTACATACCAGCTGTTTGTGTACATTCCAACAGCGATGAAGACCTTGTTGGCGTCCTGGGGATCCAGCGCGAGAGCATCGACGCCCCACCGGTTCCAGTGAGAGTCATCAGCAAAGCTGTTGGCGTCGGTCACTGGAGTCCACGAGTCATCGGCATTGAGGCGATACAACCCGCCAATGTCGGTCCTGGCGTACGCTACTCCCTTTGTCGTGGGATGGAAGACGATGGAGGGCACGAAACCACCGCCGCCGCCAATCTTGACATTCTTCCAGGTAAAGGCGGCCTGGATTGGAGCCGCGAGGGCAGCCAGGAGGAGGTTGGCGTACTTCATCCTGAGCCAAGGACTTCTTGTCTTTGAAAGACGAGTTGTCTAGGTTGGGAGGTGGCAGTAAGGTGACCTCTAGATCTAAACCACGGTGTGATATAGGATCTTGCGGGGATGGGACAAGAAAGGAGGAAGATCGACGAAGGCGTGGTTCATCTCAGGACTATAAATGAACGTGAGTCTCTCCTACTCGACACACTGTCGGATCGCCGGCATCCTCGAGTAACATGTCGGATCACTAGACTGACAACAAAGTTGACAAGGGGAAGCTGAGCAAATTCATCGCGACTCCGCGCCGGAAATGAGACGAGTCAAGACTACAACTCCCCAAATTCCATCAATCAACTCTCTAAACCCAGGGCCAAGTCAAATGAGGTTGCGGCCCTAAGCCTCCCGACAAGCCGGCCGCACTACTCCCGTTTACCGTTGAAGGAAGGAAAGCTTCCGCTTGGAGGTCATTGAAAGAGGGGACGCCAGGAGCACAGTAGACGAGCTCATTTGTACACGCAGGTCCCAGGAACAACGTACATAGCCAAGCATCCCATCCATCCTCTCGGCCCAAGATCGTGACTACCTGAAAGGGAAATCGAGGCCTGTCATCCGGGGTATCACATGATGGTTACTACCCTCCTTCTGTGGGATGACCGCGGTCTGCAATTACCGCCATGGCGTGATGCAAGGCAGACAGCTGGTCCCTTGGACTTGGTTCTCCAATCCCCAGAAAGCCGCCAGGGACGCGTCCCGTCATTCCCGTGAGGTCGGCTCGCTCCTGTCAGCCGCGGTGCACTTGTTACCAGGCAGTCGAGGTCTGCAGGCTGCAAGACGGACGGGCCTAGTCCCAAGATTCGGATCCCAAAGGATCTGCTTTTCCCACGGGCGCATTGTGGAGAGCATGGGACCTGGCCAGAAGCGGGAAGCGGTAGATGGCTGAGTTGAGAAGAGATGAATTGGGAAGAAAGACGAGGGGTGTGTTCGCCCAGACGGCGGGAATAACGAGATTCGATTGGCGGATCCCCATCGGGAATGCGTGGTGGTGGGGTGGCATGGCTCGGTGTAACATTCATACCAAGTCTGGTACGGAACGAATGCAGTGACAGGAGTCAGTCAGGTATTCCAAGTGAAAATCGAATGACGCGACGGATACTCCAAAAACATATTTTTCTTCAAAAAGCCCATCAGATGCGGGGTAACGTAGTGGTTGGTATATAACATAGGGGGTATCGTGGAAGAAGTGTCAAGCAAGAGAGTAGCTGGGTCGACAAGTAACCCAGTGTCTCTATACTCTGTGTCATCTCTTCCTTCATTCCATTATCTCATCTCTCATGTCTTCTCTTCCTGCTTCTTTCCTTCTTCCCACGATGAATGGCTGGATGTAGGTCATTATGGGATTCAAAGCCGAGCCACCAACGGAAGCACTCAGTACAATGTCACTTAGATACCAGAAGTAGTGGCACCGACGTTGATGACGTTCCCAGCCTCGTCGACAGCAACCTTTGTCTTCTTGGTAGACTCTTTCCTGGGGTTGGGAGCCTCGAAGATGGACTTGAGCTCTTCCAGTGTCTTTCCAGCAGTCTCGACGAAGAAGAAGTAAATGATTGCCATTTCAATGCACTAAAAGTTATCAGCAACCGAATAATGAGGTTAATCTCCAAGAGGGTAGGCATGAACTTACAATCCAAGCAATGTAAACGAGGTACAGCTTCCATGCAATCTTCTCCATACCGACGGAGATACCATAGGTGTTGATCATGATAGCGACATTAAGGAACAGGAATGAAAGTCCAGATCCCTTAGCGCGCGTGCGATTCTCGAGACACTCGACGGCATACAACGTCTGAAGCGGCGTGAAACCCCAGGCGAAGCAGATTCCGAAGATGTAGATGGAGACAATAACGCCGTACGAGAGGTTCTTGTGGTTCGCCGACTCGGCGGTGAAGGCCGTGAGCATGACGTAGGAGGCGAGCGAGCCGGCCAAGCCAGCCAACATCATGAAGCGGCGACCGAGCCTGTCAAGGAGGGTCGCGCCCCAGATGGCGGCGATCATGGAGAAGATTGGGTTGATGGCGTTGAGAAGCAGTTGGGTGTTGTCGTCGGTGATGCCGGCTTGCTTGAACATCTCAGGCATGAAGTAGGATACGACGTTGTTTCCGCTGTAATTAAGGCATGGTTAGTTATCGGTGAACGCTGTGAAGTCGCTGGTAGAGGGTGTCACTTACGACCACTGGCCGATGAAAGCCATGGCAATGACCATGAAAAGTCTGTAACGGCGGGCCTTGGTGTTGAAGAGCTCCTTCATCTGCCACCAGGGGTTCTCGTCGGTAGTCGAGCGGTGATCCGCGATAATTTCGTGGTACTGGAGCTGCACGATGGGCGAGTTCACGTCTCCGTCACCGTGGTACTTGGCCAAGATGGCGAGCGCCTCCTCTGCACGATCTTTTGAGATGAGCCATCGAGGGCTTTCGGGGAAGAACATGATGAATATCATGACTACTGCGGGCATACCAGCCTGGACGACGGTGGGGATTCGCCATGCCCAGCTTGTTTTGACGTGGTAGTTCGCTCCGTACTATCATGATCGGTTAGGATGCTTGGCCCCCGGCAATACAAGATGGCGTTACTCACGGTAGTCCAACCAGCCAGAATGTTTCCAAGCCACCAAAAGTTGTTGTAAAGACCAGCCATGGTTCCACGAGCGGAAGGATGCGCCAGCTCAACGACGTAAGCAGGTCCGGCAGCGGAGGCAACTATGTCATGTTAGAGATTGGGGGTTGCATGGGCTTTGGCGGAAAGGGACACGACATACGAGAAGCTCCAAAGCCGAGGACAAATCGGCCTGCCACAAACTGTCCCAGGTGATTGGCAGGTGCTTGGATAGCTGTGCCGATGAGAACAATGAAGCAGCCGACGAAGATGCAGAGTCTTCGACCCCAGCCATCTGCAATCATACCACAGAACGGGAAACTGCAGATTTGGCCGACTTGGTAGATCATGAAGACGATGCCAGTTGTGGAGCCGGCGCTCGAGAGTCCGAAGGTCTCTTGGTAGGGTGGCATTGCGTTGATCGCTCCCATGAGGGACGAGTCTTGAGAAATAGCGTTAGCTGGTGAAGCTACATTCGGTTCACTGGGTGGCGTGTAAACTTACCGAAGCCGTTCATGGTCGAAACCTGACGAGGGCAAAATGATTAGCTCATCTCAATCAACAAAAGGGGCCCGGGAAGCCTTACAAGATAGCCGATTGCCATGATGCCATACAACTTGATCATGTTGGGCGACCACCAGTTGACTTGCTGCTCCGCCATGGCGGCAGCCAACGCGACAGAGGCGGCATTGATCTCCTTCACCTCGCCGACGGCGGCCTTCTCATCGTACGCGGGCGGCTCATTGTCATGTTCGACTTCCGCCTGGCCTTTAAATTCGTCTTCGAGTTTTGCCATTGTGGCTCGGGGATTGGGCACTGAACCGCAGCGCGCTCGTTTCTGTTATTTTGCTCGAAGGGGAGGCAACTGAGGAGAGCAGACGCGCGCGCGAGAGATGCGCGGGATGGGCCGATTCTTTATAAGGAGGAGGAAAATCTGAGCAAGGCATGGGATCAACAGACAGGGACGCTTGTCAACGATGGTCCAACCAACGGGTCGGTATCCATCCTCGAACTACCGTTACATGAGGAGCTTCCCCATCTTGCGGCCTCCCACACCGTAGACTCGGCGGCCCCCAGTCCCTAGGATATGGGGTTAACGTGGGTGGTGGTTCCCCACCTACCGGGAGACGACCAGGCAATGGGCTGGTTTACACGGGGAAGACGGAGCCGCGGCACGTGGACGATATTCTAGCGGAGTCTTGCGGCGTCTCGATGGGGCATAAGAAGAAAGGATATGATATGATCCGTTCTTTCGTTCGTAAGTCGTTACTAGCGATTCAACGGCTGCTCTAGCACTTGGTCACAGACGGCGCCAACTTTGAAAGACGGACCTCCTCCGCACGACTTCGCCTCCTCATGGTTACCCCATCTCGCCCGGATTTCAACCCCAGCTATCGGAGAAGAGTTTGAGCCCTAGAGTGGCGGAAATTCAGAATGCGACGTGTGATTCGTGTGGTTATCCATGTCAATGTCAGATGCAAGGCAGCACGAGAGAACCGAGATGGGTTGCAACTTGCTAGTGAGGGGAAGCCAGCTCAAAATGGACATGCCACGCGCCAGTTTCCGGGTTTAATATGTGATGAGCAGCGTCAGCCAAGGCACGTCGAACCAACGGAAGAGAGAGATGGTGGCGGCGGCAGGCCGATGCAGTCCCGGCACGATGCCCGGCAAAAATGCCCGTCGCGCTACTCTGGAGCAAGTCTAGGCCGTGACGGATGCGGCGCAGTACGATCGAAGTCGTGTTGCCGCAAGCCAAAACATTTCAAACATTGGGCCACACTCGCTAGTCTCTAGGCTCTAGGAGAATATCCGTACTGTCAAGCATGCCACACGGAAGAATGCCGAAGCTAATAGCCCATACAAAGTGGTTGGGTACACCGTAATACAAATAGAGGTAAAATAAGAGAGGGAAGAAGAAAAAAAAAAAGCTCGGGAAAAGGAGGAACAAAGTCCGGGTGGAGAGACTCCCCCGAACCCCAGACGGGGTTGAAGGCCGAGGCCACAGTTCGGCGCTAGCCCCGACTGGGGAATTGCGGGTCCGGGGATTGGAATGTTGGACCCTGGCGGAACGTACCGCTTCATGAGGAGAAGCAGAGGATTGGTCGCTGGACACGAGGCAGGAATGGAGAAATTCTCGGATGGAGTCCCAGCATGACTCGGGACTTGGTCTAGAACAGAGAGCGAACTGGTCGTGTAACGCAGAGGATTCGGGAGGCTAGAATTGGGTGTCTGATGATGCGTAGAGCGGTTGATATTTCATCCTTTGAAAATAGCAACAGTCCCAACTCCCACCATTGAAGATGTTGCCTGAGGTGCTAACAGTCGGAGCTTAGCACGCTTAGGTAAGAAGTAGAGAAGATCCGAAGTGCTCCCGGCCGGCGCTTAGGGCCACCTCAGGCACCCAGACCCTCCAGGTGTTCGGTCGACAATCCCATGCACGAAACAGGCACTGACATGTCACGTGCGTCTTTGTTTACTCATGACAATACGTACTGCTCTCTTTTAGACCTCAGTAAAAAGAAAGAGAAGAAAAGAACCTCAGGTCCTCAGGCCCCCAAGTTTAAACTCCAACTCTGAAGCATTACCTAAGCCCCCTCGGCCAATCATCAGCTACCCCGCTTCCCCCAATCCTTCCCCTTGCAGCTGGTTCCTCGTGATTCCCCCGCACTCCCTGACGCTGCACCGTCTCAGGTCGGGTGCTCAGGTGACGTTCCTGACCTTGGAATCCTGACACCTGGGAGCTCGGCTCGTATGAAGATGGTGCCAGAGGCCCAGAGCTCACCTCAAAGGGCCAAGGTATCGGCCCAGCTCCAATCTGCAAAGCTCCAATCGCCATCCTCCTCATCCACTTCTGCAACTTCCATGTCACCGCTTGCAAACCTCCACCCACTTTCAACAGCTCATTATCGTGTGTAATTTACTTGCTATCTACACTACACTACCTACGCTATTACTCAAGATACCGACTTACGTGGCCCCGTCAATTCCTCATCTCCATTGATCGTGTCTCCACCGTTCCCGTCTTTGTCCACCCCTTGAATCCACATCCGCATCCGCATTCCCCTCCGCCTCGGTCGCCGGTGCCGAGCTCTGTACTACCACCACCACCACCACCACCACCATGTCCGAAATCTCCGATGACTACGTCGACATCTCTTCCGAGACTGACCTCCATCTGAGTGTCTACATGGAGAAGTTAGGCCGCCATCGCCGTCTGGGTAGCTCGTCAAGTGAGGGCTCATCCACCGCCGGACCCTCCAGAGAAGAGACAACCACCACCGTTGTCGAAGCTCCAGTTCACTCGTTCCCTAAGAGCCTCCCTGATTGGAGCAACCTCAAAGTGCTCCATCGCAACACCCTTCCACCACGGAGCTACTTCTTCCTGTACAACACCGAGGAGGATGCCCTCACCAGGGATACCTCCAAGTCCAAGTCCCTCCTTCTGTCTGGAAAATGGAAATTCCACTTGACCACATCGCCCTTCCATGAACCCCGGGACTTTTATAAGACCGACTATGACACCTCAGAGTGGGATGACATCGTCGTACCCGGCATGTGGCAATGCCAGGGCTACGGCAAGGGCCCTCAATACACCAATCTCAACTTCCCATGGCCCGTTGATGCGCCTAACATCCCCTACGATGACAATGAATGCGGCCGACATGTGACGACCTTCAAAGTTGGTGATGATTTTGCGGATCACCAGCTGAGACTGCGCTTCGAGGGTGTCGACTCTGCCTTCACTGTCTGGGTCAATGGCAAGGAAGTCGGCTATTCTCAGGGAGCTCGAAACCCCAGCGAATTCGACGTCACGGACTTTGTCAAGGTCGGCGAGGACAACCTGCTCGCTGTTGAGGTTTACCAGAGATGCGATGGCACCTACCTCGAAGACCAGGATCAGTGGTGGCTCAGCGGCATCTTCAGAGATGTCTTCCTCCACGCTTTCCCCAAATTCCATCCCATTGACTACCACGTCCACACCCTGCTCGACGATGACTACAAGGACGCCACCTTGAAGGTCGACGTCGAGATGAGCCAGGGCGCGTACGTCGATATGAAGCTCCTCGACGCCGACGGCAAGCTTATCGCCAAGGACATGAAGATCTTTGACCGACACAATAGCTTCGACATCCGCGTCAAGAACCCGCACAAGTGGACGGCCGAGACTCCGTACCTTTACACCCTGGTCCTCAACTTCAAAAAGTGCAGCCTGGTCCAGCGTGTGGGTTTCCGCCGCGCCGAGCTGATCAAGGGGGTCTTCAGCATCAACGGCAACCCCATCAAGATCCGCGGCGTCAACCGTCACGAGCACCACCCGGACTCGGGCCGTGCCGTGCCTTACGACTTCTTGAAGCGTGACCTGCTCCTGATGAAGCACTTCAACGTCAACGGCATCCGCACCTCGCACTACATTAACGATCCGCGCCTCTACGACCTGGCAGACGAGCTCGGTATTTGGATCCTTGATGAGGCCGACCTCGAGTGTCACGGCTTCGGCGTCCTCGGCAACGCGGGCGAGAGCTGGGCCACAGATAACCCGGACTGGAGGGAGGCCTATGAGGATCGCGCGAGGCAGATGGTCCAGCGCGACAAGAACCACGCTTCGGTCATCATGTGGTCCCTCGGCAATGAGTCCTTTTACGGACGGAATCACCAACACATGTATGACGTGATCAAGAGCATCGACAAGTCCCGGCTCGTTCACTACGAGGGCGATTGGAATGCTTCGACGGCGGATATTTACAGCAGGATGTACGCCTCTGCCGACGATATTATCAACACGGCATCGCAGAAGGACTGGGCTAAACCGCTCGTGCTTTGCGAGTACATTCACGCCATGGGCAACGGGCCCGGCGGTATCAAGGAGTATATTGACGCCTTTTACAAGTACCCGCGCCTGATGGGAGGTTTCGTCTGGGAATGGGCCAACCACGTAAGATACCTATCTGGCATACCACTTGATCACATACTGACAGTTTACAGGGTCTACGTACCAAGAATGATGATGGCGAGGAGTACATGGGCTACGGAGGCGACTTTGGTGACGTTCCCAACGACTACAACTTTGTCTTTGACGGCCTTTGCTTCGCCAATCACACACCCACCCCAGGCTTGGTCGAGTACGGCAAGGCCATTGAGCCCGTCCAAACGCTCGAGATCAAAGACAACGAAGTCACTATCATCAACCGCTACGATATCGTATCTTTGGACCATCTCACCGCCACCTGGCATATTGTTGCCGACGGTATGGTCATCGGCGGTGATCAGGAGGTGGAAATCCCCAAGGGTTTGTTGCTCCCTCTGTCACCTCTCCCCATTCCATGGTATCCAGCCCAGCTAACACATCGCAGGCATCAAACCTCACACCAAGGCCCACCTCAAGATCAAAGGCCTCCCCAAGAACCTCACCGCCGAAGCCTACCTCCACATCGACTTCTTCCTCGCCAAAGGTACAAACTGGGCCAAGCAAGGCCACCGCGTCGCCTTCGGCCAGCTCTCACTCTCCAAACCCCCCTCCATGTCCACGATCCTCTCCTCCCTGTCGAACCCCTTCCTCGACCCCGTCCCCACAATCCAACAAACCTCCCCCTCCCTCCTCTCCATCACCTCCGCAACAGGCCTCTCCACCTGGGGCCTCGACCTCCAACTCGGCACCCTCACCTCCTGGCGCAAGGCCTCCCGCCCGCATCTCGAGCTCCTCACCTCCCCCTTCGTCATGGACTTCTACCGCGCCCTCACCGACAACGACCGCGGCGGCCGCTTCGGACAGCAGTGGGAGGACCGCAGACTCCACCAGACAAGTCACAACATCAAGCGCGTAGAGTGGCGCAAGGAGAAGCACGGCCTCGTCGTCAACGTCCACTCACGCATTGCGCCGCCCGTTCTGGCCTGGGGCGTCGACACCTACACCACCTTCACCTTCCATGGCGAGGCTGTCTACATCAAGATCAAGGGTAAGCCTAGCGGTCCGCTGGTGCCGGATACCTTTGCCCGCATCGGCTTGACGTTCGGCCTCAAGGCCGTGGACAAGGTCGCGTGGTGGGGTCGCGGCCCTGGCGAGAGTTACTCGGATAAGAAGATGGCGCAGGCGTTCGGGAACTGGGAGGAGACGGTCGACGACCTCTTTGTAGACTACGAGTTCCCGCAGGACGGCGGTAACAGGACCGACGTCCGGTGGGTCGAGTTCCGCGGACAGCTGCCCGATGAAGAGAGCGGCATCGTCGACGAGAGCAAGCCCGCTGAGCGTCTCGTCCGCGCACGCTTCGGCGATCTGGAAGGCGCCTCGTTCTCGGCCATGCACTACACCACCAAGGACCTGGACGAGTGCAAGCACCCGTACGAGCTGTATAAGCGCAAGAGAGAGGATACGGTCGTCAGGCTGGACTGGGCGCATCACGGTCTTGGGACCGGGTCCTGTGGACCGGCGACGCTGCCGGCGTATGAGCTCAAGAGCAAGGATTTTGAGTTTGAGCTTGTTCTGGATTAGGAGGTCGGGTGTGATGAATGTATGTGTAGCTTAAAGTTCAGACTGACATGAAATTGTAAAATATGTGCTTTTCACGTGGCTGAGTAAACTGGAGATCCCCATCGCGGCGCACAAAGTCTCGAATGATTAACATCAGTCATTACAGCATTGCCGTAACTCCATGCACCCCTTTTCACCACACCAGCCCACCCTCCCCCGTCACAACACTGACCGAGGAATCAAACATACTGATACGCCCCAATCTCAACCTTACTCTCCACGAGAATCAACCCCTCCATAGCCGTACACTGACTGTCCCAATCAACACCCCACTCCCGATGCTCATGCTGCGACGTCCACCGCACCCTTACAAACGAGTACTTCTTGCCCTCCATCGGACACGAATAGAAAAACGGCCTCGCGGACGCGGCCGGGTCGCCGAGGTTAATGAACTTTAGCAGCCGGAGCTTCTTGGTCGCGTCCTTGGGGTCCCAGATCATGACGGTGTTGAAGCAGTTGACGTTGGAGCCGCCGGGCATGGTCATCCAGGTGCGGGCGTCGCCTGCGGTGTAGCTTATTACGCCAAAGGGGTCGAGGTAGACTAGTTGGCCGTGGGACATCATGGACTTGAGGGCGCGGTGTTAGTCGAGGTAAAGTTATGGTAGAGAAGGCATGGAAGGAGACGGGAGCGACGCTGATCAGGAAGGGAAAACAGACCTTGAGCCTGCCAAAGACGCCGTCTACGACAGTGGTGTTGCCTTCTGGGCAGGCTGCGCCGCTGAAGTCAGGGCACCATGTCGTCGGTCTCTCGAGGCCGATCCAAAAGCGTTCATCTTCGACGTTGACTAGCTTGTCGTGGACTTTTGGTTCGGAGGGGGCGTAGGTGCGGAGTTGGTAGGAGGCAGCGGATGCTAGGGTTGTGCTGATGGTCAGCAGGGAGAGGAGTTTGGCGAGCATCTTGTTGTTTTTGGTCAACCTACGACTACTGAGGTCGCGTCATATACGAAGCCTGTAAAGAGGGCGAGGGGAAAGGGGAGTAAGGGAGAAAGGGAAGCAGGGAGGAGGACGTTGCGGGATGAGGTCGTTGGCCCGGTCTTATTGCCCGGCTCATAGACCGTTAAGGTAGGAAGATATTGATATTGTGTCCCGGTTTAACCGTCAAGGTAAGCCATAGCCTTCAGAGTACATCAGCGTTAAGTGGCGGACACAGAGTCAACGTCTTGGTGGTGGGCTATAGTTGGTCAGATAAGTGGAATATTGTCTGGACATCGAAACCTATTCACAGATTAGGCGCGTCAAGTTCGTTCTCAGATGAAAATAACCTAGCACAGAGGAGAGGTTCTCCGGATCATCGGTGCTACTCAGTCTGATGTTTGAATGCGAGATGATGTTGACTTTATTGAAGCTTAATTCTGAGTTGGCCATTATGCAAAGTGTGCCCTTTGCCCTATGAACGTGCTTGCTGGAGGTGGGACACTAGCTCACGTTGACCTCAAGTGGTGGTTTCCTTCCTTGGGGATCGCGATAGCCTCAGATCTCATGTCAGCTGTCACCAACATGTCGCCAACCAGGAGGTAAAGAAATGTCGGCCACTGTTTGGCGATCCAAGCGATTCACAGTCACGGTGAACTGAGTCACCACCCCTGGTACTGCAGAAAAAGGGTCGCAGGCAATCCGTGCTATCCGCGCATTCCGTGGATACGATGGCGACTTTAGCTTGCGAAACACGCGAGACCTGTGGCCTAGGATCGGCGGTATTATGCAGCGGAGGATTGGCCGAAGAGAGGCTTTCAATCGCGTCGTGAACAATGAGCAGGTGTTAAACAAACCGCCAGAACAGAGACAGAGACAAAAGGCACTGCAGCAACTTCAACAAATGAGATGTGATTAATGAAGTGTAAATAGTTAAGCAGTCGCTCATCTACGCGCTCTAACCGGCCAGAACCAATGCACCCAAACGCCAGCCAATACCTAAAGTCTGTCTATCCTCTTGACACTTTAGATCTTTCTAGACTTTTTCTTACAAAGACTCCTCCTTGTGAATCTCAATACCCGCAGGCGCGCCAACCAACGTCTTGCACTGCGCGTAAATGACGAATTGACCAGCAACCAGACCGCACGTCATGACGATACGGGGTCCCAGGCCGGTAAGAAGCAGCCTCTTGGGGCCAAACTCCTTGGCAAGCTGGAACATGCGGCTCGTGGCGCCCTGCTTCGGGTCGCCTGCACCCTTGTTGATGGCAGAGAGCAGCGTATCGGCAGGATGCGAGAGCACAGCGGCCGCTACACCAGCAACGACACCAGACGCAAGCTCCACACCAGTAGACTGCAGCTGCGTCATCTTGGCCTTCCTCTCAGGTCCCATGGACCGGTAAATCACCTCGACAGCAGCCTCATGCACAGAGAACTGGCCAATGGCGTACGGCACCTGCTTAAACAGCAACGGCACAAAGCCAGAATAGAACCCCTTGAACCCTTCCTCGCGCGCAAGACGCATAAACCCGGACCCCAAGCCCGTCGCGAAGCCGCGCTGGGAAACAAGACGAATACGCGTCGCCTCAAGCGGGCACAGCAGGATATCGGCAAAGAATTCGGCGGTGGCGGAAGCGCCGAGGTAGATTGCGGTACGCTTGTCGACGGCCTTATCGGGACCGCCGGCGAGGGTGATGAATTGCTTCTTGAAGAACTCGTAGCCGGCGAATTTACCGCCGCCCTGGACGAGGTAGCCGACGGCGGTGGGGCCGAAGCCGGTGAGGAGGGCGGAGGCGCCTTCTTTTGCGACGATTGTGCGGCCTGCGTTGATCATGTTGAGGCCCTTCATTGCGTCGTCGACTTGGATTCGCGTCTTGACGACGTCGATTGGTGTCGCGGCCTGTGGTGAGTGTGAGCATCTGCGAAGTGGGAGACGTCGGTCATCTGTTGTGGTGGTTCCAGCTTACACCGTGGGTGAGGGTCGCCGCGAGAGCGCCTGCGCCAAAGAACTTTCCATAGTCGACTGGTGAGAAGGTCGGGAGTTCCGATTGTGATGTTTTTGATGCCATTTTTTTTTTTCTTTCTTAGAGCGGAGATTTTCCTGACGATATTCCTGAAGAAAAAAGAAGAAATTGTGCTGCGATTGAAGGTGATACGCAAACAGACAGAAATGTGGCTGGCCAAGGAGTAATAAACGGGCAGGAAGGTACGGAGTACTGCTCTCTCCTCCGTCGTCATTGCTCCCATAGCTCCCCCCAGGCCCCAGCTAGCTGCCCAGCTCCAATTGCCTTGGCTTTTTCAGGGGTGCTGTGGGGCAGAAATGTGGAGCTGAGTCATCAATCAGTGAGCGCGCAATGACGTCGATGTTCCGTTATCTCCCAAAGACGGCAGTCGCGACTCACCAAGCCCAACTGAAGGCAGTGACGGAATGCCCGCCGGACCTCTCGGCAACCAGAACCAAACCAAACCAACAAGGCTCGACTCGCGCCAATTCCATCGCTCGTTTTCGGTACTTGGGACAGGGCACTTCAGCTGAGGAAGACTTTTTCTTCTACGGGCACCCTTGACGACATTGCTCTCACTAAGACACTCTGGATCCCGAACTCCTTACCCACTTTTCCTCTTTGCATACGATAAGCCCCGTGGTGCCGTTCGTCCCGATGTGCGGCTGCTCCCGCGCCGCGATTTCAGGCGAGACTCCGACGCCGACAATGGGGACTGCGTCGATCTCGGGATTCAAGAGCAGAAACTTTGGCTCCCCCCCGTTCCTCTTTTTTACCGAATGAGGTTGCGTTCATCTGTCATCTTGCTTGTTCGGGCCTGCGATCGTATGTGCGGGTGGGCATCCAGCTACGCTTGCCTGACAAGTCGACTGCCGGACAACGGGTCTGTCTACCTACCAGAACAAGCAGACTACGGGTATTGCATCTTCTCTTTACTCTTGCCTGCTCTTGCTCCTTAGAGCTGTGACAGAAAAAGGTCATCGAGCGAGCTAGAATCTCTCTGCCGGCATTCCCATATATAACATGGGCATTGAATAATCGAAATCTCACGTGTTGGGCGATCAGGGCAAGCGAAGGTTTCGAGAAGCAGCAGCTGGCGAGAAGTCAAGACAGGTGCATTCTGCTTCGTCAAGATGAAGACTTTGAGTGTTGGTGTTCCACGACCGGGCTGATCAACACTGGGAAGCATGGCTTCAGAACCGACGCCGCTTCTCTCAGACCCGGACCCGAAGAAATGTTCAAAATAGATCAGCCAGTCGTTCAGATCGATCGCTGGGCATTTTCGCTCACAATCTCCAGTGTTTCTGTACCGACATTGTCGCATCTCTCCTCGAGATCTGCCGCTCCCGTAAACCAACGACCATCCGGCCTGTCAGCACCGATGACGGTCCCGTACCGAGGTGTGCAGGGTGACAAGGTGTCCGATTTAGCGGGAAATCGCCTGACTCAATTTTGCTGCGGGGACCCAAGCACCCTAAAAGGGCAATCTTGAACGACGCTTGCCCCCAACCAACTTCTCCCAATCCGCATATTTTGTTGTCAGGCCTCATTTGCAGCAAGATAACACGCATCGTATCAGATAAGAGGCCATTGTCTGAGATCTCGTGTTTGAGGGCTCTCCAGATCGTATGCCTTGTGTCTATGGTCGATCACGGCATCCGAAAGCGCAATGTTACGACTCGCGATCGCACCGGCTGCGTGACCTGTCGCACCCGCAGGTCGAAATGCGATGAAAGAAAGCCTCATTGTAACAACGCAAGTCAACGTCTCGCCACTGTTTTTAAGTTTTGGCTCTGACTCTGGCTACATCTAGTGCACAAGACTCAATCTCGAGTGCGGCGGTTATGCAACACCAATCAAGTTCAAAGACCAGACAGATCTGCTGAAGCAGAAGCATGGGAGAAAACGCAAGGAAAAGGCACAAACGCCAGCTTCCAGTGAGCCATCGTCATCGTCGCATGCCCCGGAAACTGTAGAGCCGGCAGCGCAGTCGCACCAAGTTGGTGGGTTAATTACGACACCAGGAGACGAGACCTTCCACTCAGCCAACGAAAGCCACGAAATCTTTGACGACTCACAAGAGTTGTCCCGCTATGAGGCAGCAACATCACTCGCCCTGATATCTGGAGGGGTTCTCCAGGATTCTCCGCTGCCTAGCAATCCAAGTTGTGTTGACGCGCCCTCTTTCTACGCGTCGTTTGGCGACACAACTGTCCAAACTGATGAAGCGCTTGGTGGAGAGGATAATGACAATACGAATGATGGGACAAACACCCCTTACGGGGACGTAGCCACTCTAAGCTCCACGCCGGCATACCCGCGGATGGACTCGCCTTTGCTGCGACAACGACAATCAGAACAAGCGAATCGACAGTTGACTTCAGTGCCAACAATCCCAGTCGGCTTGTTGGAGAGCGCCAAGTTCGCCGAAGACATGGTATTTACCATCATTTCACGGATACTTCGCCGTACGGTACCCTCTCAATTTTGTCGCTCAACGATATCCTACAGGCCGACCATCTCGATAAGGCCTTCTTCCACGCTGCACTGGCCCTAGCGGCACTGGACATTTCTCAGGCAAGGCCAAATGAAGCGCTGGGTAGCAAGGCGGCACTGCAAGCCCTTGACCACTTCGTTACTGCCCTCGGCACGGTACGGATGGCACAGCTCGACGATGAGGGGGTCGCTACAGGCTGTCCGCCGAACCAAGACAATGCAATCTCATGGCTGGCGACTCTCTTGCTGCTGGCCAACTTTGAACTGCAGAGAGGCCAGATGAAGTTGTGGTACATCCATAGCCGCGCTGCGGTCACCTTCTTATCCCAACACCTGAACCGTGTGCAGGATTCACCCGTGGGAGAGTCGCTAATCAGATCATTCTCGAGAATCGCCGCCCTCCTAGACATCTTTGATAGAGCATACTCTGTACGATACAGCATAGCATCCCCCGACGTTTCGGACTCCCTAAGCAGATCACTAGTAAACTCTCCGCACTCGGCTGACAGGCTACTTTACATCCTCCCGCGGGTCATCAAGTTGGAAGAAGAGTGGAGGAGCAACCCACAACATGACCTTCACTGGCGAGAACAAGCAGAAGGCCTCATCCAGGAACTGAAAGCCTGGCGGAGGACTCTTCCTGACTGCGACGTGCCGCCTCTACACGAGCACACTGCAAGCCCTTACAACGAAGACGCAGAAGGGCCCGGCATCTCCATCAGACCCCTCAGCATCCCGTACGCCCCTGAGCCCGTCAAGGCAGCAACAACCTTCATGCACTACCTCGTGTCCCTCCTCCGCTTAGAAACCAGATATCTCCCAGGCGCAGTGCGCCAGCTGCCCCCCAACGCCAAGAAAATTGTCCTCCTCGTCCTCCGCCTCGCAGCAGGCGTTCCCTATGCCTCCTGCGCGGCCGTCAACACCTACTCCCACGGCATGGTGGCGGCAATGATGAACTGCTACTACATGTCCGAGGAGCAGGAGGTCAAAGACTGGGTTAAGAACTGGATCGCCGGGTTCCCGCGCGATAGGGAGGGCATCTGGAACGTGCGGCACGCGCACCGGGTGTTGAGTTACGTCGACCAGGAGTACACTCGTCGCGGCTCGCGCTATAATTGGGAGATTATCAAGGTGCGACTGATCGATCTCGAGACGGACGCTACGCCGAGCGAGGATGAGGAGATGGACCCTGACAAATTCTCGGTCGAGATTTATTCGCGGTGTAAGCGGGGCTGGAGCATTGACTTTGTAGAAATACCATAATAGGAAATCGGGAACGCCTAGTTGTGTTCGCCAATGATGACTCAACTTTCCTAGGGTGGGAGGATCTCGGGATGCGGGCTCGGTATCCGATGACATGCAGGTCCCATCGCCGAGAATTTCTGTGTGAAATTTTCTGCAGGATGATAGGCGCCGGTCGGTGGGCCTCCGGTCGTGGACCGATCGGTGTGGAGACTATTTAGCGTGCTCGTTCTCATTTACCGTATTGGGTAATTTCAACATCGTTCAGATTCAGCGTGTCTAGCTCATCTTACCTTGCCTTCGCGACAATTGAGCTCCAGCGCGTGCTAGAGAGTGAAGTCAGGTAATACAAGAATACTTATGATGTCAAATCTCGTGATTACAAGAATATGGATAAGCGCTCTCCATTTACAGCTTGGATGAACAACAGAACACCTCTAGATCTTAAAGGGAGCGCAAAATCCCTTCAACCATCGCGAAATCGAGCCCTAGTTCACATTTAAACGCTATCTCGCTACACTTATATACAATCTTCATATTCATCTTCGTTTTCACCCAGCATTCAATACCACAAGATGAGTCCCGGTGCAACCAGTACCTCTTCAGCAACCTTGCAAAAAGCGAGTGGCCAGTACGACAATGAACGCCAATATACGGAACTGGACGCCTCCGAGATGCTCAAGGAGCTTGTACCCGAGAAAGACCAACTTCCAGTTCCAGATGCCCACGATCCCGTGAGACTCGGCCAGAACTACACCACGGCACACATGGTCCAAGTCCGATGGTCTATGCAAACTGGCTGGGGAACACCCGTGATGAGCCCCTACGGCAAGATCGCCTTGGAGCCAACAGCAAGTGTCCTGCACTATGCCACCGAGTCTTTTGTAAGTCCAAGTACTCCAACATGATGAACCCTCTCCAAACAATCAAGTCCATTTCTTCCCGTTATACAGTACCTACAACAACTAACACCCTCATCAGGAAGGGATGAAAGCCGACCGAGGCCACGACTCCAAACTCCGCCTCTTCCGCCCCGACCTCAACTGTGCCCGCCTCCTCAAATCAAACGCCCGCGTAGGCCTCCCCTCCTTCAACCCCTCCGCCCTCCTCCAAATCATCACAAACTTCCTCGCAACAGAATGCCCACGCTGGCTCCCAGACCCCGGCACAAACCTCTACATCCGCCCCGCCATGGTCGGAAGCGGCTCCGCGCTGGGTATAAACCAGCCCCCCGAAGCCCTCTTCTTCCTCTTCGCCGCGCTCTTCCCGCAGGCTTCTTCGGGCCAGCCGCACCCGGGCATCAAGTTACTCGCCAGCAGCCCCGAACATATTCGTGCCTGGCCCGGTGGGTTCGGGTCTGCCAAGGTGGGTGCGAATTATGGGCCTGCTATGGTTTCGCATGCGAAGGCGAAGGAGAGGGGGTGTAGCCAGACGTTGTGGTTGTTTGGGGAGGAGAGGGTTGTTACGGAGGCCGGGGCGAGTAATTTCTTTGTTGTGTGGAGGAGGAAGGAGGGTGAGGGGTTTGAGCTTGTGACTAGTTCATTGGATACGGAGGTTATTCTGGATGGTGTCACTCGGAGGAGTGTTTTGGAGATTGCGAGGGAGAGGCTGACGGGGGGTTTGGCGGGTGGTACTGAGCTGGCTCCGCTGGAGGTTGTTGAGCGTCCGTTTACCATGGGCGAGGTTGTGGAAGCGTATGAGGATGGTCGGCTGGTTGAGGCGTTTGTCTCTGGTACTGCCGTAAGTCTGACCTCTCTTTGTCTAGAATCACAAGTCCCCTCCGCTAACATTTTTGTTGCAGATGTTCGTTACTCCGGTCTCTATGATCAAGTATGGGGATACCGAGATCCAGTTTCCGATGACGGTCACTGAAGAGGGGCATAAGACACCGCGCTCAGTGTACTCTTCCTTCATCAAGTCTTGGTTGGAGGATATTATCTACGGCCGAGTGGAACATGAATGGGGTTTTGTCGTCTCTGAGGATTAGAGGGTCGTCTACGTGCGGACCTTTTGTCTCTTCAAAGCAAGTACATAATTAGTAGATGAAACGAAACGGCCAAAGCGTAGTCGTCCATAGAGAAGAAGAAGCATTGTCTTGTTTACCGACATCTTGAGCAGCTTAATACTGGGCTCCAACCTGATAAAACTTATGTTCATCACTGCTTTCGGAGTAAGGTGTATACTCTGTGTATTTTTCTTGGTGAAAGAAGTACTATTGATCATGGCAGTACGGCCAGTGACTGTAGCAGGTCACAGCGAGTCGGTTGTCCTCAGTGGAGATACGAGATGATCATCTCAAAGAATGAATTTACCGAGGCATCCATAAAGGCGTAGTTATGCTTGATGAAAGAGAACTGGCCAATCGCGCATTCTCAACAACAATCTACCGCAGTTTGGGCCTAATCCAAATGCACAAATCGACATAACTGTTAAGCAACCTTCACTCAATCTATCATCACAACGACCATGTTCGATGACTTTTGAACTGGGATTTCTTCAATACATCTCTTAGCATAGTACCATCCGATCATTCAAACCCGTGCCTATTTGGAATTCCTAGCCTTAAGTCAAATCAGAAGAGGCGAAGAAGTCATCTACACACTTCATGGCCATCAAGACATGATTCTGTCTATTCGTCAGCAAAACCAATCAAACTGCAAAACGGGGTTGAGCGCGAACCTTCATCGAATCGTGAGTGAGTCCTCCGAGATGAGGTAGAAGTGTCACGCAGTCATGCTTCAGTAACCTCGGGTTCACAGTCGGTCTCATTCCGTCAGCTTTGCATACTCAGTATGAGGGTCTAGTGAGAAACTTACTCGTTGTAATGGACATCAAGGCCAGCCGCTGCAACAGTGCCGTTCTCTATGGCGTCACACAACGCTTCCTCGTCTATGCAACGGCCTCTAGCCACATTGATAATCCGAATGCCCCTCTTCATTCTAGAGAAGATATCCCTCGACAGGAGGTGGTGCGTACCCGGAGAGTAAGAGCATGCCAGAACCAAGCAATCCACAGAAGCAACGAGATCCTCAAGATCCTCATGGAATATGACAGGTGGCAAAAGCCGCTTGACGGGCTCATCCTCATCCTTCATAGCTTTTAAGGCTCTTCGAAGGTTGGGCCTATTGATGCAGTGAACTTCCATTCCGAGGGCAGCCGCCTGTCTTGCGACGGTTTGGCCGATGGAACCCATGCCGACAATGCCGAGCTTCTTTCCAAACGGGTCAACTGCATTTTGAGATGAGTGTATCAGGGCCGGTAAAAATTGCCCATTGCGAAGCATTCTTTCGTAGTGATTTAGCTGACGGAATACCGAGATGATGAGGTAGACTGCGACCACGGCAGTCGCTTCACTCCCGCCCGTCGTGTTGAAGAACTCGATACCACGGGCGTTGAGGCCCGTGATATCCTCTTCTTCAAAGCCGTGCCCAAAGTTGACAATCATCTTGAGAGTTGATGGAAAATGTGGCAGCGCTTGTCTAGTCCAGCCTAGCGTCACTCTCTCGTTGTCAGTTGCAGTGCTGATGACGCCAATCCGCATGATTCCATCGATGTTCTGGCAGGTGCCGGATATCATGGACTGGTAGAAATCGTTCAATTTCGGGAAGTCGTATGTCAGTATTTCATAACTTGTGTTGAAGTCTGCCCATACTTTGTCGGGTACGTTGTCGCAGGGTGAACCAATGACGAGGATCTTGCGTTTTTGCTGCATATCTGATGAGGGTGATGATTGCTGGGTGAGTGAAGTGGCAAGTCCGAGGATGAACTGGAAGACAACTGGTGACAAGATGACCAATTGCTTGGAACTTATTGCATCAGACTGCAAGATCTTGTCGTATTCTGTCAAGTTTGTCGTTATCTTCTTCATGCTGGTGCCAAGTGTGCTGGTGTAAGTCAGCTTCCTCGTTCTTGATTCCCCTTTTGGGTAGTATCTCGGTGTGGACCATGACATCGGCCCCCACGCTGCACCACTCGTAATCCGATCTCGCTTGACGTGGGTCTCGGTGCGACTAGACTGGACTCGGAAAGCTCAACTTCCCCTCTTTCAACATCAAAATTAGCGCCCAGAGTCAATTATTGAAGCTGGTGATAGTGCTAAAAGAGGCTTGATTGTGGTTTAAATCTCGGCTTTTGCTGACTAAGACACTCGCCTCGATCGCCACAATGGCTTCAACCTCGGCGCGCCCGGTGAACGATACCAATGAAGCACTGGCTAGCTTTTATGCCAAGTGAGTGGAATTTGACAGGCATCCTTGCACCTTCGGCTCGCTAATCTCAAAGTCAGGGTTGATGAGCTTGAGAGTGTCTTCATCGATAGTACGTCCAAAATTTGGGTTTAGCTCTGATTCAAAGGGCCGTAGTTGACTTTGACCTCGTGTAGGACTGGGAGATGCAATCAAGATTCCGTCAATCTCTGCTTATGCCGACAGTAGAAAGGATGTGTTTGCGGTGAGTTAGACGAAGGAGCGATATGACACCAAGGCATATAGTTGGCGGCACCTAATTTGGAAGCAGATGAGCGAGTGGGTTGCGACCAAGCTGAAGGCTGTCGGTGTTGATGTGAAACTCAAAGACCTTGGCAAGCAGGAGGGCACAGATCTTGACCTTCCTCCTCTGGTGCTGGGGCGCTACGGCAGCGACCCTGAGAAGCCAACGGTGCTTGTATACAGCCATTACGATGTTCAGCCCGCATCTATCGAGGACGGATGGAAGCATGAGCCTTTTGTGATGACGGTGGAAGAAGACGGCAAGATTTGCGGCAGAGGCACCTCAGACGATAAGGGTCCTCTCGTTGGCTGGATCAACATGATAGAAGCTTTCCAGAAGGTTGACGTAGACGTACCGGCCAACTTGGTCTTCTGCTTTGAAGGCATGGAAGAGACGGCGTCATTTGGTCTCCGGCAGGGCCTAGAAGATGAGGCGGACAAGTATTTCAAGGACGTCGACGTAGTCTGCATTACAGATGTTGTTTGGGTAAGCGATGAGCAGATCAGTGTTCCTCAAGGACTCAGAGGCATCATCTTCTACCTCGTCACCATCACTGGTGCCAAGGTGGACGCCCACAGTGGCGGGTTCGGTGGTCAAATATCGGAGCCAATGACCGACATGGTCAACATCATGGCTTCTTTGGTGGATTCGAATGGCAAGATTCTGATACCTGGAATTTACGACAACGTCCAGGCCGTCACAAAGGAAGAGTATGAAAGCTACCAGAAGCTCAACATTTCGGAGGACTCCTTGTATGGTGGCACCGGGGGCAGAAGCCTCCATGATAACCAGGCTGACGCCCTGGTCGCTCGGTATGTTCATCCGCAACCCAACCTCAGATCAATATGCTAAATGCTACTTTTGTTCCATAGATGGAAGAAGCCATCTCTCAGTCTGCACAGGATAGAGAATGCCCTGCCTGGAGCCGGGGCCGTCACATCCATACCTGCTAAACTTGTCGGAAAGTTCAGCATCCGTACTGTGCCTTTCATGAAGTGGGAGGACATTGACGAGCGGGTACGGAAACACATCAAGGACCGTTTCGAGAGTCTCGGAAGCAAGAATGACATTGAAATCGAGTGTCATCCGAATGACTGGTTCTATGAGGAAGCGAGTCACTGGAACTACCAGGCCGCTATTCAAGCGACACGGGATGTTTGGGGTGTTGATCCTGCTCTGACCTGCGAAGGTGGAAGGTCAGTCTTTGCATTGAATTCCAGTGTGTGATAGACCAACACTAACTTCTCTCAGCATTCCCATCGCTTTGGATTTCAAGAAGACCTTGAAAAAGAACGTGCTTCTTATGCCCGTTGGTCGGCCTACCGATGGACAACATTCCACTAACGAGAAGTTGGATAAGAGCAACTAGTAAGTCGTCACGCAGCACTAAAGATCTGCAGTTACACGCACGAAGGCTAATCCCCAATAGCATCAACGCCATCAAGCTTTACGGAGCTTATCTAAAAGAGGTTACAAACTTCTGGCGCCAGAGCAAACAAGGCTTGTAATTAGTTTCTAGAAATAACAACGGGTTCAAAGCCGCAACTATCTTTCCCCAACGGTCTCAAACGGTAAAAACCAACCGAGTCAATTTCTGGATCGTATCTGTGCGAGCAAGGATAACAATTAGCGCGGGGTGCACCGAATTGCCGCAATAGGCAATATTGAACGACCAGGTGAGGGGCAATGAAATTGCGGGGCACGGAATAGTTAGACACTTGAATCGCATCTATGAATACCTGACGTAGCATTGCTCGATTCCTCGAGTTTATTAGTTTACGAGACTCAGAGTATCAAAATTCACCGCGAATCTCTCTCTTTCTCTCTCTCTTACATATTGCGTTAGGCTTTCTCTCTCCCCCCCGCCCAGACGTCCGCGTGCAGCACAAAAGCTACACAATGTGCCCAATCAACGTTGTCACAGATGTCAACACCAGCTCCAATTTCCACGACTTTTCAACAAAGCATACGACCCTTGACTTGGCGATTGACTTTGGTCGCAAGATCTTGTTTGGACAAACCGCTATCACTGGCCAAGCAAAAGTTCAAGGTCTTACCGAAATTGTTCTAGACACAAGTCATGTTGTCATCAAAGGAGTATGCCATTCAGGGGAAAAGGCACCGTGGACATTGAAACCCAACGATGGAGAGAATGGCAGTCCATTGTGTATCGAACTTGGGAGGTCTTACAATGAAGGGGAAACCATTGAGCTCACAGTACGTTGATATTTCGAACCTGCTGTACCACCAACGATGGAGTCGGCTAATTGAGACGCTTGCAAGGTGGACTTCCAGACGACAGAGAACACTACTGGCCTTCAGTGGTTCAGCCCCTCACAGACGGACGATAAAAAGTATCCCTTCATGTGTGAGTACTGAACTGCATTACGACTTGTCGGTCTCAGCTAATGGGCGATAGTCTCTCAGTGCGAACCGGTTCATGCCCGCTCCATTTTCCCGTGCCAGGACACACCATCCATCAAAAGCACTTTCGATATCACGATCCATTCAATACTTCCTGTCGTAGCGAGTGGTGTTCCTGAGGCCGAGCTAGTCTTCCAATCCATCGCAGACACGACCGAACAGAAGACATACAAGTTTAAGATGGAGATTCCAATCTCGAACTACCTTTTCGCCGTAGCAAGCGGGCAAGTCATTCAGAGATCACCCTCACATACACTATGACTAACACAGCTCTAAACAGAAATTTGGCTGGAGAGAAAATTGGCCCGAAAAGCTATGTTTACTGCGCCCCTGGTGACTTGGGAGCCTGCAAAGAAGAGTTTAAGCCAGATTTGCAAGCCATTATCAAATCTGCAGAGGTAAGAATCTGAGTCAATATGAGAGGAGTTCCACTGACGCCATTCTAAACAACCTAGAATCTCATCTTCGAATACCCATGGCCGCTTTACAATCTTGTCGTATTACCAAAGTCCTTCCACCTTGGCGGCATGGAAAACCCCATTTTCAACTTTTACAGCGCCACAGTTGTCTCGGGAGACCGAGAGAACATCTCTGTGGTCGCCCACGAGTTCGCGCATAGCTACAGTGGCAATCTCGTCACCAATGCGTCCTGGGAGCACTTCTGGCTGAATGAAGGGTGGACTGTCTGGACCGAAAGGAATATCGTGCGCGAACTCAGAGGAGACGATGAGGTCGAGCTCCAAGCCATTGTCGGCTGGCAAGACCTCATTCAATCCATCGAAACGTACGGTGGTAACGACAGCGTCTTCACTAGCCTGGTACTTGAGTTCGAAGGTAAGAGGCCGGATGATATTATGTCCAAGATCTCGTACGAAAAGGGCTACACCTTCCTGTGCTATCTGGAGAAGACCGTTGGGCGAGAGAAGTGGCTCAAGTTTGTCCCACACGTAAGTATCACATTTTGCTGCCGACACTCGGAGAAAGCTAAGATTTCGTCAATCAAGTATTTCCGGACATTCTACGGCGCTGCCGTTGACTCAACTCAATTCAAAGATTGCGTTGTTGACTTCTTCTCGCCTGATGCTGCTGCTACCTTGGCACTGAGTCGCGTTGACTGGCAATCGTGGCTTCATAAGCCGGGCGTACCTCCCAAGCCAGATTTCAGCTCTGGGCTATACAAGGAGGCTCTTAACCTAGCGGATCGTTGGAACAGCCTCTCGACTGGTTCTCTCTTCAAGCCATCTTCCGATGATGTCAAGGGCTGGACTGTAGGGCAAGTGTTGGTCTTCCTCGATTTGCTCATCGAAAACTCGGAACCAGTCTCGACAAGATACTGTAAGCTTCTTGACGATCTCTATGATGTGGGAAAGTCTGGTAATCTCGAAGTTGTCACTCGATACCTTCACGTCGCGCTTCGAGCCGGCGATCGTGGCGTTTTGAAGCAGACTGAGGAAGTGCTGGGGCAGACAGGAAGAATGAAGTTTGTGAGGCCGTTGTAAGTTGAAGCGAAGAGGGGACAAGTAATCAGTCACAACACTAGTACTAATCATTTACAGGTTTAAGCAATTATTGTCGGTTGACGAAGGGCTGGCGTTGGAGCTGTTCGAAAAATATCAAGACTTTTATCATCCTACTTGTCTAAGGCTGATTAAAAATCTGCTCGACGAACAAAATCCCAAGGGCAACTAGTTACTATCTTCATTGCCCTTAATTCTTGACCTTCACTGAATTCAAGGCTTTGGGACTGGAGGCGTCAGCCCGCTACGGCGCTCCATCCACAGTACATAGATCTACTTACGTAGACTTGCAACAGACTTTTCAAAATTTGAATCCTGGCAGACTTTGCCGTAGAGTTTGTGGTGCAATAGCACGGTCCGCCCCTAAACTTGATTAAGGTTCGATAACTCTCGGTCGATGGCTTTTGCCCCCACTGGGTTGATAATGATCATGGAATAGTTTCCATTTCGTAAACGCTGAGAAGGTGACATTGTTGAAACGATTCCATTCGGGTGCAGCCGCCATCGGGTTGGTTGCACTGACAGTCTCGTATGACGACTCTCCACTATGCTCCCAGGATATGTCACAGCTAGTCTGCTGTAGCGATAACCGACCCTACGTTGTCCCGCAACCATGTCACAGCTGTGCATATTAGAAGCCAAATGGAAACATTGCTTATGGCCTAGAGACCAAGATGGTAGCGTGCGAAATCCGAAGATTATCAAGATGTACCGACCATATGTTCTCCTTGCAGATAGAAAGCCATCATCAGCGCAGTCGCCGACACACTGGTGGAAGAGTGTTTTTGAGAACTTCGGCAACTCCTGCTCTGCAACAATATTTCTTATTTCAAGATCTTGATTGTATTGAGAGGTTCTGGAATGACATATTTGGTGCCAAACGCTCTGCTGGTATCTTGTTTCTGTCGGAAACGAGTCAAGCACGGACTTGGCCTCCGATAAACACCGTTGCCAATACGGCTCGCACTGCCGTTTCCCCTGCTCTGATTTTGCTTTTTCCTTCTTCAATCATCACTAGAAGGGGGTTCATGTTATCTTCGTCGTCAGCTACGCCACGTGGAGGGCTGAGTAGGGCCGTCGTCGCCGTCGTCGGCTGGGATAGAGTCTCGGACCTGCCCCAAGCCGAAGGTGGGATTCCGGACCCGATAACCAATTTTATCCTTCCGACGGTTGTGCATGTTCGTCCCAATTCGTAAGTTGGCATGTGCTTGTCTTGTGCTTGAAACACTCATTCGTCCGATGATCCGTCCACTCTATCCACGGATCCAGACTCTCGGTATGTGGGATGCCAGGTGGGATGCTGTCAGGGAAGTTGTAGGTTTTTGAGTATCCATCATGCCCCACAAGACACAGATTACGGATAGGCAAATCGGGCCTCGGTCGACTTCCATGCTAAGATTTACCTTTGGATGAACGATGCATCATTGACACCCCTGTCCGGCATCCACCGAATGGGTAACTCGAGACGAATAGACGCCGGGAGGCAAATCTTTATCTCAAGCATCGCCAAGTTTGCAATGGGGCAAGCGGATCCCCAAGCTGCATGCGCGGCTTCTTTCGTAGAGCCGTCGCAACTTCTCTGCGCAGCTGGTGGATATCTGCGCTTCGGAGCTTGAAGAATCCTGAATTCGAAAATTTCCACTCCGGGTCCTTGAGCTCCTATCTTAGGAGGAGTCTAGGGAGATCCCGAAGTCTTGGCTTCGTGCTGTCAGTATAAGTGAAACCTGTCTCCCTCTTCTCTAAAGCATAAGAACAATAGGCTTTGCTCTTCACCAAGTTGCATGTCGCTTGCTCTGCAGATCTTTTTCCAGAACTGCTCGTCTCTCGTTGATCGACATGAAGTCGTCCACTCTTTTGAGCCTGGCCTCGGCCATTACCGTCGCTAGCGCATCGCCTGTCTTTCCCGCCCACGGCCACAACGGTCATAACGGCCACAACGGAACAATCTCTAACTCTACTTGCACTTCTATGAACCAGAGGAAGGCATGGTGAGATGAAACCTGGACCTTTAAACGACTTTCCTATCGGCTGCTAACATAAGTGAACAGGCACACCTTGGAGAACCGGGAGAAATCCGACTACCTTCAGGCTGTCAAGTGCTTGTTTGAATCACCGGCCAAGACGGGCATCAAGGGTGCGAAGACAAGATGGGATGAACTTCAAAGCTGCCACGTTGAACAGTCTAACTTCATTCACGGAGTCGGGTAGGTTTCCTGAAAAAGTCACTGTCCATTATTTATCTAATCCCCACATTCAGAGCCTTCCTTCCCTGGCACCGCCTCTTCCTTCGTCTCCACGAAATACTCCTCCAAGAAGAGTGCGGATACACCGGTGCCCTGCCCTACTGGGACGAGCAGCGCGATCTTGAGGTGTTTGGAACCGTCGAGAAGGCCTCTGTTTGGGGTTCGGACGAGTTCAGCTTCGGAACCAACGGTGTCAACACCACCCAAGGTACTAACTGCGTCATCGATGGTGCTTTCGCCAACACGACCCTTCGCATGGACCAAATTTATGGCATCGACTACTATGACGAGTACTGCCTCTCTCGCGAGTTCAACCAGACTGCATTCACTTTCGCCAACCAGTCTTACGTCGATGAGTGTTATGTGAAGGAGACATACAATGAAGCCAACTTCTGCTACGTTGATTCCCCTCACTCTTGCGGCCACCTTGCAACTGGTGGTACTGTAAGTGACACTATCTCTCAATTCCCTGTAGTACTTCTAATGCCTGCATCAGATGGAGAACCAGAACGCGAGCCCTGGTGACCCGATCTTCTTCCTGCATCACGCCAACTTGGATCGCCTTTGGTGGGATTGGCAGCTTGCGAACCTGTCCTCCCGCCTCACGGATATGAGCGGTCAGCTCATCCCTCCTACCTTTATCATGGAGCAGAACCGCTGGCTCACCCCCTCTTCGGCTTACCTCGATTACGACGGTGACGCGGGCAATGACACCACCCTGAACCACGTTTTGTGGATGGCTGAGATCATTCCCAACAAGACTATTGCTGATGTCATGGATCTGAGATCCGAGCTCCTTTGCACGGAGTACATTGTTGCTGAGAATTAGAAAGAGTGCTTGCACTGTGATGACGCGAAATGGTTGATCCCCGATTTTGCGGGTGCAAATATACCCCTGAAGCAGACATAGATTTCCCAAGATAATAGACATAGACTCCCAAATGCCAATAGCCGAAATGCAACATGCGAGATCGACACTAAAAACCGATGGCACCTTGTTTTCTTTGACATTATCATTCAGAGTGTAAGCTCGAGACACGGCAAGCTGTATTGGCTAAAGTACATGTCTCGGATAAAATGCCAGACATCAGGAAAAGGGATAGTCGCTCGGCTTCATGTACAGTCCACTTCTGTAATCCCGACAATTGAAATCGCCTGCCGCCAACAGTCCTTCTCGTCGGTGCCACTTCCGGCATCGGGGCAGCAATGGCGGATAAGCTTGTAGAGAACGGTGCCAAAGTCATCGCCGTCGGTCGGCGCCAAGAACGACTCGATGCATTTGCCAAGAAGCATGGCTCGATCAAGGCGGCTTCCATCAGGTTCGACATCACAGACAGGGCAGGTCTCGATGGTTTTGTGAATAGGTCAGTCCCAAGGAATATTACTGCCCACAAGCACCCCGCCCCCGCCCCCTCCCCCTCCCCCTCCCCCGCCTCGGAATGGGGTACTTGACCCGAAAAGTGCAAAGGCCTTGGGCGGACTTGATAACTCCATGCGGCAAGCATAAGCGACCTACTGTTGACACTTGAACAGGGTTGTCGATGAGTTTCTTGGTCTAGACTGCGTCTTCATCAACTCAGGAATTCTAAGCCCAAAGAGATCAACAGCGACTTTTTAAGCGTTGTCGATATTTCGGTCAAGTTTCTGCCGAGACTCTAGGACAAAGTGATACCGACAGGCTTGATCATTACCGGCACACATCTTTCTCTAATTCCTGCGGTGACTTTGCCAGCATACTCTGCCTCCAAGGCCGCTCTTCATACCTATGTCTATTCTTTGAGGCAACAACTACAAGGGTCTAGCACTAAAATCAGCACTAAAATCATCGAGATTTTGGCTCCCCTAATGCAGAGTTAGTTATTCAATTTGCTATTTGTAGTATCAAGGACAACACTGACAACTGTCCCAGTCGAATTTCATGACTACATTGGCAAAGAGCAAGGTCGATCGATGGGAATGCCTGTTGATGTATTTGCCGACGAGAAATATAAGCAGCTTGTCCTAGGCACCGAACACATTCTGGTTGGTTCAGTCGGTCCCGAAGAGCCATTTTTGGAGTTGTTCAAGGCAAGACAGAAGCAGTTGGATGATCTATCGAATTTCATGCTCTCTCTCCCTCCTGGCTAGGGAAGGTGTCAAAAAGCTTGAGACATTTGGCATATCAGCTTGATTCTCTTAATTCCTTAGGGTACTATACTTAGGCCCATCCATTTGTAGGTCATGTCACAATAGAGGAGTACTACGGTGTCCAATCTTGTACAGTCAAATATTTGCATGCAAGGTCTAGTAGTTATACTTGGAGATAAGCAATCGACACTGGGTTCCTGACACAGCACCAAAGTACTAATTTGCTAAGCAAGAACTACACAATGCTTTACACCTGAACTTTGAAAAGGCATTAATTATCTTAAGAGTCTAAGTGGGCCTTTAGAGTTTTAGTTCCTTGCTATCAGTGACTTGTTTATATCAGTGGGTGCTGGTATAGTCGACATCCCAAGAAGACTGGACTTTTCCGCGGTTCGGAGCTCCCGGTGCCTATTACACCATCGACTACCGTATGTGCTTAAGATATGGCCGATGTGGTATCATAACGAATTTATTGCCCACCTTATTATCGACTCTATTGATTGCAGGTACCTTGATAGGATAGCTTATAGCGATGCTACCTTGAGGTGACTGAATTGTAACGAAATCATAGCACCGACTTTTCGCGCTTCGCATACCCGCTTTCCCAAAACCCAGGCCAGTAATCAGGAACTTCCTCAATGATGAACCTAGAAAGAGCTGCGTTGGTCTCAGCCGGCTTTTCCATGTTTACCCAATGTCCAGCTTGCACAGTAACTTCGGTGAGGTTGCTACAGGCCTGACGCATTGGCTCGGCCAGTCGGGTAGTCTTGGTCTCGCAAACGTAGTCGAAGGCTGCATGGATGAGCAAAGCAGGCTTCTCAAATTTGCCACCGTTTAGTGCCTTTGAGTTGAACTCGTGATTACGCTCGTGATTCATGTAGTAGGCTGATCCCGGCCAGTATCCTGTCTTTTTCATCGACTTGGTGAACTCATCAAAGACGTCTCCTTCAAGGAGGGGAGCTGGGAGTTGGTCCGGTGATGGAGGTTTTGGGATGCCGCCGAACCAACCTCCGTCCTTTCTGACTGTGGCAGTGAATGTGGGTTTAGGGGGATGAACTGGCTTGCCCGGTTGCCACAAAGCCTTGTTGATTCCCTCGACATCCTTCTCGTACCAGGCGATAGCCTTCTCAAAGTCCTCTTCGTAATGGCGCATGTAGTCCCATTGCCCGTAGGGATATTGGTCCTCGGGATAGACCTGGCGGTTAACAAGACTCAGGATGTTTTTCAGTCCCAAGTCGAGTGTGCGATACGGAACGCAGACGTTCACTAGCGCCTTGACAACTTCCGGATGCTGGGCTGCAACTGTTGAAACACACGGAGAACCCCAGTCATGACCAATCCAGACGGCCTCCCTCCGACCGGTGTGTGCGAGGAGTGCCAGCAGACCCTCGAGAATGCTCTGCTGGGAATAGTCCTCGATGACTTTGCGAGCTGTTGATTTGCCGTATCCGGGCATGTCCGGTGCGATGGCCCGGAATCCCAGAGCGCTGAACGCCTCAAGCTGAGGCTTCCATGCTAGTGCAATTGCTGGCCAGCCATGGACGAATATGAGGAGAGGTCCATTGACTGGACCAGCGGCGAGGTAGTGAATGTTTTTGTTGTCGGCGTAGCCAACATCGTGTTCCTCGAAGGTCGGCATTGTGAAGATCGTGATAAATTGTTCTGGATCGTGTTTCAGCCGATGGCTTTGGGAGCCTGGGTCTTATACTTCATCTCATAAATAGTCAATGCAGAGTAAATACTGCAGTAGAACCAGACTTTAAACTCCGCAACTAAATACCCGCCTTTCCGTGGACCTGATGTAACAATGAATCAGTAAACCATGTCCATAACGGGTAGTATGAAGTGTAGCTGAGTAAAACGTCGCTGCATATGCAACCATTTGCAGCCAGTGAAAGTGGATATATTTTGTTACCGCTTCGCCCGAGTCGGCGAGCGGCTGATCTGAGCATTGCTGACTGGTCGGAGTCCTCATAGTCCGCGAGCCATGTTTCGGCTGGATTATTAATACCAGCATTGGCACATGTGCTTGTGAGGTAGTGTCACCTTTGAAACCCCGCAGTGCCAATCACTCCAGCGTGTCAATGAACTGACAATCTTCTTGTCCATAACCTCGGCTTCGGAGGTCTTGTATAAAGCGTAGGTAGGAGGAATATCCAACGAGTGCAATGTGATGTGTTCTCGAACGCAAGTATCCAATGAACGAGATCGAATACGAGGCAAAATGATACGCAACAGATTGATTAGGCCCAATGCAAGTTGGGCAAGTAATCAGCAGCGACGTTCCATTGTTGGCTGTTGCCCGCATCGGTCGCACGTCCCCGATGATTCATGTCCTTCGAAGTGGAGTGCTACCAGTCCAAAGCTGTGATGCTCTAGCTTTCTTGCCAAGCTGAACCTAAGACAGTACACCAAAATGGAGATCGGATCAAGAGATTATGCCGCATCCCGCGTTATGGCTCTCTGATTTCCCCAATCAATTTGTCTTCAGGGCAAGCAAATGAGACCCAGCTATTCCTAGTAGTGGGTCTAAACGGAATCGATGCGACTACAGTTTTACTGAAGCGGTGTCAGCAAAGCCTAAACAAGAAGAATAGTACTTTACAGGAGAAAATGATCCCGCCCGCGGACACAATTTTTTGACTCACCACGCTACCTGATTAAAATAGCGACAGCTGCACTCGACAAAACCGCCAGCGCACGGTAGGCACTTGTACCTACCATCACAGCGCTGCCCCATAAGCATCGTCAGATGTTGACCTGTGCACTTACCATCACCGTAACGTCAAAAGCCAGTTGTCCTAAGCAACCGCTATATGTGACCGAGATCTCGAATTACACGTCGACTATGTGCCAAGAACTGACTGATGATAGAAGTTCGGTGGGTTTATCCCAAATGCAACCATTCCGTCCAAGGTTCTTGGGGTCGCTTCTGCGGACTTACAGACCACCAACGGATTCATCGGATCGCCGAGCGCTCATTGATGCGCGCCATCATATTTATGGTATGAAGACGTCTAGCTCGGTGTTATCGCGGGCCCGCGTGTGGCAACAAGCATGCTCAGAGCCCGGGTAAGAGTTTAAGAGCATAAGTCACAAATTGCTATGCCGTTTAAGTTCAAAAGCTGTTAATCGGCCGCATTGTATTCATTCCGAAAGCTTGGGCTCCACCTCTAGGTAAAGAGAATAATTGAATCTGATAACATGCAAGATACGTACACATATCCTCGGCAACACTGACTGAATAGTAAACATTCAATAAAGAACCTTGATTATGACTCACATAGACCGGCTTCATTGACAAGAGTAGATCCAGCAATGCTCACTTAGATGTGCCGGGTCAGGCTGGAACCATAAGCCATCGTGATATTTGTGGCTTGACAAGTTCCGAACCCAATCTGTAATTCAGAGCTGGCACTGATATGTGCTAGCCAAATCAACCAGATGATGCTCTTTTCAAGTCGGAAAAGACCTATGAGCTGAACCATACTTTGGCTTGTTTATCGTATCGCTGACTAATCTTTTCATTCTTTTCTCTCCTCTCTGTCCCCAACGACCAAGGCTCGTATTCAGAGCATTTATTATGAGTCAAAGGGTGTTGGAGGAGGTAAAAACCCTAACTCCTCGAGGATGCATGAGTCATTGCGTGAATCTCATTCTAACTCACGAAGAATTGTTCTTGTTGCGAAGCTTCATTGCAGCTGCATTGTATTACAGAGCAGGTCATGAACTGTTTGCCATTAGGCCATCAACAAGATGGGCCATTGTTTCTCCAGTACAAATGGGGATGTGTTTTAGTTAACAGTGCTTATCAATGATCACGCATAGCTCTTGAGAGCAAGATTTTGTTGCTGGAGAGTATAGAAAGTAAGGGACGACAGCAGAGGAAATTCTGACTCCAGACTGATATTAATAGAGACGTGTCGCGAGAGACAAAGAGGGTGTTGAAGTATTAGTCTAGAACTTACGAAGGACACCTTTGAAATGCAGAGATCAATTATAGAACGAGCAGCAACCTAAACAATTGAAATGTCCTCGGAGTATCCTTGCGACAAGTTACAAAAAAGCGCAAAACATCGTCTTGACTTCACTACCTATGGTAAGATTCAGCGTAATGCTCAGACGCCTAAGCAACTTCCGAATGGTACACGCCTACAGTCATTCGCTACAAATTCTCCCGAGAAGAGCACAAAGACATTCCCCGAGCGACTATTGGAGGAGCAACGTAATTGCCGACGTGGGATTACAGGTCTAGTGATGGAGGCGTCCGGTGGAGGCCACCTTGCGACGGAAAGTGGATGGCGCCCACCGGATACTTCACCCACCGGGACTGTCGCTAGGCTTACAGTCCCCAGTTGGATGCGGCCTTGGTTGCACATCTACCTTGGTAAGTAAGGACGGCATGAGAACTTTTGCAATGTGTCTTTCGTGATAGAAGAGTCCTGTACGTTGCTCGTTTGTTGTATGATGCTCAGCCGCTGAGAACGAATTTAAAATGTCGATGGACAATGAAACATCCACAACATCAAGACTGGGTGATTCACCTTCTTGGTGCCCATATGTTCAAGACGTAGTTCTGGGGCATGAAATAAAGCAGACGTTTCAAGATCTCTGCAAGTCGTCCAGAGAAGCATAATCATGCTGTCATTCTTTCGCGGAACAGAGGGGGGGTTGACCCTGGCTTGTGTAGGTCTTCGCGGTTGGTGTAACGCCAATCTCCTCTTCTATGATCCTTGGGAAATGCGGAGGGTAGTAACCCCTAATGCGCCCTCTCTCCACGTGCGGGGCCCCGCACGCTTACACATGTGGCATACGGGAAAGAACAAGCACGTTGAGAGCGGTTGACTGTGACCCTAGACCGTATCTGGAAGAGGAGCCGATGTTCTCACTATACTACCTTGGTAAGTAATACTGAGTATTAGTGAGTAGCAAGATTAAAGTTGCTTCAAAACTTCGGGTCAAAGAAGAACGGCGCTAAGAGGACAAACTGAATTTGGGCAGTTGTCTAGCAGCTTCAATCCTGCATTATGGAAGGCCTTGAGCCAATCACTGCGGGATGATATGTCTTACACTTCAGTGTGGTTTACTATTTAATCTCTAGATGTCCTCATAGCGTAGTTGAGACTTTGAGTTCACAGAACCAGCCTCGGAAACAATCTTTCCAGGTCACCGAACCAAGCCGCGCTAACACTCGTATCTCGATTCTATCACTCTCCACTAGACCTACCTCAGCCTTCAAAATGAAGGCGCTCAACATCCTAGGCTTTCTTGGCCTCTTTCTCGTCAGCGCATTCGCTGTTCCAACTCCAGAATATGTCAATTGGAAGACTTTCAAGGCCAACGGAGTCAACCTCGGCGGCTGGCTTGTTCAAGAGGCTGTCATAGATGCCGAATTTTGGGGTCAGTACGGCGGCAACACCACTGACGAGTGGGGGCTCTGCGTTCGCCTCGGTTCTCAATGTGGTCCCGTTCTGGAACGACGTTATGCAACCTACTTCAAACCGGCCGATATTGACAAGCTTGCCAAAGCTGGTGTTACAATCCTCCGTATCCCCACGAACTACGCTGCTTGGGTCAAGGTCCCAGGCTCCCAGTTGTATACCGGCAACCAGGTTCAATTCTTGAAGAACATTGCGACATATGCCATTACGAAGTACAACATGCACGTCATCGTTGATGTCCACTCTCTGCCGGGTGGACTGAACGGTCTAGGGATCGGAGAGAAGGACGGCAACTACGGATGGTTCAACAACGAAACCGCCCTGGAATATTCCTACCGAACCATCGATGCCGTCATTCAGTATGTCCAAGCCTCCGGGTTTCCTCAGTCATACACCATTGCACCCCTCAACGAACCGGTGGACAACCGCGACTTCTCCAAGTTTGGTACGCCGGATGCACTCAGCATTGATGGTGCTGCATGGGTTGCGAAGTTCATCAACGGTGTCCTCTCGAGAGTCGCGGAAGTCAACCCGAAGGTTCCAGTCATGTTGCAAGGCAGCTTTCGTCCTGAGCCGTTTTGGTCGCCTTACTTCCCTACAGACGCCAACCTGGTTTTCGATGCTCATCATTACTACTTCGCCGGCAGGCCCACCACCTCCGAAAACGTCCCGACTTTCATATGCGAAGATGCCAAGGGGTCCATTAGCGATGGGAAGTTCCCCGTTTTCATTGGCGAATGGTCTATTCAGGCTGTCAATAACAACACCTTTGCCAGCCGGGCCAAGAACCTCAACAACGGGCTTTATGCTTGGTCCAAGTACACCCAAGGAAGCTCGTACTGGACCGCCAAGTTTTCGGGGAATGCCCCAGTGGATGGTCAAGGGACTCAGAGCGATTACTGGAATTATGAGACATTCATTGATCTAGGCATCATAAACCCAGCGTCTTCCAAAGAATTTTGCCCCTAACTTTAGGGAGCTCCGAGTTGATGATTATCTTGCAGGACAGAGGGCAGCCTTGGCAAATCTTCTCAAATTTTCTTTGTACGAGGTACTTATTCTTAGCATCCTAGTTATCAAGTTCGTCATTTCTCTTTGAAACTCCAGAAGAATATAGCTGCCGCTTCAACTTCGCCCCCAGTTACTAGAAAACCGCACGGTAGAACCTAGCTAGCGAATCGAAGATACGACTAGGCCATACTTACCAAACTCACATGCGTCCCAACGTAGCCACAATTAATGATGAACACAGGTTGAGAAAATTGCGCTAAGTGTCTTCCCAGTAACCAACCCCTTTTATCTACCTCCGAGCCACCTATGCCTTCATTTACATGATGGTTCGTATTCGAGCGTGGCGATAACCGTCCAAGGAGTTAACATCAACAGGCGCCGAAGAGGAGATCATTTGCCCTTCTTATGAGCCTCGACTTCCTGCTTGAACAAGTCAGACATGGCCTTAGTCCGCCGCCACTCAGGCATATATGCCATCTGGACCGCATGCTTGAACCACGGTGTCATTTCCAGCATGCCCCTCTGAGCTGCCCTGCCCGCTCTCTTCAAAGCCGCTTTGGCAAACTCCCTGTCGTCTGATGATCCCGGTGCCATGGCTGGAGCGTTTGACTGCGTTTTCGCGTCGTCAGCCACGAGACAAAGCACGTCGACCTTCTTCTTTTCGGCTCTCATCTCTCTCGCGATGGCATTGCTGAAAGAAGAGACGAAACCCTTGGTTCCAGAGTACACAGCCACACCGGGTGTACCCATCCTGCCCCCAGAGCTGACGTTGAGCATCAAAGAAGGACCGTTCTTGGCGAGAACTGGGAGCATCAGCCGGGTCAACTGTGCCATGAATCGCGCGTTGAGATTGATGGTGCTGTCCACCTCTTCGGCAGTATAGTCGTGCAGAGGCCAGGTCGCGGGCTGTCGAGCGGGCACACCTCCAACGTTGTTGACCAATACAGTAATGTTCAAGTCATCCATGTTGTGGACAGCAGCCTGCACCTTTTCGGGTGTGCTGGTGCTGGCATCGATCTTGAGAATGCGGACCGCGATCTCGTTCTTGTGTCGACGAATACATTCGGACTCGATGAGAGCGCGTGCGTCCTCCAGGTCGTCCTCGTTGTTGCTCAGTAAGACAATGTTAAAACCTTGAAGGGCGAGTTCTTGCGCACAGCCTAGTCCGATGCCTGCGGATCCGCCGGTGACGAGTGCCCAGGACTCATAGGAGCCCTTCTTCTGATATTTCTTCAATGACACAGAAGGAAGAATCCATATCGCAATGACGTCGTAAAATTTGTAGGCAGTATAAAGAATCCAGATAAGGCCAATGGCCTTGAGAGTCTGGTCAAACATGACGGTGGTTGTTGAGTTTGACTAGTCGTAGGACGAGTTGATGTGATGGAGTTGAAAGAAGAAACTCGCAGGTTTCAACAAGGATGAGAAGAAAGACTTTCAGCGGAAAGTTCCAGCAGGGCTATCGCCTATTATCTCGCTAAGGCGTCTCCGCTTCCTAGCGGCGTGGGGGCGTTGAGCACTGACTGCGTCGTGCACCTTGTGTTAACATAACGTGTTTGGAACCAAACCAAGAGAAACAGCACTCGATTTCAGCTTGAAAGAAACTTTTTTCTTGGGTTATGTTGATCCCAGCTCTTTCCTTTGATAAATCGAAACGTATTGCCAGCTGATCTATTTTGTAGGAAACACTCGCTTCGCTGCCCAGGAAATTCATCAAAGCTTCATGAGGCAGATACCACCTTCAGTGAGCCAAACAGACATGTCTTCTATATCTTAATCGGGTATCGATTGTGCCGCCTTGTCGATGATCTCTCTCAGCTCATTCTTCAACGTCTGTCTAAAACTTACGTCTTTGGAGCAATACATGATTGACAGTAGCGCATGGTACTTCATCGCATACACAGCATTTCTGCCGTCAAAATCAGCTGTGGGTTCCGTGGCAGGTACCCGCTTGAGATATTCGAGGGTACATGGCTGACCGAGCTTATATCTCGGATTTCGGCAGATACCCAGATCAGCTGAGGCAACATATACTGTTAATAATCGAAATCACAGGGTCTCGGTAGTCTTGAAATGTTTTAGTACGTACCCTCATTGTGTCCCCAGTAGGCGCAGGCGTCAAAGATGCATAATCCATCCGAGAATTTCTTCGGCTTAATGTTCCCGGGCCATAGATCTGAGTGAATGAGGCAAGGTGTGACAGATCGTCCTTCTTTCTCAAGGGGACCAGGGTACCTTGGAATAACTTTGTGTAGAAATACCGTTTTGAGCGTTGTCAACTCATCGTCCGTGCCATGTACATGGTCTTCCTGGTCGAAGAGGCCCTTCATCTGCTGTTTCCAGAATGATTCCCAGGAAGGGTCCCACGAATTGTTGACTGGAACATTGGCAAGATGAGTGGTGACGTGGAAGCCAAATCGTCCGGTTGAGGATTTCCCCATGCTATCGACATGAAGCCCTGACACAGCAGTTGCCCGTTCTGTAGCGCTAGGTAGGTCTTCCCGCATCTCCACGAACTGGCCAAGGTAAAAGTGCGTCTGGGGGTCGACTGCGTATGTTCCCCAACCGATGGGCTTTGGGACCCGGCGTGGGGAAAATATGTATAGAGCCTGTTCAGCTTCGAATGTGCCTCTCATCATGTCCATTCCAACTGCACCTCGTGCACCCTGCTAGAGAATCAGAAATATTTTCATCAAAGTTTGAGTCCGCTAATCACTTTCTTAAAGTACTCGTTTATTGTTCCATCTTTAAGCTGAACCACGATCTTGACCGTGGCCACCCAAAGACTATGGCCTGATGGTGACACTTCGAGCACACTACAGCCTGTTGGAAGCTCTGTTATGATGTCAAGGAGTGAGCATAACGAGTTATCCCCCAGGCCAAGGAAGGTTGGATAGAAGGTGCGTACTAGCAGAGACAGCTTTATCAAGCTCACAGTCTTCACCAGCATGTTCTACCTGGTCTGGAAATCTTCTTTCCATGTTTGTTGGAGGCGTTGAAGCGCTTGTTAGCTAGGAGCTGCTCGGATTCTGAGGCGGGGTAATAATTGACGAGAATCCTGTACGGACAGAGGCCCAACACTGTCATCCTATAGCCGCCCGATTCCCTGCGCATGTGTTTCTTCCGAGCCCAATCACGTGGGGGCGAAGAATCCTGGCCAGTTCCTGGCATCCCGACAACATTTGTGAGTAGCAGGTTCGGCTCTTTGTGTATTTTTTGTCGATCACACATTTTCTGGCATCTTGAATTCAGTTTAATGGTCGATACTGGTGCCATACCAATTGACAAAGGCGCTCCATCGTTAGTATGTGCGCCCCAACACGCCGGGCTTGTATTCCAGCTCCCATTCTGCAGCGCAAGTTACTTGCTTGCTCAACCGCAGAGGCGATGGCGGCACATCTCAAATACTCTTAAGTCCGGACGCCGAATCACTTTTTATTTGCTCCAATTCAAGTCCAAAGTTGATTGCCCTTGACGGGACTGTGATAGGAGAAGAGAAGGCTCTTAAGGGAGCTTGGTGGATCAAGCGACCATCGAGTCCTCACTTACTCGCCTTCCAAGCCAGCCATTTTCATATCTATGAATGGTGTACCTTTAATAGGGTTTGCAAAGAGACTAGCATCTCTCCTGATCCCCAGATCCAACTTTTAGAGGGTTGTCATTCGTGGGTCAGCAGCAAAGGCTCTACCTACTTAGCCCAGGGTCTTCCCCACGCGCCGGATCAAACTAGCAGCATCATCGCACTTGAAGCTTCCAAGATTACGGCTTCAACGGAAATTTTCCTGATCCAGAGTTTACGTATCTCATCTACGTCCCTACAATTTGTGATTGGGCGTATCAAATCGAGTCTACCCTTCCTCGATACGGCTGGACGGATCTGCTTAATTAGTCTCAGACACATGGCAGAGGCGCCTCATTTCACGCGACACTTTTTTATACCACTAACATAACGTACTGGAACTTATGGCGTGATCAAGGTTGTTTCAAAGACGGCCGTTGCGTTTGGAAGGAGAGCACTTGATGGTCTTCCACGGGTTCTTGGAGTTCGAGGAAAGGATACCGATATGAAGCATTGAGAAGTAACATGCAGTGTTTTTTCAGCGCAAAGACTATCATATCTCTGTAATGGGTACAATTAATCTTTTCGTCCCATTTCCCAGGAAATTATCGGTAGAGTCTCGAGAGCTGCGCCATCGTTGTGCAGCATGTTGACGTAATACCGATCGGCTTGTCACCTGACATATCCCGATTTTGTCGGTTTCCATTGTCCCAACGATTCTCTTTGAGTGAACTTATCGCGGGGGTGCCTAGGGGGGGGCGGAATCAACCCTCCACTGTTGCACGCGTTTATGAATGATACACCGCAAAGACGTGACCAGAAGACCTGAGTAGACGATACAGGGCCAGTTGGTGTCTGTAACATCTCTCCGTGATCGAGATCGGGCCCTACCACCATGGCTGTAACCGAATCGTCAGTCGCGACAATCCAGCAAATTTCAAATGACGAGAAAAAAGGACCGAGCATTGAGACAGTATCAGAGGAGCCGTATTCAATATTCACATCTGCCGAGAAGAAATGGATCAGCCATATTGCGTCCTTCGGCGCCATGTTTTCCACCTTGAGCAGTTACATTTACGCGCCAGCCTTAGTACCTACGGCCACGGATCTCAACGTCTCTGTTGCGCTCATTAATCTCACTGTCACCTCGTACCTGATTATAGCAGGCATTGCACCAGCCTTCATGGGCGACATCGCCGATCAAGGCGGTCGAAGGCCTGTATATATCCTCATGTTTACTCTCGTGGTTACGTCAAATGTTGGATTAGCGCTGCAGAGTTCGTATCCTGCTTTGCTCATTTTGGGTATGGTACAAAGCGCGGGAGCATCTGGTGAGTTGACGACATCATAGCAACCCAGAAAACATCCTGTGGCTAAGTGATGAATCACAGGGTCTTACAGCGCTGCTTGTGGGATTGTTGCAGACATTACAACAATCGACGAACGCGGGCCCTACGTAGGATCTACGCTGGTTTTGTAAGTCATGTTTGTGTCGAAACCTTCTTTATCTCCGACCTTTTAACAACATTGCGCTGATCAGATTGCAAAATACCAACGCTGCTCCAAGTTTTGGTCCGGTCATAGCCGGGCTTCTCACTGAGAAGTTAAGTTGGAGATGGATATTCTGGTTTTTGGTCATATTGACCGGTACTTACCTGCTCGTCGTTGTCACCCTGCTATCTGAGACACAACGTCGTACTGTCGGCAACGGAAGTGTGAAGACCCAAGGAGTTCATAAAAGTTTTTTGACTCCCTCGTTCGGCACCGAAGAGTCCATGCCCTGGATCAAGATGAAAGACTACAAGGCAGCAAGCGGCGGTACCACATCCCCAACCCTTTCAAGTGCATCCCGATGTTGTTTTCCAAGGGCAACTTTACAGTTATCTTGATGGGTTCTATAACTTACGCGGCCAAAATGACATTGCAGAGCTCACTGTCAGCTCAGTGTATTGACGTCTACAACTTGAACTATCTAGAGGCGGGGCTCATTTATCTACCTTCAGAGGTAGGAGGTGCTCTAGCGTCTTACACGACAGGTCCGTAGTATATGGACAATTTTGTGAAACACAACCTAGACTTCGCTTATGCTGACGAGTTCGCAGGTAAACTTCTGGACAGAAACATCCAGAAAGTGTCCGCCAAACAGGGAAGAGATAGCCCATATCGTCGAGATAACGATATATCGGACTTTCCGATCGAGGAGGCACGCCTCGCCGGTATCTACATGCTAGTTGCTCTCATCTCAGTGACCACTGCAGGCTATGGAGTGAGCCTTATGCAAAGTTTGGTATGTGGTACATCACAGACTAAGTCTAGGCTTGAGTCAGATGCCCCAAGCGGGCAACTTTCGGAGATTGGGGCCTCGCTGACCGCGCCAGCACATTGCCGTTCCCTTGATAATGCAGTTCATCAGTGGTGCCACAACATCGAGCATATTCACGGTGCGTGCGAAGTGATGATACCTCTGCAGTACAGCCACTTTGTACGGTCTCTGACTCATTCCCTCCAGATTTGCGGCACCCTTCTTACGGACTTGAACCCCGAAGCATCAGCAACAGTCCAGGCGTCGTACAATTTTATACGGTGCATAGGAGCTGGCGCTGCTATTGCGGCTCAGCAGCCCTTGACAAACACCACGGGCTTAGGGTGGAGTTTTGGCATGTTTTCACTCATCATGTTATTTGCAGCCCCCTTTGCCATGCTGCTCGAGAAGAGGGGCCTAGAATGGAGGGCTTCCGCTCTGTCTCACAGGCCATAGATCTTCGTCAGGAGGGGAGTGGACATGGATGAGCCGGTAGGGGAGCGTAAGGAGGCAAATGCGCCACTTCTTCCCTGTCGTATTCATTTACCTTATGCGCAGACGAAGCACCAAGTGTCTGAAATTCCTCATGGTGGCTCTCGAATTAATTGCATACAACAATCGAGTGAAGGTACATAACGATGCCTGTTGGTGGCTTATGCCACTTACCTGCATGTCTCAACTCCTCGTAGCCTTATCGTGATCTACTCACTGGCAGACCTTGCACATTTGGCTGTACCTTATGTAAATTGGTGACATCTCATCCTCTACTCACCTTACCATCCGACCATAGAAGTCTCGCCTCAGATAGAAGGTTCAATAGGGTTTCTTGAAGGGGTTCATTGTTAAGAAAATAATAGTCCAATGCTCCTGTACCCAGTAATGATGTAGGAGGAGCCTTGAGCTTCCCCTACCACCATTTCACGGCCAGCCTGGCAGAAGCGTTTACGGAACATCCAGGGAGACTAGTGTAACCACAACCTCTGTCCTGTACTCTTCTCCCTTGTATCACTCTGTTAACTCCGGTTATCCCGTCAGGACCGTCAATGTAGTGAGGCTCTACATTAGTCACCGCCAACTTATGTCTTTTATAGGTACATTCAAAAGCGCAACTTATATTAGAGCCCTGTAGCGTTTGCCATGAAGCACTTGGCTTGCGTGGTGAATCGACTTGGCAAAAAGGGAGACCAGTCCGAACGGAAACAAATTTGGGAAAGTTCTCCACGTTCAGTATCAACGGGATGGTGTAGATTACTGAGATCTTCGACATTATTCACCTGGGTGCCTAGATTATTTCCATTTCACCATCTAAAGCCTCGTCTTTTCCGCCACTTACATGTATGTTCGTTCCTAGCCTCTGACTTTTCAGCTTCCCAAAATACCTTGGGTACTTCCAGGCAGCCGTGGTTCAGCCAATGATTGAGGTGATCACAAGACAGGTACTTCTAATTTCAAATACGTCGACTGAGAAGGAGGGCGTTGTCTCAATATAGCCCCTTTGAACTTGGCATGCTCCTTAGATCGAATTGCCAGGTACTCGGTGCTCACCCTTATCTTTTGCCTCTCAGATCGAGACTTTACAGCCCTAGGGTTCTCAGGTCTATCCCAGCCTTCCTTCTTCAAAAGAAATATGTGCTCGTTGTAGCTACCCATGTCCTTCATAATGACCATTCGTGGCCAGCTCTGAGGCTTTCAAAATCTACCAACATTTCTCACCCTGCTTCTTATTTCCCTACCGAAGACCGTGCCGTATCCGCACTTTAAGTTCAAGCCTTGGTTCATTGAACACAGTTCAAGGCTCCATCAACGTATATGCGCCACCATGATCTCAGCTTTGATCCCATTACAGTGGGCGGGACTCGCATTCTTGGTCCTTGCCGTCGGAGCACGAGGTGACCACTTCGAAGTGGAGCTTTCACAGAATAGGAACAGGCCTGTGGACAAATATATGGACAATGGCCTACGACTTCCTATGTCCACGCCAGCTCCCAATCCACGTTTCGCCGCGATAGCCCTGAAACGACAAGATGGCTCAAACAACTGCGGCTATTACGATAATACCATATGTATGTGCCTCTGCGTCTCTTGCGTTTTTGGTTATTTCCAATTCTTTCACATTTCCGTTGCTGCCCTGTTCACTATGGGCACTGGTTTTGCAGCAGTCATGAATTAACGTCCTTTGTCAATAGTCAGCGGCCCCTGGAAGTGTGCCGGTACATTGACGTGCGTCACGAGAGGCAGCGTTTTCGGCTGTGGTTCCCATGTCTGGCAGGCATGCTTGACAAGTAAAGACCCTATTTGCGTCTCGAGTGCCCAAGGTGCCTTTACTACATGCTGGTTGGTCTCCATCATTCTGTCGGCTGCACCATTGCTGTCTCTTGAGGACAGACACATATGGCTGACCTTTTCTTCCATAACCAGCACGGAGAGCAACTATCCCTATTGTCAGAAAGCTGTGAAGTTTAGAACGAATGGCGATTCCGTGGTTACTCTCGTTGCTTTTGCGTGTCAGAACAGTTTATTCGACGGCATTCAGTACATAACCGACCCAGTCAGTAGTTCGACAGTAGTTAGTTCCTCCGCCAGTAGTGGTTCCTCGACTACTTCGGCAACATCTACAAGTACTCTACCCACCATCTCAAGCACAGCGACCTCTAGTCCAGCCCAAGACGGCCCACCAATAGGGGCAATTGTTGGCGGTGTTATCAGCGGCCTCTTGGTGGTGGGACTGGCAATCTCTGCCATCGTTTGGTTTCTGCTACGAACCCGTAAGAGAGCCAGTGCCAAAGGTGACGACAACAAAAGCGGCCCATCCATCACGAACCAGCCGTACGTCTACTCAGCTGTGCCCCCTACAGGAGGGACATCGGAGTGGCAGTCTCCGACCGCGACTCCTATGTACGAACCTTATAAGAGCAATCTTCAGTCCCCCACCTCAGATGTGTATCAACACCAGTCCATGGTAGCAAGGTCGCACAGCCCGGATCCCATTCCAGCTTCCAGATCCGGGGCATTGCCTAGCGACTATTCTTCGAACCGCATATCTGAGGTGCCGGCTACCAACCCCGCTGGCACAGGGAATAACGCTTCTGAACTACCTTCCGATCACATTCAGAGATCTTCGTTCGCGCTCTAGGCCTTGTGCAGTTCCGCATGCTCACGCTGGCAGATGGGTGTAACCAACTTAATTAGTGCAAGGGTGAACGGAGTGGGAGGGGTTGAGAGGAGTTCAGGAAATTGGCCTTTTCCAATGTGTTTGCCTGAGTTTCGCATGTTTTTCTTCCTTCATGATGTCTGTTACAATCAATAAATCCCTGTTTCGCGAGTTCCATAGCATGGGAACCCAAGTCCCAAGCTCACATACATCCTTTTCGACGAGGTTATAGATCTAGCTATAGCTAGAGCCCTCACCGCTTTCACAGCACACATACCTCCAGCCCCGTCATGCCGTCGTACGTGCTGTCACATCTCAATCCCATTTCCTCTCCAACCGATCTTTCTCTCGAAACACCAACGACTCGAAACCCCCAACCGTGCTCTCACAGCTCTTTTCAGCCGAAAGTTCCGATGCGCGCCGCTTTGGCATCCGTAGCCCCGGAGAGCCTAACCCAAGGGCTACATGTAAATCACCAAACCTCTTCCAGCCCCCCCCTCGCGGTGGCCGTTGAGGATTGAAAGTCAGATCTGCACATCAAGCCCCTCTCTCCCATCCATGCGGTGCAAGACACCGAAGCAGCCGGCCATCGATCCGACATAGGCGGCTTACCCCTTGCGACCGAGCGATAGACATCCATGCTCAATTCTTCTTCTTCCTGGATCATGTTGTCATAATCTCATCGCAACCTTGGGCGCAAACATATGAAGACTAGAAAGTGACATTTGGATAGACTTGGCAACTCAAGAAACTAACCTCAACTAAGACCCACATACCTCCTATCTCCTCAGTACTACCTCCACTCTATCCAATGACCCAGCTCACCTTCTCCATCAAAATGAACAAACAGCCATCAAACTCCATCAATATTCTCGGGTTTCCAGGCGGACATATAAGGGGCCAGGCGCAGAAGATCAACATCTCGCCAAAGATTACGTCGCCCCGAACTAAAAACATCGTGAGTGGCCAACTACAAGGATCCCACGTGGAGTTGGTCTAGCAAACGTGGAGCCCTTCCCCTGTTTCAAATCAACCGAATTTTTTAAAGCAAGTAGTCTATCTCAAGTTTTTTGTGACTTACCTGGCCTTTACGGGATGCCAAGAGAATAATGGATTAGGACTTTTGGAAGGGCGGTGGGGAGGAAAGGAGGATGGGAGGAAGTTCGGAGGCGGATCTAGAAAATTAGAATGGTGGTCGACAACGATGGGACTGCGATGAAGGTTAAGAGTTAGAAATAAGCTTGTCTTGACGAGGTATGCTGCATCGCAGCAATTTCGCATCCCATTTGTAAGGTTGTTCCAAGAAACAAAGAGACTACCACCCAGCAGCTGTCAACGACTTGTATCTCGCTGCTTTTCTAACAAGGGGTTTCTCGAACCCCGAAACCGATATCGTCTATGGCGAACAAAGAGTAATGAACAATAACAAGAAAACGAAGCGAATAGCAGACAGTGGGGCCAAGCTCCCCGGATGCAGTAGATCAAACAGTGTACCAGTGGCCGTAGCCATTTCTTTTCCTCCTTCTCCTGTCCGCTGCAACAGCTCAAAGTCTGTCGCGATCATGCTGTTGTAATCCAATGCCCAGAGTTATCCGCCGACCCCAGTGTAATGATGCCAACACCTATGTTGAAGACAAAAAAGACAAACCCCGTGTTTCCCCAAACGCCATTTGGTGTTGCGCCGACACCATGTATGCAATCGCCTAGTCCTCACGCTCCCTTTCACTATCATCGCCGCTATCAGTGAGGTCGACTGCCTTGTGTGCTTCGGCCTCGGTCATCTCTCGCCATGTACTCCAGCTCAACATGCCGAATGCGATCATTATCATGACACCGCCGATGAGAGCTGCAGCACTGAGAGGCTCGCCAGTGCGCAGCCAGTCTGTAATGGCAACGATGAAGATTGTCAAGAGACTGGCGACACTGGACAAGACGGGGCTCGTCAGACTGATCAAGACGAGGAAGCTGCCGGCAAACGTTGCATTCATGACAACACTGCAGAAAAGCATCCAAGCCGTGTATCCCGTTGGTAGGTCAAACTTCTCGATGCCGGTCCAGTGCAGAATGGGAAGCGGAATCCACAGCACCGTAAGCGTGAACAGACCGATACATGATCCGAACGTGTTGGCGAAGATCATGCCCCGGTTAGGGCTACAGCCTTCAGGTGGGCAAGCATATCGCTTGTAAAGCACCTCGTAGAGGCCGTAGAGGACAGACCCAATACCGATGATCAGGTTGCCGGTGACACGGTTTCCGGCCGCCTGCTGGTGAGCGGCGTCATCCTCGCCGGGGCTAGTGTCACCGTATGCGACGATCAAGACACCAGCAATGGCCACGATAACAGCAAGAGACTTGTCCAGGCGCAGAGGCTCCTTCAGCAACGGAACAGAGAAGACGTAGGCGAAGAAAGCCGAGCAGTTGTAGATGGCCGTCAAATCGGAGGGAGTCGTCAAATTGACGGCGACATACCAGCTCAAGCCACCGACTGTCAAAGCAGACGTAACGAAGGCCGTCGTCTTGATAATATAGGTCCACGGAGAGACGCGGGGCTGTGAGCTGGGTCGCGCATAGTCGAGGTCCTGTCTCTGGACCATGATGGCGGTCGTATGAAGCAGCTCGGTGTGTCTTCGCCAGAAGGATGACCATGCGACTTTGCGCTTATTGATTCGCAGGAATAGCAGCTGGACAGGCCAGAGCATCACCCAGGAGCCATGGGTAAGGTAGAGCATGCAGTAGGCCTTGTCCCAGTGCAGCTCCTGTTGGATATAGGCCGACAGCTCGGTCTGGATGACAAAGGAGACCAGACTGATAAGGAGGACGAAGGCCGCGATGATGTACTTCCTTCGAGCATTTGCTGTGATCGTCGAGGGAGAGTGGGCTCGCATAGTCGAACCTCGAGAGAAGGCTGGCCGACTCGGGGTCAGCAAGGGGCTAGCTCCTCGTGAGCGTGTAGAATAGCTCCTGCCGCGGTGATTGTCATCTTCGTCGTCCTTTGCGTTCAAAAGAGGTTGGCCGGAGCGGGAGTTGTGGTTTCGGAGGAGGGGGGGACGTTGGCTGTCCATTTCGTCGTCTTCGTCGTCGTAATCGTGTTTGAAGTAGTCGTCGTCGGCGGATCGCAATGCATCAAAATCGGCCAGGCGCTGGTCGAGCCCGGGGCTCACTCCAGGGCTACTGGTACCACTACCGATATAATCTGAGATGTTGGAATCGCATGTGGTTGCGCTCAAGGGAGGGTTATGGGAATGATCGTGTCGCAAATGGGGGAGGTTGAGGGTTCCATCCGGCCCTGTGTTGAGTCTTGGAGGCATAAGAAGGGATAAAAGGAAGGTAAGAATGGGAAGGGGGGGGAACCAGGAGATAATAGCGAGTCTGAGAGAGCGAGAGATAAGAGAGACCGAGAAAGAGTAACGGTAAGGTACACAGAGAAAGGCTAATCAAGTGAAGGAGTGACTTGAATGGGAAATTCAATAGCTGCACAGGCAGAAGCTGCAAGTTTGGCTCGAGTAAGGAAGGGAAGGGGTACGCAGTTGACGCAGTATACGAGTCGAGTGCTTGTGCTTGCTGCCGGACTCTTTTGGGTCGGGAATGGAAGTGTACAGTTGGACACTTTTTTGGTTTAGGAGTGGAGAGTGGATACTAAACTGAGGTGGGCGCAAGTTGGCAGTCGCAAATGGAAATGGAGAACCCAGGCCTCGGGACGGGATGCAGGAAGTTGCGGCGTACGGGCACACGGGATTCTTGGAAAGGGTACTTCCATTACAATGGGCCTTGGGGTGCGTACTCACGATGTATCTAGTTACCCGGTGGTGGTGACGAGTGACATATCCTGAACTCAACAAGGTGACTTTTGATAGGACCATCCCTACAGCGCCGAGACATAGCTAACTTGGCTGACTTCCTGCTTTCCACTTGGCGTCGGCCAGATATTGGCGGGCATGAGCGGCTCGCGCGGAAGGGGTCTTCCCCCCACTCTCCTCGGTCTCCTGCACACAGCACACGCAACACCTCCAACACTCAGCCCTCCAACCTTACGCAGCCTCTCCATCGCTATCGCTCCCACACCATTGTCCGTAAGGTAATTGAGCATGCTAAGGTATCCGATCGGGGGGTCAACAACTCGTCTGATCGCTACTATCTTGCGCACCGTCGTCTCTGCCCTACCATTGTACCAAATCAAGTACCCAGATACCACACCCTTCCGCCAATTCTCGCGCACGTCACAAGTTGCGGTCAGGAGCAGAATGACAAGCCTGTCACCTGCGTCTGATAACTCTGGCGAGGTCAGCCTTTAACATGTCTTAGCGCTTGCCCGGCTATCATAGCTGCACCACTGCGGCGGTATGGATACAACCACTTCACCACGCTTACCATACGACGGAGGGTAGAGAGGGCCTCAAAACGGCACTCCTCCTCGGCCCATGTTCCATCCTACAGCCTGACGCCATCACGCATGGCGTCGCATGATTGGAAAGTCTGGCATTGGTCCCAGCTGCCACACCCACAAAAGCACGCCCTCACATCCCGCGCCAGAGATCGCTTCAAGAACAGGGTACATTCATGTGCTTCGATTTTGACATCTGATACGACCATTTGCCCCTTTAGACTACAAAGGCTACAAAGAATCAACTTTGCCTGCATTTACCACGGCAGATCTTACAACCTCGCATCAGCATTCCGCCCGCTCATCGGAGTTCAGCCCGATCACTTGGCCCCGTCCTTGAACAGCGCTTCCCGGGTGTCGTACTTGTACTCGAGATCCAGGTGCCAGTAGTTGGTTGTGTCCGCCTTGGAAATGGCCCATGCCTCATCGAGCGCCTTCACCACATCGTCGGGGAGGGGGCCCTTCTCGAGGTGGTTGAGGTTGTCCTCGAGCTGCTGCACGCTCGAGATGCCAATGATGATGCCGTCGTTGCCATTACCCGTGACATTGAGGCCCGAGTGATGCACCGTCCAGCGCAGCGCCGTCTCAATCATGGTCAGCT